TAAGAGGGACTGCTGCTTTTTTGTATATATATATATATATATATTTAACCATTAGTGACTAATAGAATCTTCCCCTACCTTGAGGGTGTGACAGAGAAATCTCCAACCCTCGGAGTGATGTTTGTTGGTTTTTGTCTAACCCTCGATCGGCAGAGCATCAAGTTAGACAACCCAAAAAAGAACTTCCTGAGGGTTGGAGGTTTCTCTGTTACACCTTCAAAGTAGGGGATCATTATTTCTCTCCCATCCTATTATTTCAGTCACAACTCCACCGACAGTTTCTGTTTGTAAACAAAAACACATGTGGGGTATGAATATCGTCATTTAATTTTGAAGTCTACCGGTGATACATTTTAATGGCGTCACAATCGGCACAAGGCTATCTACCCCTAGGGATGACAAGCTGATCTTTCCCAGCTAAACGGGAGACACACCTGTGAAGGGTGGGAGAATTATGTGTCTTTTTGTAATGCATTGAAAATAGAATTGGGTATTCACATACTATAGTATCATATTTTGGTTGTATTTTGATACATAAAATCCCATCTTTACACACTGTATATACATTGAAGTTTTTAGCCGCCCGGCAGCACATTCGTTCTTGGTGTAGGGTGGGTATACCTTCAAATCCAAGGGTTGTCAGCTGGTTTTACCTTTCTTTAAAGTGTACAGTAATAATATATACATCTGTAGTCAGCTATTCTACCTTATTCATGAGGTAAAGTCAAAAGAATACCAGGTAATAGTTGTTTGACTTCAAAATGCAGGTATATATATTAATCATTCACTCCAGTAGACACATTTAAACTCTTCCAATTCAAAGGTTGGAATAGTTCATTGTGAAATTTCAGGGGTGAGTTAATATTGTGAGCCAGCCATGTCTGAGACTATTCTTTTTATCTATCACTTATTTATCTTAAGTCTTCTTTCACTGATGGTATCTATGGAAAGTTCAGAGCTTTTTGATCCTGGAAAAATTACATGTCATATATGTAACTCTTGAACTGATATCTTTTACGTCTTGAAAACATTAATTGCAAAAATAAGTGGGGATTAACTAAACCTCTTCAAATGTAAGAAGACCTAACTGCTGTTAAACATCTCCAAGTTCTTTGTTTAATTTTGTGCAGGATATTTGATCTAATACATTTAAGTTCACAGTAAAATATTAAAAGTGGGACATAATATTGATATGTAAATGTATGTATTATGTATGTAAATTAATGTAATAGGTTAGTTAAATTACCAGATTCATGCAATCATTTGGATCCAATATTTCAAATTGTGAATGCATGCGACTGCAATTTCAAATCTAGTTGTTAAAAAAATCGGTTAAATTATGATATTTCTACCTCCTCCAAAGCTTGATCTCCTATATAGATTTTAAATGTCTCACATATAGTGGCTGCATTGGTTCAAACAACTTTAGGTAGGTATGTATATGCGCACAATTGCCATTCTGCCATACCAGGATTGTATAGGGGTTAGTCTCACCTGCTGGAGACATGCCAACGCACATATACCACTGTAGACCTACATTTTATCCTAATAACGTTGGCCCCTGTATAATATCTAGCCTGGGTGTGATACCTCTGGATCAAAACACAATGGCCTATCAATATGAAGAGCAGTCAGATATAAGATGTCAATGTTTAAGAATATTATTCTGCCAGAACCTTACCAAACGTATATACGCATGATCACTCGCCGAGGAATATATACCAGAATGTATACGATTGGTATTTTGTTGGTCGTCAACTGAACCAGGTGGTGTTCTGGAATCATCACAGTGTAACGACAAGGATTTTAACTGAATGAAATTTATGTGATTTTCTTATGAAGCTTGGGATTTCAATTTAACAATTATTGGAAGTGTATTAAAAAGTACAGTTCTATCAACAATATATGTTAATGTATTTTGAGAAGACAAATTATAAAACTTGTCGCTGTGCATTCAGACATGCATAAAGTTGGATCTTCGTTTACAGAGTGTATTTGGATCAATTATTAATTAGCAGGAAGCTGTATGGATTCAGTTAAATTTGGAGTGTTTAAATAATACAAAGTTTTCCCTGGATTTTTGTGTTTAGATATTCAAGGATTTTGATGTAAAATTTGATAAAATCTACACAGGACAAGAGGGATAAATTCACACATGTTTAAACCTTTAAACAAGATGGTAAGCTGGTCTGATGCCAATGTTTGGGTGAAATGTTTAAGTCATTATTTGCCATGTGTATATATTAACCGTATTTACAACATAAAACTTAGGGTAAAGGGTCTACCAATAAGTTAAACTATATCATTACCACTGTCACTGTGAAAAAATTGTTTAGGTCTTTTAATTGCTAAAGAAATATCCCATAAAAAAAACTGTTGCCAATGCAAGCATTTGAAAGAGGTGTATAGTTGTCAAAATTTGAAATGATTAAAAATTGAAATGAAAAAGTAAAACCAGAAAACTGCAGGGGTTGAAATTGGAATATTTACATTACAAAAGCCTACACTTTACTTATCTTACCATACAGGAATTATAAGTATATCAAAATGAGTGTCCAATTTATATTCCACAAAGCATTTGTAAAACTTGACAGGGGAAGTTATTCTAAGCCAGAAAAAAAACTCTGTTTGGTTGCTCCATCTTCTTTATAAATGGTTGCTCTATCTTCTTTATAAAAGGGAGAATACTCTTAGTCAAAAACACTCTGAGCGGAACTCTTCTTTACGATTGCAACTGATGCAGTGGTATTCTTTACCTTAAGTGCCTATCAGGGATTAGTTGAGGCCATTTTAATGTCTGTGTAATTATCAAACAAGCTACATATATGTACCTTTGAATTTATGGTATGGTGGGGTCCAGCATTTGACATCCATTAATCCATCAACTGTTTTCTTTGGACAACTTCTTCTAAAAACCTGAAAGACCCAGTGTCATGATATTTGGCCCTTTAACGAAGGTACCAGGGATTCGCATGTCATAAAAGTTAATTCATGTGTAAATTACATAGCTATGGCTAATGACAATATGTTTTAGAGTTTTAATTACTTGGGTATGGTATGTATATAAAGACCAGCAGTGCAAACCTTTTTCAAATAATGTCAAAGGTCAAGTTTGAGTGCATACTGGGGTCAAAGGTCAATTTTTAGTGCTGGCTTGCATTTTGAGCAAAAGTAAGTAACCTTCAGTAGCATGGACTACTTTTATATAAAGTTTCTTTATATTGATGACCGTAACTTACTTTTAAGGTCACAGGGGTCAAATATATTAGAAATTTCTGACATCAAGTCTAACTCAATAAAGCCCAAAGTTTTCAGTCCATATCTAGATATCAAATTTTTGTATCACACATATATATATGCATTTGAAAAGCAGTGAAATGTTCAAATTCTGCAACATGACTCTATGTATGTAACAAAGATGTCTAATTTTGTATTTTATTTGTCACTATATATAAGGTCACATCCCTGTCCGGATCATTGACTTTGAACTAGTTTTCGATGTTGTAGTATATCTTTGTACCAAGTTCTGGATCTTAACCCAATTCTTGTGTGATGTATTTATATACTTATCCTGGCCTATCTACTGAATCATGTGTTCACTTCTTTAATCATAGCTGTTACCTACGTCTTTATACATAAAACCACAAAAAATAAAAAGGGAGGAGGGGCAACAGCTCTTTCAGTAAGGTCACCAAATGGATGGATGTGTGAATGAGGTAGCTACTGTAACTTGCAAGCCTAACTGCCTGGCCGCAAAATCTTGATTGACATTAAAGCAAGTATGCCATGTATGGCTCTCCAGTGTTAATTCACATGTTTACCCCTAACATTCTGAGTACTTCCATTCTTACCCCTAACATTCTGTGTACTTCCATTCTTACCCCTAACATTCTGTGTACTTCCATTCTTACCCCTAACATTCTGTGTACTTCCATTCTTACCCCTAACATTCTGTGTACTTCCATTCTTACCCCTAACATTCTGTGTACTTCCATTCTTACCCCTAACATTCTGTGTACTTCCATTCTTACCCCTAACATTCTGTGTACTTCCATTCTTACCCCTAACATTCTGTGTACTTCCATTCTTACCCCTAACATTCTGTGTACTTCCATTCTTACCCCTAACATTCTGTGTACTTCCATTCTTACCCCTAACATTCTGTGTACTTCCATTCTTACCCCTAACATTCTGTGTACTTCCATTCTTACCCCTAACATTCTGTGTACTTCCATTCTTACCCCTAACATTCTGTGTACTTCCATTCTTACCCCTAACATTCTGTGTACTTCCATTCTAAGCCCGCCACATGTGTGCATACAAAGCTTTGATAGACCTAGCTGTACGTATCACCACACAGCTTGACCAGGAACTCTTGTGTGCTGCTCATACGTTAACAATGCTTCTGATTCATTGTTGGATTGATGAATTGAAATAAGAATGAGATCCAAATTTAATTTGAATGCTATGGATCATTTTTCCAGCCATACATTTTTTTTTGTCATTTATTGTATTTTGATTCAGAGTTTAAGAAAGCAACTTTAACATCTGTCAAGAACACAATGTACTTTGATCCTTACTTACATATGTATTATTTGTATCTTCAAAGATGTAAACAGAGTTGTAATTAAAACCATCCACAATCAACTTTAAGGAAAAACAAAATTGTACCAAAATTTTTGTTTAGAAATTAAAATGACTAAAAGTGTTCAATGTTTATGTCAGAAAAGATTGGTTTTCCAATAGAAATTTTAAGTTCACTGAACTAAGCATGGATAAAATAAATTGTACTAGAACCTTTGTTTAAAAATTGAAATGATCAAAAACGATAAATGTTCATGTCAGAATAAATTATTTTACCAATAGAAAATATAATTAAGTTCACTTAATTGAGCATGAATATCAGCCAAGAGCCAAACATTAATTTGTTGTTTTACAGTTTCTTGTTTTATGAAATATCAAATTTACCAACTGATTATAAACAGTGATATTTTCCGCAGGTTAGCCAGGGTGTAGAGACTAAGGAGGGAAACACTGGACCGGACGAGTATGGACAGTCCCCCCTATGACAAGGACGAACAGTCCGATGATCAGAGTGAGGTAGAGGAATCAACTTATCGTGACGAGCCAGAGGAAGTTGTTTCCGGAATGTCTGACTCTGATTCGGAAAGTGATCAGGAGGTGGATCCAGACGGAACCGACTCTGGTTATGACAATAATGATGGCGGCGGAGGTGGTCCAGAGCTGTCCCTCATGGACGGGGTGTCGATTCTGGTCCAACAGCCTCTGGAGCTGGAGGGTGAAGGGGATGATTACGGAGATGAAGGTTAGTACCTGTTATGGTTACGTTTATTTGCCGTGTTGTTCGCACTTTTTCCTGGATTTTTACTTACACCAGTGTATACCGCCTTGATATCCACGGCACAATCGACCAAGATATTGAAGAAACCTCCCTTATCGTTGTGTCTCCACCCCCTTCTGTAAAATAGTTTTATTTAAATACTTTGTCTACAACATTTTACATGGCTCCATAGTAAATACATGTACCTGTTAAGATACTTTAATTTTCTCCAGACAACAACATGTAAGGTACTTAACTTTTTATTGTACTTACTCAATATATCAGGTAAGATTTTATTTATTAGCAGATCATGATCAGAGGACATTTTATGCCATGTCACAGGAACACAATGTATATTCCTGTAAGAATAACTGCCTTTGTATTTCTGTACAGTTAATCCTTCAGTCTCATTCTAATTAATGTCTAATTTCAAATTCATTGATCAACCTTCGATTCAGCTCATTGTATGAAAAAAAAAATCTGCTAAAATTAACATGTTCGTAAAACTATTGTAGGAAGGTCATCAATTTAGTGCTACACAGATGTATGTCAGTTTTGTGAGCTACACAGACGTATGTCAGTTTTGTGAGCTACATAGATGTATGTCAGTTTTGTGAGCTACACAGATGTACATGTATGTCAGTTTTGTGAGCTACACAGATGTATGTCAGTTTTGTGAGCTACACAGATGTACATGTATGCAAGTTTTGTGAGCTACACAGACGTATGTCAGTTTTGTGAGTTACACAGACGTATGTCAGTTTTGTGAGCTACACAGACGTATGTCAGTTTTGTGAGCTACACAGACGCATGCCAGTTTTGTGATCTACACAGAGGTATGTCAGTTTTGTGAGCTACACAGATGTATGTCAGTATTGTGAGCTACACAGACGTATGTCAGTTTTGTGAGTTACACATACGTATGTCAGTTTTGTGAGCTACACAGACGTATTTCAGTTTTGTGAGCTACACAGACGTATGTAAGTTTTGTGAGCTACACAGACGCATGCCAGTTTTGTGATCTACACAGAGGTATGTCAGTTTTGTGAGCTACACAGATGTATGTCAGTATTGTGAGCTACACAGACGTATGTCAGTTTTGTGAGCTACACAGACGCATGCCAGTTTTGTGATCTACACAGATGTATGTCAGTTTTGTGAGCTACACAGACGTATGTCAGTTTTGTGAGCTACACAGACGTATGTCAGTTTTGTGAGCTACACAGACGTATGTCAGTTTTGTGAGCTACACAGACGTATGTCAGTTTTGTGAGCTACACAGACGTATGTCAGTTTTGTGAGCTACACAGACGTATGTCAGTTTTGTGAGCTACACAGACGTATGTCAGTTTTGTGAGCTACACAGACGTATGTCAGTTTTGTGAGCTACACAGACGTATGTCAGTTTTGTGAGCTACACAGACGTATGTCAGTTTTGTGAGCTACACAGACGTATGTCAGTTTTGTGAGCTACACAGACGTATGTCAGTTTTGTGAGCTACACAGACGTATGTCAGTTTTGTGAGCTACACAGACGTATGTCAGTTTTGTGAGCTACACAGACGTATGTCAGTTTTGTGAGCTACACAGACGTATGTCAGTTTTGTGAGCTACACAGACGTATGTCAGTTTTGTGAGCTACACAGACGTATGTCAGTTTTGTGAGCTACACAGACGTATGTCAGTTTTGTGAGCTACACAGACGTATGTCAGTTTTGTGAGCTACACAGACGTATGTCAGTTTTGTGAGCTACACAGACGTATGTCAGTTTTGTGAGCTACACAGACGTATGTCAGTTTTGTGAGCTACACAGACGTATGTCAGTTTTGTGAGCTACACAGACGTATGTCAGTTTTGTGAGCTACACAGACGTATGTCAGTTTTGTGAGCTACACAGACGTATGTCAGTTTTGTGAGCTACACAGACGTATGTCAGTTTTGTGAGCTACACAGACGTATGTCAGTTTTGTGAGCTACACAGACGTATGTCAGTTTTGTGAGCTACACAGACGTATGTCAGTTTTGTGAGCTACACAGACGTATGTCAGTTTTGTGAGCTACACAGACGTATGTCAGTTTTGTGAGCTACACAGACGTATGTCAGTTTTGTGAGCTACACAGACGTATGTCAGTTTTGTGAGCTACACAGATGTATGCCAGTTTTGTGAGCTAACGTATGTCAGTTTTGTGTTTTTTTTATTTTTATTTTAAGCAGACTGACATTTGCTCTTCTTCCCTAAGTTACTATCATATTGAAAAATGTAAGTTGAAACATGAAAAGTTTCACCAAAAAAATGTAAGACTGTTCTAATTATTTCTTCCAAAATAATTGATTGCATACCCAGGTAGTTGTAAAAAAAAAATGAATTTAGTTAACACTTACTCTTAAAACAGACTACTATAAATATACATTTTGTAGCTTATTGGTCATCATAAGTGTATTGCATTTTCTCTTTAATTGTATATCAGAAGTAGTTCTATCTGAATAAGACATGACACAAATGTTTGAAAAAATTGTGACAAAAGGAAATATCAACTAATTTATAAACAGTGCAGCGAGCTTTGAAATGCAGGGTTTTCTCCAGGGCTGAAAAACTTTTGTAAAAATTGCAACAGGATAAAAATGTATCCATTAGCTTATAAATAGTGTAGCAAGCTTTACTTAATAATGCAGGGTGTTCTCCAGGGCTGTTAGGTATTGCCATCTTCCATTATGTTGGGAAATATTGACAGCATATTGAAACAATGAAACCCACTTCCTACTTTTTTTCGCCTATTGTATTTTAAAGAGATATTTTAAGATATTTTATTTTATTTACCTAATTTGGAAGAAAACTACCTTGGTACTCTCTGAATCTCATTTGAAATGGAGCCAAATTTTAACTCCACATTATACAGGCAGTTTTAGAATGTAGGTACCATAGACAACAGGAGTATGAGATACAGACTTCTTATAGCCGTAATGAAATTTTGATAGACTAGACGTTGACCAAGAAAATTTTACTCAGGCATTCGTTTATTAAGATTGAACTAGTTGGACCAGAGTTGTTCATTTATGAAATAAGGTTGAACCTAGCAATCTGATGTTGCTTTCAAGCAAGCCTTGACATGCTGCCTTGCAAGGCCTGCATAAACATTTGCCAGGATTTATACTAAAAAATGTTACATTTAAAAGCAGACAAACCAGTTGAACTGGATACGTGAAAGGGGCCAAAGAAATGATGTGTAACAATAAAGGAAGATAAGTAGTTTCACAGAGGATTGTTTTCTCTCACTTCTATATTTATCATTGAATCATACACATCACAGGAAATAACATCTTGGTCTATGAAGAAATTGATTCTCATAGACCTGAAGTTTTTTTCATGGTGACTGTCTATGGGTTGACCAATAAGTTTGAAAACTGGCTGTGCCATTACTATACAAAATTTATATGTTACATTCAGACTTCAAATACATGCTGCGAAAGACTAATTAGTTTGAAATGCTGCGAGTGTTTCTCAAGCGATATTGAGAAATGTCCTTTCTATTACACACCTCTGCTAGACAATAACTCCATTGTCAATAAAGAGAGCTCCTTACTCTCTAAAAGGAATCATCGTGACTTTCCAATATTGATCTGAAGTAGACTTTACCTGTGATCCTACTGAATCAATATGTATTTTATCTGTTCATGAAAGGGCAGACATGTTTTCTGGTATCAAGTATCTATAGACAGTGTGTCTGAGACAGACGCCCAAGGTGAAGAAGGTATGCAGGTATTCAAACACATGTAACGTATAAGATAAAATACCTCAGGGGTAATTTTATAAGGTAAGGAGAAAATTCTAGCATGTTAAAAGTGATAAAATTTAATAGAGAATGCAAAATTGGAAAATATTCATCAAAATTTCATCAATATTACATGAAATATTTAACAGCCTGATAACAGTGAAAAATTATATGCTTAAATCTATATCAAAAACCACCATTAGGAAGTCCACAATGGCGTTCTCTTATTGCATGCTACTGGTCTTTTGATACAGGTTCAATTAACAGGGAAATCACAAAAATGGGAACATTAGAAATGGCCACTTATACAGGTGGTCTCTTAACACAGGTGGTCTCTTAACACAGGTGGTCTCTTTACACAGATATATGGTCTCTTAACACAGGTGGTCTATTAGCACAGGTGGTCTCTTAACACAGTTGGTCTCTTTCCACAGATCTATGGTCTCTAACATAAATGGTCTCTTAACACAGGTGGTCTCTTAACACAGGTGGTCTCTTTAACACATTTAATCACATAAGTAGGTTTGACTTTTGTATTTTAATAAAATGAGACATATATGTTATTGAAAAATTGTTCTTGGAAAACCAATTGACAGAAAAATATAATGAAAAATATGTTCAAACTTTTTTGTTTAAATTTTTTACAAGAATGAAAATTGTAACTATGAATAAGAAACTTTTTTTTACCAGGATGACATTAGCTTTAATAAATTCTTTCCGAAAGGAAACCAAAAACACTTGTGGATATTTTCTTTGATAAATGAATAGATAAAAATCTACTGTGTATAACACTGTTCTGATAGTAAAACTGAATTAGACCAGACCGACAGATCCAAACCCTGGACCACAATCACAATAGGGTCCCTCCAACGAACTGTAAGCAACCAGGTCTGAGTGGCAGTTCCCAGTGGCCCAGTCAATCAAAAGACAGAAAATGGATCACGAGGAGAGAATTATTACTTTGCAAGCTATTTTAGTGAGTTGGATGATTTTTTGAATTTTTTTTGTTTTTTGTTCTTTTGTGTTGCTGAAAAGTTTTAGATATGCTAACTAGTAGAGAAGTGGATGATAAGTTATAGATATCATAACTAGTAGAGAAGTGGATGATAAGTTATAGATATCATAACTAGTAGAGAAGTGGATGATAAGCTCCCTGCTTCCTAATCAAGAGGTTCGTAGTGTGAACCCCTATAGCAGAAATGTTAGTTTATTTATTATAAAAAATCAGGAGTTACTGTCTGTGATCACAAAATCGCAATGGCCAAATAAACATTGGATGCACCTGCTAGCTAGCTGGAATTTCACTCGGTTGACAAAAGGATTAGCTATCCCCTGCCAATTTGAAAAAAAATGAACAATTTGATCAATTTAAAAAAAAAGACATTAATTTTGTATTTCAAATAGAATATCCTCAGGATCATATTTGTACCCTTTTGAAAAAATCATCTCCGAAAAATTGTCTGTGCGTGTATAAAGTCCATTTAAACAGGTTGTGATCACCTAGTGGAAATACTGCTCTATACTCAGTGTCTTAATTACTTAAATATAAGTAGTAGGCAAAACTATTTTATCTACAATTAAATTGCTCAATTAAACGATTACATTTAATGAAAGATAGTCAATTAAATATCCCATTGCTAAAAGAAATAAACTGTTTTATATCGAATTAAAACTGGCTTCAATGGATTCTAATTTTAGCTCATTAACCCCTGAAATTTCATAATGAACTATTCCAACCTTTGTATTGGAAGGGTTCAAATGTGTCTTCGGGGGTGAATGAGTTAAAGTTCTTTATCAAGTTAAATAAAAACCTGAAGATGTTGGTAGTTTTGAAAGAGATCGTTATTGTGTGTACACGTTCGGGTGTTATTGTTTAAAACAATGACGTGTTTACCGATATGTAAGACTTTGTTGTTATGCTAGGGGTGTACGTTTCATGTCTCCCGTCTCGGAACTGATAGTGTTTCAAGATTAATGTCTGTTTGTCTAAGTCCTATTGTGCTTTATAAGTAGTTATATCTAAAACATGTACATTCAACTTAATCAGATCGTTTGCATGATCATTATATTTAACGATAATTGGCCACGTGGTGCATTATCTATCCCGAGAATTTTGGAAACGGACCAGGGTCTACTACCTGTACAATTTAACAGCATGGATTTTATGTACATATTGGTATTTTTGCTTTGTAAACTGCTGAATGTGAAGAATATTAATTTTCTACAAATTGAAAGAGCACTATATACAAATTTTGCATATTATTATTTAGTTATTTTTAACAGAATATTCCTAAATTTTAACACACATATATATCTGAAATATTAAATGATTATATTAATTCAAATTATTTATTTAATTGCAATGAAAACAATATTTCCTTTATATGTACAATATGTTTAGTCCTCTGAGTATGTGACAATGACAGCTGAGAAATAATTTGCTCTTCCAATATAAATGACAAGTTTGCAAAAAAGTCCATGTATGTTATCTCATTCACCCCTGAAGACTCATTTGAACTCTTCCAATTCAAAGGTTGGAATAGTATTTGAACTCTTCCAATTCAAAGGTTGGAATAGTTCATTATGAAATTTTAGGGGTTAATGGGTTAAGTTTTAAAACTAAATACTCCTTCTTATAACATTGTTCATTTCATTGGTTAAATTGCAACTGCCAACAAACCATTTTGACTAAATACAGACTTTTTTTATTAAATGTATGTGGAATATAAGAAAGAAATTCCTTCAGACCAAATAAGAAGAAATAAGGTTTTTCATGGTTCCTAATACATGTATATACCCTAATTTTACTGCTGACCTTACAGATCTTTTGCAAATTCTTACACACGTACTGGTCAAGTCAATACACACAATGACACACTACACACAATGCAAAATTTATCCCATTTTTGTTCTTGGCTAACTGTAAACAGATATTTAATTTGGTTCAACCTCATGTGGAGAAAAAAGTTCTTCTTATTAAATAAAAAATATTTTCATATTCTCCAGAGTTTCCCAAAATCCTCTGATGGGGAGTTTTTTTTTACCCCTAAAACTGTTGGTTGTGCATGTACCCCCTATCCTACATAACAAAATTTTGAAAATCTATAAAATATACCCCCAAATCGAAAATCCATCGGGAGCACAGCACTGTTCTTGACTTGTGAACTTAAAGGTGAGCAATTCATGCCCATTAAACCTCTTGTATTTAGAGATTAAAAAGCATATACTAGTAGTACAGGCCACTTGGGCCTGTTGTCAATGTTGAGGTTTCTATACAATGGTAGAGATTGTAACACTGTGATGTTATGGTTGAAAACCTCAGTGTCATTCTACACTTCAGTTACCCTGATCGTACGGTCCATTGTTCTCTTTGTTTTACATAATATTCCACTACAATATCTTCAAGTTGAAGTCATTCATATCATATTTCTGAGTGACCTGGATTTGCTCAGCGGCCTATATATTTGATTGTAAACTGTTGGCTACAACATTAAGATTTTGATCCTGTAATAAGACTACGTTGTAAAGTGCATCTATTCTGTGTTATTTGGAATCTGTAGAGTTTACTGTATACATTATTGTTACATAGTCTTTTTTATATCATAAAAGAGTTTATATTGTAGTGACAATAGTTTAACCCTGCCAATTGTTTGCCATCTGGTCTGTTGAATTATTTTTCATTGTTGAATGTGTCCATATATATTAAATTACAGTACACCTATTTATATCTATGATCCATGTTGATTTGTAACTTGCATTTTTCATTGAAGAACAAATATTGCAAAAAAAATCTAAAATTTTCTTAAAACCTATTCACTGGTTTCTCTGTCCATCTGTCTTCCTCTCTTCATGTCTTCCTTTCTTTCCCTCTATCACTCTCCCCATCAATTTTCTATCTATTGACTCATTCACCCCTGAAATTTCAAAATGAACTATTCCAACCTTTGAATTGGAAGAATTCAAATGTGTCTTCAGGGGTGAATGAGGTAATCCCCTCTGCTCCTCTGTCTCCCTCCCTTCCCTATTTCCCTTTCTATCTTTTCTTTCCCCTCTCTTTCATTTTTTCCCCCTGTCTACATTTCAGTCTTTATTTTCTCCTCTCTCCCCATCAATCTGTTACTCACTGTCCCTATCTTCCTCTTTTGCCCTTTCAATATACCCCTCTCTCTTTTCTGTTCTTTCTTTCTTCTTCTCTCTCCCTTTTCTGTTTTTTTCCAAAAAATGAAAACTTTCAAGACATAATCTGTATATAGATAATAACTTGTAGATGGAGTCTGAAAATGTATGTAAAAATGGATGGTATGAGAGTGATTTTTATATATATATATATATTTGTTAAATAAATAAATAAATAATACCATATTTGACCTTTTTTGTGCCCCCTATCCATTTTTCTGTCACAAATGTTCCATCCCTTCCACATATTCTACCAACTTGCATGAAAAAGTGTCAGTTGTTATATTTTTTTCTATTTTTTGAGAAATTTGTAAGATCAGAACTGCAATAATTCTCTATCATTTTTTCAATATATATGTGCCTAGGGCATTTAACAGGTCAAATACGATAATAAAATAATGTAATTTCAATATGTTGTTAATGATAACGACACTTTGGATAAATAACATTGGCTGTCAATGTAATCCATTCTGGTGGAACAGGCTCTAACAAATCTATTTAATGAATTCTTTTGCTACATTGCATGTACATAATATCGACTGTGATAAGAATAATGCCAAAATTGAGTTTTTTATCTTCAACTATCCAATTGGGGTTTTCTTCACAAGCAGGAGTATAGAATAATATTTCATTACAGATATATATTTGAACCATAAAAAAAAAATTCAAGGGTGAAACAGATTTTGAAGTATATGTTAAATATTGGTAATGTCCTTTTTAAAAGTTTGGAGATTCTAATTTTGTGTACATATCAAATTATACAGAAAAGATTGAAATGATTATAGTGTAAAATGAATCTGACACATGAGATAAATTACAACATGATGTAGTTTCTGATAACATACATTTACATTATAAATTCAGGCATTACAAAATTCAATAAAAGACATTATCAACATTATGATTGATTTTCAATAAAGGTTTTCAATATTGACATATTTAAACGACTCAGTCAAGGTGATCTTGTGGGTTCTTTAACTTTAAATTGATATTAAGGAGACCATAACATGGAGGTACACTGTATACATTTTTGTTGACAATTTTGAAATCAGGTGATTTAAAATCTCGATATATTGTATGGCCTTATTGAAAGAATCTTCTACTCTTTGATATGTAACAATTATAAATTCATCTAGTTCAACAAAAATCTGAAATAGACCAACGAAAGTATCAATACATGAACCCTAGCCTATTGCTAGAATCATTTTGATAAACCTCAAAACAAAGTGACAGATTACTGTAACAGTTGTATAATTTCATCGGCATGTTTATTTATAAAATGCGGAATTTGATCATGTTTTATCTTCACCTTTAAATGAAAGGATTAAATTAAATATGAGCAACAGTACCAGCCAGTATACATGGGTTAATAATAAGCACTTAGTAAAATAGTTTTAAGAGAAGTCTTGGCCCTAATTTCAAGAATGTTCCTTGACTTAGAGAAATTCCTAAACTTAAAGTTTTTCATAGAAAAACACTGCTGAAGTTAAGGAAGATTGCTGTAACTTATGATATCATCTTATTACGAATAATATTCTCATGTGGAAGAACTTCACCTCTGTTTTCTGAAGTAAAATAACATTTTTGAAAGTGAGGCTTAGAAAAAAAGACGAAAATATTACAGTTAAGGTACCGTCTTTTTCAAGCAAGAAAAGAAGCCCAGGGGACCAGCTCCTAATCCCAGACTTAAAGTAGGGGGCTCGGCTCACAACAGGACAATTAAATAAATGTTGTTGCATATAGATATGGATGGGCTTATTACCAGGCATGGGCTTATTGCTGGATAAATATAGTATTTGGTCTCTCAAGGTCAGGCTACATGGATGCGTTATGGTAGCATAACATTGTAACGTTGACTGCAAATAATCATTCTGTGCAGTAATTAAAAACTTTGTTGATCGTTGTAGATACTGGCATTAGCACACAGGCAGACGACGCATCAGAATATGAAGGCGAGGGTAGTAGTCGCACGGAACAGCTGCAGCAGACCGACCTAGAAAAGAAAGAATTGGAAAAAAAAGCAAAGAAGAAGAAGAAAAAGAAAAAGTAAGAACTTTTCTTTTTGTAATTTTTCCTGATGTACAATAGTGTTGTATAGGTATGTATTTTCAATTACATATACCCACAGGTCCCGGATTTTATAAAAGTAAATGTTGCGTTTATATATCGCATGCTGTCATAGAATTGCATGCTGGCTGATGGACTGTGGGAAATCGTGGGACAATCACGTTTTATGACAGCCAACACGCACCTCTATCACTGAAAAAAATTGGTGTTATTGAGTGCAAAGGAAATTGATCCCTACCATAAGTTACGATAATTGACCTCCCCCCTAGTGTATAGACTTTGACCGGCTTACTGTAACGTCTTGGGGGTATATAGTACTCATGAATATCTATAGATACCGTTCAATATTGATTCTGTTAACTACTTGTGTTCCAATTATCACCCACACCACACACTTACTTCAGCCATATAGGGTCAACACATGTACACATATATACTAGGCCTATAACTTGACCTTTTATGTCCTAAGATAGCGGAAAAAAGGATTAAGGACCCTTTTGTTTTCGTTCATAAGATTTAGATTTTCATATTTTTTATTTCCATGTTAACGAGAAAATTGTGTGATATCTCGTTGGAAATGCAAAGGATGCTAATAATATATATTTCATTTACAGGAAAACTATGTATAAATATACTAACTATTATGTTAGGAAACATACACCATATAGACTAGTGCAATTATGATTTAATGAATAAATGATTCAATTATAAAGAGTCATTTTAGTCTGCCATGGTAGGAAAATAGTCAAAAAAGGAGAAATGTATATTGTTTGAGGAAAAATGTGTTTAGATAAAATTAAGTAAAGCAGCTCCCCACTGGTCATTTACTAGTACATGTACTCGGCATCATTTTTACATCAAATACGGTAATTACCATTTCACAAGTTTGTCCCCTAGTATATGACTCTGAGATGGAAATGAGGTACCATATTTATCCTGCAATAAGCCCAGGGAGGCCAACACATAATCTCTGACTGAAAATAGAGGGGGGGTGGGGGGGGGGGGCTTATTACAGGACAATGAACAAGCTTTTGTTGGCCTTTATTCCAAACAACAATATATATTGGTGGGCTTATTATGAAACATGGGCTTATTGCAGGATAGATACAGTAACTTTACCAGTGCCTTACTCGATATTACGCGTCCCTATATATATATATCTATGTGAAGAAGATAAACTACAAATTATCTCGTCATATCCCCTAAAACCATAAAATAAAGGCCACAAGGAGATTACAATTGTGTTAGATTAGTGTATTTACTTTCAGAGATTCGATTGATTCAGTTCTTCAGTGTTTTGTTATGATACTTAACACTTTGGTGAAGAGATTTGATAGGATGGCTTCATACAGACTTCAAATTTATAGATAAAGGGCCATAAAGTGTCCACATTCATACTGCTCCGAAGTGAAGAAAGAAAATTGCAGGAGACTTGGAATACTTTGAAGATTTCACTTATATTCCTTTATGACTTCAAATATCAATGTACGCTTGCAAAAAATGAAAAAATGAAATTGTTGTCCAGAAGAAAAATCTTAAGATATATATATAAGTTATAGGGCCTTTGCAACCAGCCAATATCTTTCTCAACTCCCTCCGGAGCATACAGCCGGTGGTGGCATTTCGGCACTCCCAGCTTAGCATTCAACAATTCTAGCACTGCCAGACCATGTACCAGTACTTATTTACAACTGAGTAGACTGGAACAAGCGGAGTAAAGTATCTTGTTCAAAGATACAACACAGTGCCATGCCGTGACTCGAACCCGCAACCCTTCGGTCACGAGCCCGGCGTCCTACCACTAGACTACCTTGCCTCCTAATATGTTGTGTGTTACGTACCATAAGCATTATATATTTCTGCAAAATTATCATTGATTTCTCCTGCTAGTCAACATGAAAATTTGCATCAATAATATGTTAATTTTAAAGTATATTTACCATATCATTGATTCCAGTATAACAAAAGCTTAAGGTCTGAAAACAAATATTGATTATGACGACAATAAAGCGTTAATAAATGATATTAAAACAGTTTAATTTACGAGTGTTCCCAGGTAAGACTTGAAAGCTTTATCAAGGGATAAACAAATGAAGGGTATTCAGGTTCCTGTACTTTGGATGTTTACTCGAGTAACTTTCCATCAATATCTGCATTTCCTACGTACGTCATCAACTACCATTAAACACAGTGTATAACTGTGTCGGAATAGCTGTACAGGGTAAACACTTCCTTTGTCCCAGAACATTTCTCCGTCAAATCTTCTGTCCCTGACGTCAAATCTTCTGTCCCTAACGTAGTGCTGTTTACCATATTTAATGTAAACACTCCCTTAGCCAAACGGTTTCTTGTCAAATCGTCCGTCCTAAAATAGATGTGTCAAACTTAGGCTGGAGACCTATAGATTAAACCTGTCATTGATTGGTTTCGCACTAATAGGTGTTCAGGTACAGCGTACACCTGTGTAGTATCTACCATAGGTTAAACTGGTACTGTCGACCGTAAGGGACTTCTGCAGGACACAGTGAGTGTGCCATGGTTTTATCTACCTGTAAACTTGAATTGGAAGTTGATAGATAATTGTGTGGTAGACTGTAGACTTGGGTGGTGGTACAGTCAAACCTGTTTTATGTTTTTAGTTCAAAATAAGGTCACATAAGACAGGTGGTCACTTAAGACAGGATCAAAACTTTTCAAAGATTAATATAAACTGTGTGTTTAAAATGATTATATGATATTTATTTGTGAAATATTTACGTAATAAAACAATTTGACTTTTATAAGCATTATATATTAATAATTTATTAAATAGTGGTTTTTTTAAGATGTTTGTTAAAAATTAACATATCACACAGCTGGGCGAGGTAATGCGTTCCTGTGAACGTTTGCCTCCTGCCCAATCCTCGCCTTTAGGGCAAGGTAATGCGTTCCTTTGAACATTTGCCTCCTGCCCAATCTTCGCCTTTAGGGCGAGGTAATGCGTTCCTTTGAACGTTTGCCTCCTGCCCAATCCTCGCCTTTAGGGCGAGGTAATGCGTTCCTGTGAACGTTTGCCTCCTACACAATCCTAGCCTTTAGAATGAAATGTTTGCTTGGTAACGTATCTATATAAAAAAGACCTGTTTCGTCCATATTAAAAATATCACATGCATTATATCCTTCACATAATGTCCCTAGTTTAGATTTCCAGTCAATTACTGTAGTATTACTCTCATCACCTCTCTCGCTTCTCATTGTTCCAAATACAATGTCGTTACGCTTGGTAAAACTTTCAAGCCAACCATTGGAAGCCTTAAAACTCACGTTTCCTAAGTCACCGGCAAACTTCATGGCATTCGTTTTTAACAATGGTCCGGTGTCATGCATAAAATGTACCTCCTGCTTAAATAGTATCCGGATACTTTTTATGCAGAATAAAAAGTATCCGGAAACTTTTTATATCCCTACCAAAAAGTACTCCCCCTGTATAAAAAGTACCCCCCATGGAAAAAAAAAAATTGTTTAAATTTGTTTAATCACAAACAGTTCAGAAGTTGATCAGAAGATTACAGTTGTATGTTTATCCACCCCTACCCCACCTGAATCCCCACCCCGGGGCCAGGAAATTATGCCAAAATAATTTTCAATCACTGGACACAATTAGGTTTGGGGAGTCAAGTAGAAACATTTACAGTTATGTTATAGNCCCCCCTAATGAAAAAAATATTTTTTTCTCTTTTTTTTTTATCCAATTGAGTTCAGAGCTTGAACAGGACATTACAGGGGAATATTTATCCACCCCTACCCCACCAATCCCCACCCCTGGGGCCAGGAAATTATTCCATTTTTTTTTTTAATCACTGGACACAATTAGGTTTGGGGATTCAAGTAGAAACATTTACAGTTATGTTATAGTCATTACCCAAGCTATCTTCAACTCCCCACCCCCTGGATACTTTTTATACACCCGACCAAAATGTACCATAACTGGTAACATTAATTTGCCGGCTAACCACATCCTTAAACCATTTAAAACATAATTTGTTAATTTCTTCATTGCCGTTAAGATGGTGTTGACGTTTTGCAGTGCCAGGTACATTGTTCTCCTAATCTTTTTAGTATTACCTACGTACTATTACTCTGTGGTGTACTGAAGCCTTGTGGTAGTTTATAGGTAACTCTGTGGCATACTGAAGCCTTGTGGTAGTTTATAGGTCAGTTTCTGGTATACTGAAGCCTTCTGGTAGTTTATAGGTAACTCTCTGGTAAACTGAAGCTTGTGGTAGTTTATAGGTAACTATGTGGTATACTGAAGCCTTGAGGTAGTTTATAGGTAACTCTGTGGCATACTGAAGCCTTGTGGTAGTTTATAGGTCAGTTTCTGGTATACTGAAGCCTTCTGGTAGTTTATAGGTAACTCTCTGGTAAACTGAAGCTTGTGGTAGTTCATAGGTAACTATGTGGTATACTGAAGCCTTGTGGTAGTTGATAGGTAAGTCTGTGGTATAGTGAAGCCTTGTGGTAGTTGATAGGTAACTCTCTGGTATACTGAAACCTTGTGGTAGTTTATAGGTAACTCTGTGGCATACTGAAGCCTTGTGGTAGTTGATAGGTAGCTCTGTGGTATAATGAAGCCTTGTGGTAGTTGATAGGTAACTGTGGTATACTGAAGCCTTGTGGTAGTTGATAGGTAACTCTCTGGTATACTGAAGCCTTGTGGTAGTTGATAGGTAGCTCTGTGGTATACTGAAGCCTTGTGGTAGTTTATAGGTAACTATGTGGTATACTGAAGCTTTGTGGTAGTTGATAGGTAAGTCTGTGGTATAGTGAAGCCTTGTGGTAGTTGATAGGTAACTCTCTGGTATACTGAAACCTTGTGGTAGTTTATAGGTAACTCTGTGGTATAGTGAAGCCTTGTGGTAGTTGATAGGTAACTGGGGTATAGTGAAGGCTTGTGGTAGTTTATAGGTAAGTCTGTGGTATACTGAAGCCTTGTGATAGTTGATAGTTAACTATGTGGTATACTGAAGCCTTGTGGTAGTAGATAGTTAATTCTGTGGTATAAAGCAGCCTTGTGGTAGTTGGTAGGTAACTGGGGTATAGTGAAGGCTTGTGGTAGTTTATAGGGAAGTCTGTGGTTTACTGAAGCCTTGTGGTAGTTTATAGATAAGTATGTGGTGTACTGAAGCCTTGTAGTAGTTTATAGGTAAGTCTGTGGTATACTGAAGCCTTGTGGTAGTTTATAGGTAACTCTGTTGTATACTGAAGCCTTATGGTAGTTGATAGATAAGTCTGTGGTGTAAAGAAGCCTTAATTGTGGTAGTTGCTAGGCAATTCTTTGGTAGACTATATCTAGGCTTGTAGTGGTAGTGGATGGTATTTCTTTAGTAGACTGTTAACTTCTGACAGAAAGAGATAGGTGATTCTGTGGTAGACTAGAGCTAGGCTTGTAGTGGTAGTGGATGGTAATTCTTTGGTAGACTGTAAACTTCTGGCGGAAAGAGATAGGTGATTCTAAGGTAGAGGCTATGTCCAACTAGTAGCCTTCTAGTTGTGTTTAGTGGATAATGAATTCTACGGTAGAACTGTAAATCTATGAACTTGTAGAGGTAGAGAAGATTTGTAGGGAATTCTTTAGAGCACTGTTGACCATATATGTATCGATATATAATTATATACCTGTAAACTTTTTGGGGCAGTACTCGAGGACGATAATTCTATGGTATATAGGTAAATATAACTGTGGAGTGACGCTTGTTGAAAGCAAACCCCTGAATAACACCAGTACGATCATAGAAGCCATGAGTGTCACCCTTTGTTGAAGATCTACAATGAATACCATAATATATATACGGGTGTTATGCCTGATGTTTTGTCCTAAGGTAACCCTATATACACAGCAAGAAAAGGCCACAGTCATACCCCATGTCTCTCAACTGCTCATACGACAGCTAGTCCGAAGTAAGAGGATAAGTCAACATTAACGCTCCATTCATACAAATTACAGCCGATTATTTATACCCCTGATCTTCCATTAGGAGTCCCTGTTAATTTAATTAAATCCTCGGCATGCTAAAATTTTATCAGCATAAACCTGCCATTGTTATTTCTGTCGCTGAACAGGGTATGTCTTGAGCTCATTACTAAATCTTGAGTGTTCACCGGAACGGAAATGGTTCTGTAATAAGAGTATGTATATTGGAATAGTAAGGTTAGCAGTCCTTTATTGGTATTTTCTCTGTCAATATTGGCAGGTGAAAATCTATATAAGCATTATACCTGTACCTGTTATCATCTATAGTGCATTTGAGTCATGAAGGCTTATAACAGCGTTATGGACATAGGACACTTGTAACGATTTATGTTAATCGTCACTAAGCTCTCTGTTATTGCTTTTATAATGCACTTTTACAAGAAAAGAAATTTTCCATACTTGAGTCAGTTGATAATAACTTTTTAACATGTTCAAAAGTGTTAAATTATTTGGTTCAGTAAATTTTGTTCTATGAAAAACTGAAACACAGGTTAACCAAACTCAACTGGATTTATAAAACTGCTATATTACAACACAATTTGTAGTTGGCCTACAGGCGTCGATATCACATTGTATGAAGCTCTACGAAGCAGGTCTCATCCAGTCAGATTTCAGGAAATTTGCTGGTCACAAAATGAAAAATTATTATTGTAGTATGACTAAAATTCTTAACTAAGAGGCACAGAATGTGTTTCCCATAATTCTTAACTCCTCAGCCCCATTCTGGAATAGAAAGTGGGAAAAAAAGGACTGATATACTATATTTATATATATATATATGTATTATATAATGGTGGTATTTTAAGGGTAAAACTTTCATGATTTTGTAAGTGAAACAATTTATTGAGTTTAAAATTTTGTGTAACACCTTCAGTTAGAGTCAATACAATCATAAGTAACTGTCAAAACCCAGTCAACACCTTTACTAGGCAATATAGTCATAACTAACTCCCTATCAACACTTTTAGTTGTTACTTTATAATATAGTCATAACTAACTCCCTGTCAACACTTTTAGTTGTTACTTTATAATATAGTCATAACTTACTCCCTATCAACACCTTCAGTAGTCAATACAGTCATAACTAACTCACTGTCGACACCTTTAGTAGTCAATATAGTCATAACTAACTCCCTGTCAACACCTTAAGTAGTAAATATAGTCATAACTAACTCCCTATCAACACCTTCAGTAGTCAATATAGTCATAACTAATTCTCTATCAACACCTTAAGTAGTCAATATAGTCATAACTAACTCCCTATCAACACCTTCAGTAGTCAATATAGTCATAACTAACTCCATATCAACACCTTCAGTAGTCAATATAGTCATAACTAACTCTCTATCAACACCTTAAGTAGTAAATATAGTCATAACTAACTCCCTATCAACCCCTTCAGTAGTCAATATAGTCATAACTAATTCTCTATCAACACCTTAAGTAGTCAATATATTCATAACTAACTCCCTATCAACACCTTCAGTAGTCAATATAGTCATAACTAACTCTCTATCAACACCTTCAGTAGTCAATATAGTCATAACTAACTCCCTATCAACACCTGGCTACTACAAAAACGTCAAAAACACTTTTGGAATGAAGAAACCATATTTACGACATAGATAATTTATTTAATGCATTTTTTTTTGTTTTTCAGAATATACTACATTTGTCTTGCCAACTGCAAGTATGATGTTGGTATGTATCCATTTCATTTTTGAAAATTATGTTATATAAAGTTCAGTTCTTATCGTAATTTTTTTTCTTCTTCAACTTGATTTTAATATATGAAAAGAAAATTTGTTTTCTGCACAGCAAAAATTGATATTACTCTGCCATACTTTTCTCAAAAGAGAAGCTTAAAGTTGTCTCACAAGTTTGATTTAACATTATGTTAAGGAGTAAAATGTTTGATTTTGACTTTTATAGTACGGAAGGTGTCTCGTAAGTTTGGTTTTAAAGAAGTTGGTGAGGATGAGGACTGGACGCTCTACTGGACAGACTATTCAGTGGCATTGGAGCGGGTCATGGACATGAAAAAGTACCAGGTATAATCAGTCAACACATTTGTCTGTATATCGAAGTTGTGCCCTAGGTGTTTTAGTATGATACCTACAGTCTAAAAAAAAACAATGAACTAAAGAATTATCTCGTAGTAATATATCATCCTTTTTAATACAGAGCTACGATCAACCTTGACGTTACTGTTTGATAACATTTGAAAACCTAGTGTGTTGAACAATATTTAAGTTAGATTTAACGATATGCTTTGATTCATTTTTTATTTTTTTTCAGAAAATTAATCATTTTCCTGGGATGAGTGAAATTTGTCGAAAAGACATGTTGGCAAGAAACTTGAACAGAATGTTAAAATTGTTTCCCAAAGAATACAACGTCTTCCCGAAAACCTGGTGCCTTCCTGCCGAGTAAGTCTACGATAATCTAACTAATTTAAAACTTTAGTGAAATAGTCCATTTACAGCTTTGAACTGCAATAGAAAGTAAACCTGAACTACAAAAAAATTGCAAGAAGTTATACCGTAACCAACTTGGGTTATGTCCCTTAAGAATAGATGTTACCTCACACGTTATACCTGTGATTTGTGTTTTAGTTATCTCCCTTATCAATATATACTACCGTAAACATTACACCTATGATTTGGGTAAAAGATGTCTTTTTTAAGGCTATATGCTAGCTAACATTTTATAACTATGAGTTATCTCCCTTTAAATAGTTGATAAACACCATCATAGAATTCAGAATGACATTAGTGTATAGTCAATATGAACATTCTTGTACTGTAAAGGATGCTCATTAATTAATTCAGACCACAAGTCCAACTTATAATTCTGTACCCTTTCAGACCTTATGTAACTTTATTAGACTCGAACATGCATTGATATTGATGAGTCCATTATGGTTTACAGTGGTGAAAGGGTTAAAAACATTTTATTTCAAGTGTGGAATTCTTGTTTAAAGGAACTGTGTGTCCTAGTAAGGTTACATGCACCCTTAAGATGTCATAATATAATTGTGAAACTGTCAAGGTTTAGATGAAGTGGAATTAACAGACCGAATCCTTTTTGAAAACCAGAACTTTTGTGATAAGATTATATCTTAAAATGAAATCAGTGTGCATATAACTGATACAATTTTTTATCTATTTTAGTCATGGTGATTTCCTGGCATACACACGACAGAAGAAAAACAAGACCTACATCCTAAAGCCAGAGACTGGTTGTCAGGGCAAGGGCATCTGGGTCACAAAGAATCCCAAGGAAATCAAACCCCACGAACATATGATATGTCAGCAATATATGTGTAAAGTAATTATACCAGAAACTAAAATACTAAAGGTACAAGACTACACTTCAAAAACTGCTGGACAGCTTTCACACAAAATATTAAGTCCTGAAATTGACAGATTCTAAACTAAATGTGATTTGAAAATAAAATTCCACTTGTTGCAGAAGAGGAAAAGAAAATGTTGAAAGAATGGCTTAATTTTGATTACATTTTCTACATACCAATTTGTTTTTAATTCATTATTCGCAAAGACATTTCAATTATAATGTGATACAATATTACCTAATTGGATAATTGGGTCATTCTCACAGGTCAACTATGGCATTTGTATATTTTGCTTCCATTTGGCCCATACAACAATATGTGTCAGGTTAGTTGTTATTTACCATATGGTATTTTGACAGGTAAATAAGCCCCCCACCACCACCTCCTAGTGATAAAAGATTGGAGGAGGCTTGATTACGAGCATCCCTCCTTGTATTCTTTATGTTCACTTTGTATGATGAATATTAATTTGTAATATTTCTTTTTCTCTACAGCCTCTGTTACTAGATGGATTTAAATTTGATTTAAGAATCTACGTGCTAGTCACCTCCTGTGATCCGCTGAGAATATTCCTCTTCAAAGATGGCCTGGCTCGGTTTGCGACAAATAAGTATAATGAACCAACCAACAGCAATATCGTAAGTCACGATTCCTACAGTTTGGTTGATAAAAAAATAAGGTACTGATTTAGGCATTATGATTTAAAACAAATTCTAAATATTGAAATATTTGCAATATTATTATGGATTTAGAGGATCTGCCAGAGGCTCTCAAACATGAAAAATCCAAAACTTGTATCGTAAATCTAATATGAAAGGAAACGAATGACAGATTCTTTTTATCATATAATACGAATTGTGATCTGAAACGAATATTTTGCGTCCGCTTCACAATGACGTGACGTCACAGTGATTGTTCCTTTTCGATTGTGACGTCATTTCCGGAGTGATATTACACACGTTACGTAAACCTAATTTATGTGATGGCTTTTTGACACTGCATAACACGGTATTCGTATGATAAATTAAATTGTTTAATTAGATCATGGCTGAGACAATATAAAAAACAGCTCAAACATAATCTGTAATGCTTTATGATTTAATTTTGAAATAACGTATACCAAGAAGCGCCAGTCACACACTGCATGTACATGTAGTAAAATACATATTAACACAGTATTCATAGCATCCTTCACATGGAATTTCTACTCATTACAAAGATGGTGAAAATGTAGAAAGTTTAGGTGCACAAACGTTTCCCCTATACAGAAGCGTGTACAATTTATTGGTTTTGATGTAATGTTACTATTTATTACAGGATAATGTTTTCATGCATTTAACAAACTATGCCATCAACAAACACAGTACAGATTTCATCAGGGACGACGAGGCAGGAAGTAAAAGGTAACTTATTGTCGTAGCTAAAGTGTGTACAGAGGACGAGGCAGGAAGTAAAAGGTAACTTATTGTCGTAGCTAAAGTGTGTACAGAGGACGAGGCAGGAAGTAAAAGGTAACTTATTGTCGTAGCTAAAGTGTGTACAGAGGACGAGGCAGGAAGTAAAAGGTAACTTATTGTCGTAGCTAAAGTGTGTACAGAGGACGAGGCAGGAAGTAAAAGGTAACTTATTGTCGTAGCTAAAGTGTGTACAGAGGACGAGGCAGGAAGTAAAAGGTAACTTATTGTCGTAGCTAAAGTGTGTACAGAGGACGAGGCAGGAAGTAAAAGGTAACTTATTGTCGTAGCTAAAGTGTGTACAGAGGACGAGGCAGGAAGTAAAAGGTAACTTATTGTCGTAGCTAAAGTGTGTACAGAGGACGAGGCAGGAAGTAAAAGGTAACTTATTGTCGTAGCTAAAGTGTGTACAGAGGACGAGGCAGGAAGTAAAAGGTAACTTATTGTCGTAGCTAAAGTGTGTACAGAGGACGAGGCAGGAAGTAAAAGGTAACTTATTGTCGTAGCTAAAGTGTGTACAGAGGACGAGGCAGGAAGTAAAAGGTAACTTATTGTCGTAGCTAAAGTGTGTACAGAGGACGAGGCAGGAAGTAAAAGGTAACTTATTGTCGTAGCTAAAGTGTGTACAGAGGACGAGGCAGGAAGTAAAAGGTAACTTATTGTCGTAGCTAAAGTGTGTACAGAGGACGAGGCAGGAAGTAAAAGGTAACTTATTGTCGTAGCTAAAGTGTGTACAGAGGACGAGGCAGGAAGTAAAAGGTAACTTATTGTCGTAGCTAAAGTGTGTACAGAGGACGAGGCAGGAAGTAAAAGGTAACTTATTGTCGTAGCTAAAGTGTGTACAGAGGACGAGGCAGGAAGTAAAAGGTAACTTATTGTCGTAGCTAAAGTGTGTACAGAGGACGAGGCAGGAAGTAAAAGGTAACTTATTGTCGTAGCTAAAGTGTGTACAGAGGACGAGGCAGGAAGTAAAAGGTAACTTATTGTCGTAGCTAAAGTGTGTACAGAGGACGAGGCAGGAAGTAAAAGGTAACTTATTGTCGTAGCTCAAGTGTGTACAGAGCAATGTGTATCACTTGATTTTTGTGAGACAGATATTTTCGCATTAATTTTTGAAGAGAGGCAATCTCAGATTCAAATATCTTACCGATGTTTAGTTGAACGCATTTAAGCAAGAGATAAATTCAACTGTTTTTATTCTTTTCCTAAATTTTCCTTATTTTCCTTTTATCATATACCTGCAACTTGTTTCAAAGTTGGGTTGACTCTGAGAAAGTCATCAATATTAATTTTTGGGTACATCTTCAGTGTCCTTCACCAGTTCATCAAATGTAGGTCACTGTGACCTATAGTTTACACTTCATAGACTTTGGTAAGATATTTTTTAGCTCCATTTCATTGGTTGGAGTTTGCATTAAGCTATATCTCCTTTCAAAGCAGAAGCAGTGGTATATGTTTGTTTTATAAAAGTGTCCCTGTTTCATTTATTTATTTATTTATTTATTTTATCAAACAGGAAAATCAGCACTGTGGACAGATACATGCGTGAAAAGGGATTTGACATTGATAAAATGTGGAATGACATTGATGATGTCATCATAAAGACTCTTATATCAGCTCATTCTGTTCTCAAACACAACTACCGCACATGTTTCCCGAACCACGTGAAAGGCAGCGCCTGTTTTGAGATCCTCGGATTTGATGTTCTGCTAGATAGGAAGTTACGACCCTCAATACTTGAGGTAAAACATCAGTTGTGTATACTTAGTTTAAAGAGATATGCTACCTTATGACATGCTTTCTTAGGGATGATAACTCTGACTCAACACACTGACATGATAAGTTGGCATGTATCTTTAAGAACATATCCTGCCTTACTAATTATGTATGTGAAATATGTTAGAGTAACCTCCCTTGTTGTTGTTTTTCTTCATAAGTTATAACACAGAATTATGTTCTTGTTTTAAATCCATGGATTTGAACATGTCAACCATTTATAAAGCCAGTTCTAATTTTTATATTTTTTACCTTTGACCTATGACCGAAGACCTCATTTCCAGTTCTATATATTTGACCTTGACCTTTGACCTTAGACATATCATTTGGTGTCCTATGCATCCTTTTTCCATACAATTTTTTATTATATATTATTAGTCAATAGTGTACGAAGCTTGAACTCGTCCTTTTATGACCCTGGCTTTTTTAAGGATGTTAACTTGTTTACCCCTGAATTTCATAATGAACTATTCCAACCTTTCTATTGGAAGAGTTCAAATGTGTTTTCAGGGATGAATGAGTTAGGCTCCAAACAATGAAGTTTGAATACTGAGACTATAAGCCAACAGAAATGTATCTTATTTATGATACAGATACAGAAACTGATGGATGTACTGAAAGTACCAAAGGACTTCTAACTGAAATTATAACCCATAATATCAAATTTTTATTGAATTGATTTTCAGGTGAATCATTCTCCTAGTTTTAACACGGACTCGGAGCTGGACAGGGAAATCAAAGGTGCTTTGGTGTGGGACACACTCAACTTAGTCAATTTTGGTGCTTGTGATCGCCGTAGATGTATTGAAGAAGAAAAGCGGCGTATTAAGGAGAGGCTTCTGGGAAGAGGCGCGAAAAAGGAAACCAAGTAAGTGGAGCAGCAAAACAAGGAAACTAATTAATTTGTGTACCTTTAACAAGAGGGCAGAGCCAACACAGAATGATAAATATCAATATAATTAGTATTTTTATAATTATTATCAGTGTTCTCACTAGGTTTTGAAATAGGTGATTAATTATAGAGGAATTGACAGTCAAACAATCACAGCTATAATACTGACCTTTTCATATTCTGAAAAAACAGTTGGTTCAAAGTTGATGAATAGCAGTCAAATGTTTCTTAACTCATTCACCCCTGAAGACATATTTTAACTCTTCCAATTAAAAGATTGGAATAGTTCATTATGAAATTTCAGGGTTGAATGAGTTAATACCTCCCAAGTACTTTCACCTGTTTAGAGGTTCATTTAAAAGTATCAGTACAGGCTGGTAAAGTGTACTGTTGTGAATTCAACATAAACTAAATCTGGTAGAGATCTAACATAGGAACTCTATCAACATAACTTTGCCTTTAAATGAACAAATGGTTGGTTGTTTGACAATTAGAATTAAAGAATTATTTTTATCTAGTGACATTTGACCTGATGTGTGATCTGAAACCAGTAAACCCATACTAGAAATCCAATCCTCAACATTTGCAGAAAATATTAGAATGAAAGTTTATTTGTGTTGGTATATTGATAATTCTGATGGGTTTTTTTAACTTTTGTTTGCATTACACGACTACATACCAAGATATTTTAGCCACTACTGCGGCCTTCCTCAGTGTAACTGCGAGTTGTCAGGTGTAATTACCTCGGGTCCTGTGACCTCTCGGACACATGACCTCGGGAGTGAGTCATAGACACCTGGCTTGCTCCAAATTGTGATTGTTTGTTAGGGAACTTGAAGGAACATCTGGGTATATGACTGTTTAGTTACTTACTCATGGTAAACTCAGGAAGACTGGTAAATGTTCTGCCACATGTTTACAGGGAGGAGCTGGAGTTGGCTCAGGCCCAGTATCTGGAGATATTGGAGAGGTACGAGAATGGACACCTTGGAAATTTCAGGCGGATCTATCCGGCACCTGGGTGGGAGAAGTATGACAAGTTTTTCCACAGTAGTGGGACTCTGTTCCAGGAAACTGCTGCCTTCAAAGCCAGGAGCGAATTAGCAAGGTATGCTACACTCCTGAATAATGTATTATTAAAAATGAAAAGAAAAATATCATTAAGGACTTCCCACCCTTCGTAATACGCATGTTTTTCTTGTCGTATTTTTCGTGTCGTCATTTCCGTATTGCGTATCGGGCATATCATTACCGTAGTGTAAATTATAGTAACACCGGGTAAACAATAGTACACATGCGTGATGATGATATGTCAACACCCGATATCGAGTGATATCGTAATAAAGCTTATGATAGAAAGACATTAATTAACTCACGGGAAAACACTGACATACGATCAGACGACTTAAAGAAGGTCGTATGAGGCGCATGGAATGCAGACTGATGTGTTTTGTTTACCGACCTTACCTGTACGTATCACATGCTAACAGTAGTTCACAAAACAAATATCAAGATCCCTATAAAATGCAAGTGTATGTGCGTGCACGTGATAACGGCATACCATGCGATATCCTATGGTTACATATGTACCTGACATGTAAATATACCATGCGTAAGCGGGCTATGGAATAATGTCCAAAGTGTACATGATTGAGAGTAATTTTGTTCCATAAAAGAACAGTAAATTGACAATTAAATATAGTAATTTAATTCATTTCCGTCGCTTTTGGTAAAGTAAAGAAAATAAGTGTCGTTGTGTAAATTCTAACCCTCTGCAAAAAGTTCCAATTTTTTTCAAGGTAAACAACTCTCATCAGGATCAAAATTATTGTAAAATTTAATATAAATTAATTATTAAGACTTGGTTCAATTTTTTAGTCTTTTTGTATGAAACTATGTGTCCTGTTTGCTTTTAGCTTGTAATTAGTAACTTTTATCCATACAATTTCAATAAAAAACGCTTTTTGTTACATGTTGTAGATATTTTTTGATAAATAAAATATTTGTAGGGTTGATAAGCAATGTTTCTTTTCGATATTTTATTGTTGTTATAGTTTTGAGCAATGCCACACACTCAAAAAAAGTGATAGTGTTGAATTTGACAAAAATTTAATTTTTCGGTATTTTTTACGGTTTATCGGAATGCTTAGATTTTCATAAAATCATCTCTACATATTGACATAACTATTATGTGAAGCTTTCATTGAATTCTGCTGGCTAATTACGAAAGGGTGGAGCCACCTTAATATTGAATTTAAGATCACCTCCAGTTCGGTGAACAAAGAAAATAATCTGTTTATAAAAAAAACATCAAAAAAGTTGAATTTTAACTTAATATAATTTTTTATGCTGCACAAATTTTGACATGAATGGCTCCTGTGTACCTACAGTTGAGTTAATTACCTGTGAAAGTGATTTTCACAAAGTCATGTCTGAACAGCACTCTAAAATTCCTATTTGCTATTAATTAAGGATCCCCATGCCACTGTTGAAAACTGTAACTACACATTGGAAACTTTTTTCTGGCATTACTATGTCTTCGATAAATTATTTCTCAAAAGAAACCAATACCTTTTAATGAAAAAGGAGAATAAACAGCAAAAAAAAACACAGCAGTATATTCTGAGTGTAAAAGTGTAATGGCGCCAGGCCAGGATTTGATAACTGCCTGAATTGCAATTGGTTGAAGTGATTCACTCATGATTATACCTGACATGTCGTTTTTGACCAATGTTTTAGACAACAAAGGGATGACATAGCCCGGAAAAAAGAAAAGTTAGAATCCATGTTAAAAGGAAAGAAAGTAAACACAACTGGTCTACGGCCAGAGAGTCCAAACAGTCGCCGAAGACGGACACTTCGAAGGACAACCATGCCTTCCCGACGTCTCCTAAGCTCACGTAACAGTCTAGAGGTCAGTATTGTTGATTCCTGGTGAACTCTTGTAACAGTCAGCAGGTTAGTGTCAATGATAAACAATGCAGTATCCTGTGGTGGTTATCAAAGGGAGGTCACTCACACAGCAAAGTAAAGCTTTCACAGCAGATAATAAGGTTTTCAATCAGCCACTACAGGAAGGTTCAAATTGATAACTTATGATGTCTGAATTGTCCAGCCACTTTGTTCAAACTTTAAGTGACATCTGTGTCCTGAAACAATATTATTTTGAATTTTTGAATAAAAAAAGGGAAATTTGTTCCATGGACAACTGACTTGATAGTCAGGCAACCAAATTAGTACTAATGACTGGATTTAAAAAGGCAAGAGTCAGCTCCCAAATCTATTATTATCACTCAATGAGAAATTTAACCATATTTATCCTGCAATTAGCCCAGGGTCAGCACAGAAAATCTGATTCATAGTCGGGTGAGCTTTTAACCAGACAAAGAAATGATATTTGTTTGGATTTCCACTGAACTGTGTTTGACATAGGTGGGCTTATTACCAGGCATGGGCTTATTGTTGGATAAATACGGTAATTGGAACTCTCTTTCTGTAAAACATTGTATAATATCTAATGCTTACCTCATCAGGTGATGGGCAGTGAATCTTCCCGTCAGGTGTATGACGAACCGGTGGACACGTCAAAGCCAATGGACATCCTAGAAGAGGAGGAGCTTGAGAGAATCAGTGGCCTTTTACAACGTGACAATTTGGTTCGCGGTCTCGGCATCGTGGAGCATGTTTACCGCCTCCTACATTGTACGCCCGGTACCATGGGGGTCTTGAAAACAGACTCTCGTGCTCTTCCGCCTCCCCTGGTACGTATCTCCGTCATATTATCTTACACTCATGATGTAGCGGTATCAGAAAAGTTACATAGTTATTATAATCAATAAACCCCGACTCGGTTAGATGTAATACTGTAGAGTTTTAACCTACTCGCGTACCAAACTAGTGCAGAAATATTTTGTAACTTTTATAGAAAGGAAAAACCTAGGTAGATGTAATATTCTAGAACATTAATATATAAAGTCATAATTCAGAAATTTTAGATTTCGTAATATATAGATGTATTTATTCTTGAAATGAAATAGGCATTATCATGTTGCTGAATATGATAACATATCCTGTAAAATAGCGATTCTAGATAAAGATTATTGTCATTTAGTTAATTAAAAAGAAAATCTGAAACTGTTACAAAAATTTCCTATTTAAAAAAGTATTAAATCATTGCTTTACTGTTTTTAAAGCGGCAAAAAACCCTGGACGGGTTTATCAGTTGTAAACAACATACGTTGATACCGGAGATAACATTGGTAATACATTCTCTGGTAGATCTGTAGTGTTCAACAGTCTCGACAATTAGTGACTATTTGTGATATCTCAGTAGTGACTCGGGTCTCTCACGGGTCAAGTGACTGTTACATTGACCCAAAATATTGTTACATATATTTTCAAAGATTTCTTTTGAGTAAAAGTATAATTGTTGGCTGGTGGTTTTGAGTTTGAACAGTCTTAGAAGGGTTTTATTAGCTTGTAAATAGGTACATGATACATTTTATAGTGTCCTATTAGTCCTTATTATTATGAAATTATTCTAAGTTGCTTTAATTACGTAAGATTCATTGGATGACAGTATTCAATGTGTAATTCAACACTGTCAGAAGAGAATTGGAGCTGTCTTACTCAAAAGAATCTTCCCACATGAATCTCCGTAGTACCTCCATATGTGTGAGGCTGTGTGATAGAGGTTGTAGGGTGATCTGATTGTTATGGGTCAGAATTTCAAGCGGCTCATTTGTTGTACCATACAACATCAACAATACAACATGCAAAGAAAAATTAAACAAACCTGAAGCTGCAATCATGCGGTTGATACACTGGACATGTTGTCAATATGTTAATCACATATGGTCAACAGGTCAGAGCACTGTGGACCCTGCTATGTGGACCGTATAAATTAACTTTTAATTAAATTCTTGACAGATCTACATCCATAATCCATTAGCCACAAGACCAGATTCACAGGTAAAGAGTTACTGCCCCTGTTTAGAACTCTCCACCATAACACTGAGTTTATGGCTAATCAGAATGATGCATCCCTATCACGGCTTAAATATGAACCTATAGAGTGAAGTAGTTGTTTAGATATCATTTATCAGAGGGAAAAAAGCAAACTTCTTTCTTGTCTGTTAGCAATTTCCAGTGTTTAGATTCTGTATAATGTTTATGTAATAGTATTTTAAGTTCCTTAATAGATTTAATTGAGTTTAACTATTCTGAAAGATACTTTTTTCTGACTTGAACATACATTATACCTATAATTTATCTTCGTAATAAAATTGTTTTTAGATAGTCCTGAATTTCAGTAATATATTTTGAAGCTCTGGATTTACGTCAGCGATTGATAAATATTATAATTACTATATATATATATATGCAAATTACTATATCTTGCACAAATATATTTCAATGAATTGGACTCATTGGAAATTTGAATGAGCAGTTTATATATATATAGTCTACCTGTGTGTTTGATGTGTTATGAGATTGTATATAAATTATATAAGTTTCCCATAAGATTGTATTTAAATATATAAGTTTCCGGTGAGATTGTTTATAAAGATATAAGTTTCCCGTGAGATTGCATATAAAGATTATGTTTCCCGTGAGATTGCATGTAAATATATAAGTTTCCCGTGAGATTGTTTATAAAGATTATGTTTCCCGTGAGATCGTTTATAAAGATATAAGTTTCCCATGAGATCGTTTATATAGATATAAGTTTCCCGTGAGATTGTATATATAGATATAAGTTTCCCGGGGGCACCACCTGTCTGCTGTGTCTTCTTGATCCTGTACACAATTAACCCACCTTAGTTGTTTTACCCTTTATCAATTATCTCCCCCTCCTTGTCCCTCCACACTCACACGGTTGTTTGCGTGCTGTATTCGCCATATTCACCACCCTGGGGCACTTAAAAAGATTAATGTTACATCAGTGCTCTCTATCATAGAAACGTAATCGCAAAACAAAACAAAACAAAACCCAAACTGTTTGTCGGTGTATCATCAAAGTAAATGAAACACTTTTCCAGCTGCTTTTTTTATTTTCAAGATTCTTGATATATTTTGTCATTGAGATGAAGAAAAGTTTGGGTGCCATACTTTAGCGATACATTTACTGTAATAGTGTTAAAAGTCATAAAAAAAAAACTATTACGACACACTTTATATAAAGGAAAATTCATAGAAGGACAGCAGATGACGGGGAGAAAGTTTACAAAGTGGCCTTTTGTAAGAGGGGTGCCTTTTATGGCGAATATGGTATGCTAGTACCTTAATTCTGCTCCTGTACTACAAACTTTGGAACACACTTGTTGTTTATCTAAAATGAAAGTCTGTATGTAAAAAAAAATAACACAATTTTGTCAAATCTTTTAAGTTCTTTGAAGGTTGTCGCAAACAGTTAAAAAAACCTGTTATTATTACATACGTACGAGGGAAGCAATGTCATTGAGGCCAAATATTACAAAATTGAGAGTTCTGGTGTAGGTGAAATTCTATTTGTATGGCTAGTGCCTATGTTGTTTATATACACTGTACATTTAAGCTCCCAACTGATCTAAGTTTCTCCTACTTATTGGGGAAGGTAAGTGTCGGAATGATTTCTATACTTCAAGCTACAATAGAAGTGACTACATGTCTTGATACTTATAGGGTTATCCTGTATACCAGATCACAGCATGTCTCAGGATATACACAGTTTGTCTGTATCAAATATAATTTACGATGCATGTGAAACTAAGACGTCTTTTTTACCTTTTGATTTTATTCCATTTTTTTATTTTTTTATTTTAAATTAGATTAAAAATGTAAACATAGAGTTACATGCATTGTGCAGTTCAAGAATACAATGCTATATTCAAAATAAAAAAAAATCATAAATATAAAAATAAAATAACCTTGCTGTCCTGCCTTTAGAAACTTTGAAGTGTTATATAGCAATATTAAATAAATGGTTGTTCTTTCAATTTCCAACATGAATACAGTTCTCAAATAACAATGATATTTTTTTTAAATGAAATTGCGAAAGCTTCTTCCTGGAATTCTTGAAAAAAAGAATTGTCTCTAAAAGTATTTATTTAACTATCTGATTAATATATTCCGTTTTTTCGTATTGCAGAGTTATCTGCTCTTGTGAACAGGTATTGATTGTTACGTCATTGATTTGTGAGAGTAACGTCATCAATTTTTGAGAAAACGACGTAATTTTCTAGCACAAACCAATGACATTACAATCAATACCTGCTCAAAAGAGAAGATAACTCTGCAATACGCAAAGACGGAATAGTGTCTCACGCTATAGAATGGTACTGAATGGGTGAAATTTTGTAGCTAGCTCGTATCTGCAAAAGGAATAGAACAGTGGAGAAAAAATTGGATAAACATCAACATTTTTGTAGAAATCATGACATTATTGAATTTTTGTTTTGACAGATCACAAAACACATCTTATTCATGAGAAACAGGTCTCCGGGTTTTAAACAGACAAGTGTAAAATATCCAACCTTTTCTTTTCCTTATGGCGGATACAAGGTAGCATGGACAATAATGAAATCATTTTACAATAATAATAACGGACCATACAAGTACACCCAATCAGTATCATCTTAATATTAATTAAATCTCATTAATTTCTAAGACTTACGTATATAGTGCTTCAATTAATATGATTCTAATTGCCAACTAGTATTTTATGCTTCAATTCCTCTATATTTAACTGAAACTTAAATTATTATAAATAATTATGACACGAACAAGAAGAGAAAGAAAAAAAACAGAAGTTCAGCTTCTGTTTCCATCCCTGGTTGTACATATATTTAACCTCTATTTCTCTCCCTGGCTAAACATTCAACAAAGAAATCTATCTTAAGGATCCTGAATTGGTGGAAAAGAAAGCAAATCTCAATATCTGCTTTTCTCTTTCTTTTTTGTTTTTATTTCTCCTTTTTTCCATTATTTATTTTTCTTAGAAGAGAGTGTTTATGTTTTCTTTATTAGTTTTACTTCTTTTTAATCATTAAACTGTAGTTGATTTTTTATCATATTTATTAATGTTGAAGTCGAGGGGAAAACACTTCAGTATCACATTTGAATATTTCTGATACATATGTGTGATTTAATTAATAAGGGTGTTCTATCAGAGATAAGAATATACCAAGCATTCTTTATTATATTGTTTATAAGTACATGTTGCCTGAAAACATACATTATTACCAGATATATAATCAAACTTATTTTGGACATATTTTGAATTTACTTGATTTAGGTAAAATATAATTTTTAGTAATTTCTTGCTGTCTTTGGAGTATTGAAAGAAATTCAATCATATCTGAGGATTTGTAAACTAGAAACACATGATAAGTGGATCATGATGACATTATTTACGGGGATGTTACCCTACCTCTGACTGGTGAACACAAGGACTATGAAATGGTGTTTCAGTAAAACCTTGTTATCTTGCCATGATTTGATCAGTGAAATTTTGGCAGTTTAAAGGGGTTTTCACAGTACTATATTGACAGAGAAATTAAAGAAAACATGAAGAAGGACTGTAATGCAATGTCGGTAAAGTGAGGTGACATTGTATTGAAGTTTTGCTGTATATTTACCTGTAGCAGGTGACTTAATTGTCATAAAGTCTGGAAGTTAACAGGGAACAGTCAGAGCTTGGTTAGCATGAATTAATGTAAAATGCTTCAAGTTTGTGTAAAATCTAGCAATAATTAATGAGGTTAAAATTTGCATGTAAATTAATTGTGAGAAACATTACAGGAATGGTTCACTTTATAACTGGAAGCCTCCTTAATCATTCCACTAAGTACTTAGTATTTATAGTAACTAATTAACAGTAGCTCTTAATTACTTCTAGTCCCTGTTGTATCAGCTTCATCAACAAAATGACACGTTTAAATATTATTAAAAATGAAAATATAATATTTACATGTCCAGGCCAGATTCAATATGATTTTTATTAGATAATATTCACAATTTTTATTTTTTTATTTTTATTTTTTTTATTTCTCTACATGCATGTTTTTCAAAGAATTAAGTTTACAAAAATTGAGTAAACCTGTCATTAAATTGGTGGAGCTTGATACAAGTGAATTAAGGCATGTACTGTCAGCTGTATATCTCACCTCGTCATCACAACTCAAACGGTTACTACCTTAATTCAAAATTAAATTTTAAAGTTATACATGTATCATAAAAACAAAACTTTTTTGATTTTTAACCAAAACAATTTAAAAAATTAATAAATAACACCAAATAGAAATTAACCTCTGGATTTTATTTTTTAAATATTTGTATAAAATTGTATGTATAAAAATTTAAAAAGAAATATTGGAAAATGAATTAAAAAAAAATTGATTTAATAAATCATTATAATATAGTGTTAATTTTAAGGTTGTGTGAAATTGTTTTCATGAATTGTTTCGGTTCCTTTATATTTGAGTGCATTGCTCTGATCTTTATGTTTAAATGTGATTGTGTTATGATGACCAGTGAGAAAGCATTACTTTACTGTCTTCTCAAGATGTATGGTACTGTTTCTGAATTCTGGATGTTTAAAATAATATAGTCATCTGAATTACATAAAACATGCCTCATTCTGAGCAGACCTCTGTCTGAAACCCAAAACAATATTGCAGTAAAATTAAATGATAATGTTATAAGGGGAAAAAAATCCAGAAAATTATGTTTAAACTTTGCAGAATTACCTCCCTTAGATATACAGTAAAATGTCAAAAATATGGTAAAGATGTAAAATATGATGGTATTTTTTAAAAGAAAAAGAAATAATTGTATACATTAAATGAAAGGAATTTTTACTTGACTTTTTCGTATTAAAATTATTTAATGTTCAAGGTACAGGAGGGAGGTTTAATCCATTTATGTATCTGTTATTTTAATAATTCTGCTGGTGATTTATTTTAATCCCAAACCCTACACCCCCAATTAGTTGAGCTGAGCAGAAACATTACCATTATTGTGAGGAAACAGTTTACCTGTATATATAGATGATGTAGATGCTTTATAGATTATTACTAAGTTATTGTTTGTCTATCTCTCTGATCTATACTGCTATGTTGTACCCTCTCTCTCTGCACCTGCACAGGATAACCAGAGGTGGCTGTGCTCTAGTAGAAACACAGAATCATGCCTTATGGGGCGCCAAGCCCCAGTACGTATAAAGGACCGCCAGTATTATAAAAAGCTCCTGGATAGGTACTTTGGACATAACCATGCCCTAGCAAATGAGAGCTCCACAAAGGGAGAAAAACGAGCCAAACAACCTAAGGCTTCAAATCACGCCAACTGTACATCAAACTATCATGGCAGTGTGTTCTGTCAGACCCGCGAGGACACACGCCAGTTTCCACAAGTTCGACTCTCGTACAGCACGAGTGATCGGAAGGTGGTTCTAATGCACCAACCATTCGTCAACGCTGACGAGTCCGAGGGTGAAGAGCTGTATGAGGACGAGGTTGGTAGCCACAGTAAATTGTCGTGTGGCGCAGAGTTGCAGTGAATTCAAATTCTAACTGACTGATACGACTGATGTGCGTGCTTTATATACATACTGAAATTTGTGTTACATTGCAGTACGTTACGGCTGATTTTTAGTTTTTTTGGTGCAGCATGCTGCAAAACCAATCTTTGCATATTCACCATGCTATTTTTTTGAGATGCATGCTGCAGTATCAATCTTTGCCACAACACCATGCCATTATATTGTTTGTGACTAGGTTTGTGGAATGATGTGGTATTTGCTGACTTGAAGCTGCCTGTATAATCTTTATTTGTTGTATGCTGTTGTTGTAGCTGTGCCATTTTGCCACTGACCGTAATATAGATATCTTGCTTTCAACTAGAACCATTTCATCAGCAAAAGGGTAACACAGCAGTGTACGTCAGCACTTCAAAGACAAGTGACACAAGTTCAAAACTGCATGAGTTTAGGAAGGGTAAAGTTAAAGTTAACCCTACCTTGCAGACCTAGTAAACCCTTAAACCAAAATTTGTACAATTTTTATCTTGAATGTGTATGCAATCAACGACATGCAGACATAAGTATCAATTCAAGCTTAGAGAATAAGTTCTGAAGTCAGATTTGTCTGAATCTCTGAATTTTGGGATTATTTTTGAATTAACATAAGGCACGAAAAAATCTGAAATTTTATCTATAATCTGCTAGGTACATATATTAGTACTCATTTTCCATCTACAGCTCGTCATTCACTGGTTGATTTTTAAACTACTTATTCTTATGGGATATTTTTGACTCCTTTTCCACAGCTCTGTAGTCTTTCACTCATGTATTATAATAATTGCAAGTTCAAGATCACGATAGTGCTTATTGGTGGCTGCCTAGGGGTTCACCCGTATAATATTGTAGGTTTCTAATGTATAGCAATATCTTTACCACTCATCTTTGACTGCAGAAGTTAATTTTTCTTTAACTTTATGTCTGCATTAACTATTCATAGAAAAAAACAATCTAAAAAATGTATTTCTTGTTGATTTCAATGTAGTTTTCTTTTACATCTCCGAGTCGTTTATGATTTTTGTTGGTTTTGTCTTCAATTTATTAATCAAACTTCGTATTTAAAAAAAACTTGAAGTATTTTACATTTGTGAACTTTCGTTGCCATAGATTCTTTTGTGACTACATTTGGGTAACATTACCTATAACATGGTGAAATGTTTGGTGTACATTATACATGTAATACTGAGTTTGTCATGTAAAAGGACTTTAGTTTTTGTTGTGCTCTGACCTTAGAAACGTTGAGAAACTGTTGGTGTTTTTGTTTGTCGTTAGTCTAGCATTCTATTTTCCATTGATCTAATATAGTTGCTACCAGGAGACTTTTTCAAATCTGACATGAAGAATGGGGAAAAAGGCATATTATTTCTCTGTTTTATTCCACTACATTCCTAAAATTGTTGCATTTTCAGCAAAATTTTCAGAATTATTGTTAAGAAAGAAAATGCCACTTAACATTTAAATTTCTACGTTATTCTAAAGCAAGACACACTGTTCTTGTTTTAAAACTTTAATAACTGAATTCTTTTTTTTTTAAATGTTAAAACTTCAAATTCATAAGGGAACAAAAAAATGGTGTACATAGTACCTGTATGAGCCACCAGTTACTACTGACTTGAATGCCCCTTTTTTATGCAAATCACTTGTTTGGTTAGATAATGTTTTGAACTCACTAAAAGGCACCATTTCTGAGTGAGCCCTTCTATTGTTGGTGTGAGACACATAGAATTTATCACAATTGAAAACGCATTTTTAATGAAATTTATATTAAACGAAATACACTAAAAAAAGGAAATACATATAAAAAAGTCTGAAATTCAAGATAGTTTCTTTGTGTATTTTTTTGAACTTTTGTAATTAACATATTTTTAGTTCTTTCGATTAATTAGTTTATTTTTCTAAATTCCACAAATATAAAAAAAAAATTGTAGATTTTATAACAGAACTCAGCTGTATACGTACTGTACTCTATATCACCTGTACTGACATTTAATCTTAATTATTCCTCAATTAATTCCTCCTGATTTTTAACACTTTTTTTTTTAGTTTGTGGAGCCATTTGCTCACCCACAAATAACCTTAATTAAAACATTAATTAATCCCTAATTCCTGACAGGTGTGATGATAAGTGATGGCGGGGTGACATGTTTTTCGGTTAGAGGCGTGTGTTAGTGGTTTGTTATACCAGGCTGTTCAAGGGTAACTTATAACCAAAGTTTGGTTCCGTTCGTGCCAACAGAGATAAATTTTACAAAATACATTGGAGTAAATGTACAAGTTTATCTCACAACTATTAAGTCAATACATGGTGAGTGTTGCCTTATTGTACTGCAATCTTAAGGATCCAAGTCCCTCTGCACTCTTTGTTTTTTTCGTATATACAGTTTGTAACCTACCCTTAATTGCGGAAATCCGTTTCAGATCATCAGCTGCGCGGTTTAATGAGTTTGCTATTGGATTTTGCGTTCTGGCATCAGCCTAGGTCATTGTTTACAATGTCCGAAGATGATGTGGTCACTGAAGGGTCACTTTAAGCACTGTCACACTAAAATATCGTAAACTGGACATGGAAACATCGATGACACTCCATCCCCTTAAATTATTCGGACAAAGAGCTTCCGATGAGATTTGCCTCCGAGTTTTTCTACATCTACACAGTCTAAAGGTCTGCCCTGAACAGCCTGGTATCGGAGTGTATCATAAGATTGAGTTGATACATACCCCACACACCTGGTTTGTTTCTTATGTCGTTTAAAAAAAAAAAAAGATTCACCACATAATTTTAGCACCTTTCATTTTCAGATTAACCACTTAATTGGGCTTGTTTACTCTTTTTCCCTTTGTTTCAGAGTGATCGTGACCAGGTTACTTCTGGAAGCCACGGTCATCATCATCACCTTCACTCCATTAACACTGTAGATAGCTCTAACACTAGTTGTTATGCCTCTATGCTTGGTTCCGTTGCACTGCACCCGTATAACATGCCCTCCAATCAAATCACACCTGTGCCCCAGCCATATCTGCCCCATCCCTATAACTTATCCTCCACCCACCTAACGCCCATCCCTAGAGGTTACAGACGTCGGGGCGATGCCTCCGCGTCCAATAATGTTAGTTATACTCGTTTAGTGCCATTTTCACAATCATCTGCTCCTTTGTCCTCCACAATGCAGCCAACCTATGGCTCGTCAAGCCGAAGTACCGCCTGGCAGGGGAAGTCGGGCAGCCTGGGTAGCCTTAACGAGAAGACGGTGCCCTCTTACCAGGTAAACTGCAGGTCACCGTTGGCCGTCACAGAAATATAGCCTCATTATCATGTAGTAGCACTGTAGAGTTTTCCCCATAACGGTACATGGGTTCTGGGAACGGTTCTGATCCAAGGTGACTGTAATAAACATTTCTGTAGTATTGGGCCACTAATTCACAACAGGTTGTAGTTTTACGTGCAAGGCATAATTACATCTCATACATATGTATATATGTGTTTAGTACATCACATGATGAAATTGTGCATTTTCATTGGCTGTTTACATGACATGGACCCACTTGTATAAAACATCTCAACTCTTGAGATTTTCTCAAGTCTAAGATTTCCCATAGACAATACATTGCTTGAGATTTCCCTTAACTTTGAGATGTTTTATACAAGTGGGCCATGCTATTTATGTGATTGAGTGTTGTTGACAACAGTGGTTTTCCTTGACAGTGCACTTTCGATGTTTTTTCGAGACAAATATTTTATTATACTCTTACGCCAGTCGCTACACTATCTCGTCACTAATGTTGGCAACGTCAAACACAAACTCATGTTCACATTAGGTACCAGTTTTGTCTTAATGTAGGTAATATAAAGAGCATTCATTCATAAGTAAAGCTTCTATTCTATTTAAATGCAATGACATTTATCATTAGATGTACTGAATACATTCATGCCTTCTCCTGCAGTCATGGTGTAGTGTTGCTCAAAGGTGTATGGGGAATTCACCTGGCTGATCAGGTGCTGTACTCCTGGGTAAAGATACTCTGCTACTGCAGTAAAGGGGTTTCATTTTTTGCGGTTCATAATTTTTGCAAATTATTTTTGCGGAATCAATTTTGCTCACAGATTTAAGGTTGAGTGGCCATGTCACAGAATTTAGGTTGAGTGGCCATGTCACAGATTTTAGGTTGAGTGGCCATGTCACAGAATTTAGGTTGAGTGGCCATGTCACAGATTTTAGGTTGAGTGGCCATGTCACAGAATTTAGGTTGAGTGGCCATGTCACAGATTTTAGGTTGAGTGGCCATGTCACAGAATTTAGGTTGAGTGGCCATGTCACAGAATTTAGGTTGAGTGGCCATGCCACAGATTTTACTTCATTAAGGTGAAAGCTGCGTGAAATTCCTGCTAATTTTGGTGGGTTTTATATTTTGTGGAAAAAAAACTGTTACCATGAAAATGGCAAAAATTGGAACCCTGCAAAATGTTAACCGTTAGAGTATTGATGTACAGAAGTAATGGTAATGGTACATGTATTACGATGTATTACGATGTATGTAACCATAGAGTAGATTGGTTCTGGTTAAGGTGTAATTGAAGCGGAAACTAATATTAAATATATATGCCTCTAACAAAGACTATCATCAATGAGACCTTTTTGAAACAAACTTCACGGAAGCTATTGATAATTTTATGCTAATTGTTAGATATTTTAAAAATAGTTCAACAAACAAAAATCCGTATTTGGGCATTTTATTATTGAAATTCTTGGATGATGTCATACAAATTATTGTAAGAGAAAACCACATGTTGTACAACCATTGCTCTTTTTTAAACTTTTCTACCTCATTAGTTATTTAAAATTTTAAAAAAAAGTGTATATCGCTTAACAAATCTGTTCTCTTTTAAATTTCAAATTGATTTCTACCAGTATAATAGTTTAACATGAACCATCAACAGACACTTATTGCCGAAGCTCGATTTAATTTATTACGCAAATCATACCTTTCATAAGCACATAATCACACAGTAATGGCCCCAATTACCTCCCCTGTCTCTAGCCGTCCGGTTTTTACACGTTGGACGTGGTAAGTGCTTCCTGTTGATGAGGATCATCGTTCCCCTACGTTTAGCATTGGTTACCTAAACTACTGGTTCACAGTTTGGATTTTGAGTTGTTGAATTCTGAGTGCATTTAAAACACCACTAATATATAATTATTATCGCAAAGATTGTTACCCTTGATTTGTACTAACCCGTTTTTGGTATTTATTTATTTATTTATGTTATTATTGTGCACTAGACATTTTTAGAGGTAAATGACGTTGCGATTTGTTGATTTAAACAATAAAAATGTTCTCTTCAGGAAACCATGCTTGCTAAAAAAAAATGTTTATGATAATTATATTAATATAATGTTTATTTGAGCATAACTATGTGAAAAAGTAACAAGAGTTATTTCACAACTGCATGCTAACTGTAAATCAACAACTTATCATCAATTAATTTTAATTTACATTTTTTTTTTTCATGCTCATTGCAAAATATTAATTGAAAAGTTATCCAAAAATCTTTATCTGTTTCAATTAATTTGAATGCATTTAATTTGTATTACCATGATGTTACTTTCCTTATATTATTTTTATCAGGGAAGCGAAGAAAAAAATCCAGAAAAAATTGTGTTAAAATATTGTAATGTTTTTTAACACAATTGTTTCCGAATTTCAACAGAGAAGCAAGTTTGGGAGGAAACCCCTCGGAGGAGCCAACAGGTCTGCTGGAGGGACGTCAATTATCCCGGAGACAGAGTACCGTAATAATATGTCTCACCTGATGGATACAGAGGCTGAGAGGGCTCGACTGCTGGCAAAAAATGGATACACGGCGACGGGAGAGTGGCGCTCTGACAACACCACGCCCAGCGCTTCACATAAACGCACGCTCAGTGCACACGGTCAGCGCAAAGAAGGTATGCATCTGATAACTTTTATTTCTTAAAACTGAATTATAAAATGTCTAAAATGAAATCTAATATGTCTGAAAAGTTAGATTAAAGTGAAATATGTGTTTTTACAACAATACAAAAAAATAGAGTATGCAGATGAACTTCATTCATGCAAACTCTGAAATGTTTATTTCTGTCAATTTTTTAACTTGGATATCTCAAATATTCCATTTTTATTATAAAGACTCCAACTTGATTTAGATTTGTTCTATTTACGTTCTTTATCAGATTACAGTGGCCCACTAGGTAACTAGGAGTTGACTTCATTAGATATTCAATAACCTTACCGTGTCTGATAGTGTTGTTAAGGGTACATGCTTAATTAATTACTTGAATCTCCATTTCAAAAGAGTTCCAAAGTATCAAACCGGTAAGACTCAAATTTATGAATTATAATTTGGGTTTCTGGTTAATTAATGAAACATTTGAAAGGTACACAAGAATAGCATCCAGTGCAGTGAAAAGTGCTTCCAATAACTGGACCCAGTTAGTTTTAAATTGTTAGTCCTAATAAATGGGCGATAACTCTAATACAAATTCAAGGTGTAACATGTAAGGTAGCATACATCCTTAAATGCATGTGTATGACATTTTCGGGTGCTGTAATTCCATATTGTACAATCCCAAGGTTAAGAGTTGAGATTTGACTCTGTGTGCATGTCATGTTACCTAACAACCCCGTAATATCAATATAGACCTGTAATTATTGCATGCAAATCAGTTCGTACATATGTATATATTGATCTAGTAACTTCGAGGAGTATTTCAGCAGATAATCCACCTGACATGAACAACCACCTAATACCGAAAAAATTAGCAATAACATTTATAAAACCTTGTTATACTGCCACAATGAGTCCAGACAATATGTGAAGTAAAAAGTTGAACTGCAAGAGTGACAAGTTACCTATTGGCATTGTAAAGAGTTTGGCAATATATTGAGGGACTGTTTTAGGAATTATTAAAAAAAATAAAAAAAATAGATTTAAATATTTAAACATAGAGTGGCTTTATAAAGGGGTTTGAAAATGTACAGAAGGATATGTTGAAGGGAATATTTGGGATTGTTAAAGGAAAATTAAATTTGTAAGAGGCCTGAAAGTACCACCATCTTATTTCCTACAGTCGGGTATTATAAAAGGCTTTCATAATATAAAATGAAGAGTAAAATCTGTGGTATAAATGTATGCTAAAAGACAAGGTACATGTATACTGCATGAAAGTTTGAAAGTTACGACATCATGATATCAACATGTTTTCAAAAAATCAAATAACAATATCCTCCTCCATTTTCTTATTGCACGGGATTGTTAAAACACAGCTACAGTAAGTTATCAATGTCAGAAGCTGACGAGCAGTGGCCTGGATAGATCTTAGCGTTACTTATTTCAGCTGTATCTCTTCTTTGTGTGCCTTTCATTTCCATATATGGAATGCCTTCCCAAATACTCTTTGCAAACTGTTTGTTGGTTTTCAATGTGGTAAGCTGCAAGTGGTTGTGAAATCTACGAAAATGCTATACAAATAAACAATCTAAAAAATTGAAAAATTATAATACAGTATTCATCGTATAAGTGACCTGGGTTTATTATAATGAAATACATGATAAATCAAGGCACTGAAAAAATGAAAAAACATTGAATGCGGAAATGTACGCAATTTTACTCTTCAAAAATATATTTGTGTGTGGAAATTTTCATCTTATCAAATTATTCATGGTGTGGAAATAATGTGTTGGAGAGTCGGCTACAATATATATTTGTATGGTGTGTCAATGTATTCAGATAGGTTTATTCAATTTTCAGATTTAAGTGAAAATTTCCACATCTCAAAAATTTCTTATGTTACATTATGTTAGAAATTTGATAACTTGTTTGAAAATTGTGTGAAACGTTTGTGTTACTAACATGAATGGCTCATAATAAATTCTCCGTCACAGTAAATATGTGCAATATTGATTTGTTATGATATGAGGTAAACAAATATTTTCAAAAGTAAAAAAAAAAAGGAGAGCAGCATTTTCCTTGGAAGGGACACTGTTACAATGAATACATGGTTACAAAAGAATAATGTAATTTATTCAAAATGCGAAAAAAAAGAAATTTAGCAAAACAATTCGCAAAAAACAAAGAAAAAACACATACAAAATGCTCAATTTTATTGTTCAATTGGAATGTCAATGGAAAAAAAATCAAAATTACCACTGGCAGCTTGTGTGGCCCGAACAGCAGAAGCTATCGAAAAAAAATATATTGAGGACCAAAATATTCCTGTCCTAACTCTGGTCCTGAGCTTTTATGTTTGTGTCGTTGGCAGAAAAAGTGTTTGGTGACATTTGGTTGAAAGACATTTATACTGCTTAGAGAGAGTTGATCTGGGGATGTAGTGAGACATTTATACTGCTTAGAGACAGTTGATCTGGGGATGTAGTGGGACATTTATACTGCTTAAAGAGAGTTGATCTGGGGATGTAGTGAGACATTTATACTGCTTAGAGAGAGTTGATCTGGGGATGTAGTGAGACATTTATACTGCTTAGAGAGAGTTGATCTGGGGATGTAGTGAGACATTTATACTGCTTAGAGAGAGTTGATCTGGGGATGTAGTGAGACATTTATACTGCTTAGAGAGAGTTGATCTGGGGATGTAGTGAGACATTTATACTGCTTAGAGAGAGTTGATCTGGGGATGTAGTGAGACATTTATACTGCTTAGAGAGAGTTGATCTGGGGATGTAGTGAGACATTTATACTGCTTAGAGAGAGTTGATCTGGGGATGTAGTGAGACATTTATACTGCTTAGAGAGAGTTGATCTGGGGATGTAGTGAGACATTTATACTGCTTAGAGAGAGTTGATCTGGGGATGTAGTGAGACATTTATACTGCTTAGAGAGAGTTGATCTGGGGATGTAGTGAGACATTTATACTGCTTAGAGAGAGTTGATCTGGGGATGTAGTGAGACATTTATACTGCTTAGAGAGAGTTGATCTGGGGATGTAGTGAGACATTTATACTGCTTAGAGAGAGTTGATCTGGGGATGTAGTGAGACATTTATACTGCTTAGAGAGAGTTGATCTGGGGATGTAGTGAGACATTTATACTGCTTAGAGAGAGTTGATCTGGGGATGTAGTGAGACATTTATACTGCTTAGAGAGAGTTGATCTGGGGATGTAGTGAGACATTTATACTGCTTAGAGAGAGTTGATCTGGGGATGTAGTGAGACATTTATACTGCTTAGAGAGAGTTGATCTGGGGATGTAGTGAGACATTTATACTGCTTAGAGAGAGTTGATCTGGGGATGTAGTGAGACATTTATACTGCTTAGAGAGAGTTGATCTGGGGATGTAGTGAGACATTTATACTGCTTAGAGAGAGTTGATCTGGGGATGTAGTGAGACATTTATACTGCTTAGAGAGAGTTGATCTGGGGATGTAGTGAGACATTTATACTGCTTAGAGAGAGTTGATCTGGGGATGTAGTGAGACATTTATACTGCTTAGAGAGAGTTGATCTGGGGATGTAGTGAGACATTTATACTGCTTAGAGAGAGTTGATCTGGGGATGTAGTGAGACATTTATACTGCTTAGAGAGAGTTGATCTGGGGATGTAGTGAGACATTTATACTGCTTAGAGAGAGTTGATCTGGGGATGTAGTGAGACATTTATACTGCTTAGAGAGAGTTGATCTGGGGATGTAGTGAGACATTTATACTGCTTAGAGAGAGTTGATCTGGGGATGTAGTGAGACATTTATACTGCTTAGAGAGAGTTGATCTGGGGATGTAGTGAGACATTTATACTGCTTAGAGAGAGTTGATCTGGGGATGTAGTGAGACATTTATACTGCTTAGAGAGAGTTGATCTGGGGATGTAGTGAGACATTTATACTGCTTAGAGAGAGTTGATCTGGGGATGTAGTGAGACATTTATACTGCTTAGAGAGAGTTGATCTGGGGATGTAGTGAGACATTTATACTGCTTAGAGAGAGTTGATCTGGGGATGTAGTGAGACATTTATACTGCTTAGAGAGAGTTGATCTGGGGATGTAGTGGGACATTTATACTGCTTAGGGAGAGTTGATCTGGGGATGTAGCGAGACATTTATATTTTTTTACCACCATCTTATTTCCTACAGTCGGGTATTATTATACTGCTTAGAGAGAGTTGATCTGGGGATGTAGTGGGACATTTATACTGCTTAGGGAGAGTTGATCTGGGGTTGTAGTGGGATATCGGTACTGTATTCTGGTTTATTGTTTTTCTGATAGCTTAGATACTTGTGTGACAGGTATTGGGTTTATTGTCCAATTTACACCAAACGGTATAATTCTACTAAGACTAGTATTGTCCACAGTCTGCCCAACTATTTTTTTATTTTTTATTATATTAATCTGGATATAGCAGCAATGCCTGCATCCACTAATATCCTATTAACTCATTCACCCCTTAAATTTCATAATGAACTATTCCAACCTTGAATTGGTTCAATTGAGTTCAAATGTGTCTTCAGGGGTGAATGAGTTAAATCCTATAAAAAAGAATCATTTTTGATAATTCTTTGCAAATTGCATAGTAATTGTAAAACCATTTGCTTGATATAATTCTATTTGCAATCTCGAAAATTGACAAAACAAATAAAGAGGGTAAAGAGATTTAAGCTAATATTGACTAGTTTCCGTAGTAACACCTTGTCCTGGTACCATCAATATCTCATCAAAACCAGCCAAGGATAAAACTGGTGAAGAGGCAAAATGGGCCTGTAGCATTCATCAGATAACGTGCATGTGGTTAAAGGTGAATTTCTGAATTCCATACAGCTGTAACCATATCTAAAGATAGCAAAACTTTACAAACTCTACAATCTTGAACCCTTTCACCCCTATGTTACTTAAGAAGACTCCACCATGCATTGATATGGATGAGTCCATTATGGTCTACAGTGGTGAAAGGGTTAGGTGAACAATCTGCAATCTATTTCCACATAAACGTATAATAAAGTCATGTCCTCTTAAAGAATTTGTGCTCGTAAGGTCTAGATAGAACTCCTTTAAAATTAAGACAGTTACCGTCAAATGTCAATCATTTTACAACACATTTTTTTCCAATATTCACGCTCATCATTTATCATTTTGTATAATTACATTGATTTGAGTGTTTTTACCAAAATATACAGGACACCATTAAGTTAATTGTGATGTATTTCCTGTCAGCTTTCAGTTCCATCTACTCAAATCGCACTGTGTGGCAGTATCACCTAGGTATTGGTATACAAAACTGCATTCTAGTTTGCCTATATTTTTTATAATTGCATGTCAATCCTTTTTCCAGTATAGCTCACCCCTTCATTTATTATAGCTATTAAAAACATACTTCCCATATCCCTGAGCTTTAGTTTGAATCAAGCAACTCATAATCCTAAAAATATACTTTGTATGCCAGTTCAGTATATTCTTTCTACCTTATTTTCCATTTCCAGAGCAGATAACTCTTCCAACATTACAAGTTGTCTCCCTTTTGAATTTTGAATTTTAATTGAATTAAATTTCTGTAAATGTAAATTCATTACTTAGGTACCTGTTAAGAAGGGAGATAACTCGTACAGTTAGAAGTAGACTTTGTATTCTGCTAAAGGCACTCGCTATTTCTTTGTGCTATGGATTCTTTATAGTTGTGTATTTTTTATCAATAGAGCACATTCATCGAAAGATAATGAAATTTGTATCTGTTTATTACACGTGATAAAATAACATGTGCCGAATTAGTGAATTGTAACAGTAGTTGTAACTAGCTGTGATGCTAACTTTTAGGTAGTGAACAACTAGTGTTGATATTGTATTTAGAATAAGCAGGAAACAGTTGAAGCATATTGAAATTAGTTCAGTTCGATTTTTCAAATGTCCAGGAGTTTCATCGAAAATACAATATGTGCTTGAAGAAAAGTAATGAACAAAATAATTAAAATTCAGATTAAAAAAATAAATGTTAGCATTTAACAAAGCCTGTCATAGAGATTTTACCATTTATCTTACAATGGTGAAATAGATACATGTATACCTATGTTGAATGCCTCCTGATAAAATTGATCCGAAATATTGACCATCTCCTGATGAAATTCGTCTGATATGTTGATCCTTCAGAAAGTGTCCCATTGGACACACCAAACAAAGGCCCTAAATCCGCTGAATCGTCAGGAATCAGTAAGTACTAGGTGTCGCCTACCTTGTTACGTCCGCATTCCGGTGGAAAGTGTTTATCTGCCCTTACTCTCGCCTGGGTTGCCTAGGTAACCGGAGCCTAGGTTCCCCGGGTTAACTTCCCACCAATCCCTGTCGATGCTCATAACGCAATGGTGGAAGGCTTGCTTATGTCGTAAATGTTCCCTGTTTTGTCATTCTAACTTGATGTCACTCATATCCAACAAACAAATCATAAGTAATCAATAATGTAGTAATCTTTGTTCAATGTCCAATAAATCAATAATGTGTTATACCAATAAACTAATCAATGTTCTTGACACATTAATTTAGTGACATACAAAGTACTCGTGAAATGTAATGTAACAAATGGCCAAGAAGCAGTTACCCATTAGAGATATTCCAAAATACCAAAATAAAAAGTGAAACAGTCTCTTTAAAATGGGGAAAGAAGGATAAACTGTTGGCCTTGTTCTAGTTATGCTTTCAGAAAATCTACCTAAAGTCCAGTTTATTCAAATTATGCTACCTATCAAATATATGTCATGATATGAGCAGCTGTATTTTCCCTTCCTACATGCATACATTTGAGAGTTTTCTGAATGTGAAGACATAACATCTAATTGAATGAGTGTACTCCTTTTTCAAGATCAAACAAATACCGAGATGATGAAATCATGAATACATATTTGGGTCAATATTCCACCCATATCTTATGTAATAGTCCATTACATGAATATAGATAAAAAAAAAAAAAATAGTGATATTGACCTGTAGATTTCCTTAGGTGTAGACATTCATGTTATACTGGCAATAGTTACATGCTATTTTTTACACAATTCTATCTGACCTTAGGAAAATATATACAGTATATTACTTAACATAAACAGTAAATCCATCAATTTTTGTAAATACCAGGTAGATATTTTCACTCTTTCGTTTTGAGTTTACGTGAAAATAAATATCTCACTAAAATACAGGTAATACAGTATCTTAACAAGACTGTTGATTGGTGTAGATGTAGCACTTAGTTTGGTGTAGTGATGTGTAATGATTATCTTCTATGTATACATAGTGCCTTTAAGAAAGGATGGTTGGAGACAACACATACATACAGCTCTCCAGAGGTCGGCATGTTTCTTACTGAATTTAAAGTGAAGGAATTACCCTGTGAAAAAATATAGCCTTCTGAAATTGTGATTTTATTTCATGTATCTTATATTTAATTTCTAATGAAAGTGTTAGAATTACCCGGTACAAGGAAAATATAGACTCTATCTAGTCATGAACATGTGACTGCTGTATACATCTTTATCCTGTAATAAGCCCAGAGGGCCACCACATAATCTCAGTATAGCAATGGACTTATCAAAGGACAGCAAATAATAAATGTTGTTAATTCTACTGAACTACGATACAAATACATGGGCTTATTGCTGGATAAACAGGTTATGTTGATCATTTTACATGTAATAAGATTGAGTGTCTTGATTAGGTGTTAATATAGAAGGTAGGACGTTATCTGATAATGAAATCTGCACTCTGCTCCTATACAATATACACTGACAGTGTAGTACCTGATAACATCACAACAGAGGTCATGTACTGGTGACCTCATCTTAGAGGTCATGAACTGATGACATCACATCAGAGGTCATGCACTGATGACCTCACATCAGAGGTCATGTACTGGTGACCTCACATCAGAGGTCGTGTACTGGTGACCTCATATCAGAGGTCATGAACTGATGACCTCATATCAGAGGTCATGGACTAGTGACCTTTTACTCAGGCTAGTCAATGTGATAAGCTCAAATATTTTGGCATTAGAAAACAAATAAACCTCTCAGGTTACCAGAATATTGATGACTGGTACAATGGTATTAGACCCAACACTATGGTATATTGTAGGGGAACAGAGTGAACAATTCGGTTTGAATCAGATAGGAAATCAAATGTACTTGTGCTTGTGAATTCATTCATTGTAATTGTATGTGTATTGAAGTGTAGCCATTTTGATTTTAACGTATATCTTACTGACATGAACTAAATATTTTTGGTGTGATCAATTCATTTTGTTTCTGCATAATCGCTGTAATTAATCTTGTAACATATTTAATTTACGCTTACTTTCATCAGTGGTACTTTAGGCATTTTGTACACAGCCTAAATGTGTTTGTCTGCATTCATGAAAATAGGCCGCATGATTTGATATAAAAATAATATACTTCAGTTTTATATTTAATACTTATCGATTAAATATTCTTTATTAATCAAAGTGTTGAATTCAAGAAGTTTTAAGTACAGCAGGAAGTAGTGTCAAAGGTGTGTAATTTGTGTTTGACTGCACAACCCAGTACAGCAGTTAGAAATGAGTACGCTAGTTATCTGCTGTACTGTATATCCAGGAATTCAACATAATGGCCAAACATTTTAATCAAGCAACAGGTCATTATTTAATCAACCTTGAAATTACGAATTCAACATATCAGCAAATATTTATGTTTTTATGATGTCTTCCCTTTTGCTTCGGTGTCTCCTCAGTTCCTTATGTTTCATTTTTCTATTGACTTAAGATATTTTTTTAATCTTGCTTTTCCATATGATTAACAATTAATAAACTCAAATATAAACTCATATCAAAACAGTTGATAAATTTATACAAATTGTTATTTTCATCAGATTTACATCCATATGTTAATTTTTGAATTTATGAGAATTTGCTACAAAGTTAATCATTACAAATTTTGGTGATATGCTGCATGGAAAATTATGTATAATTCAGCCTGATGAATGGAAAGCTAAATCATGAACAGTTTTGGAGTGTCTCTCCAGTCTAGTTGAATCAGTTAAATTCATATATCGTAAACCTATTTTATGTTGCTACTCTATATTTTGTGAACCACAGAGTATATCGATCTAATTATAAACCAGCTACATGTATGTATATTGTAATCATGTTGTTTTATATTACAGACCTACCCAGAGTCCCAGCTAATAGTGGGCCGCAGGGTCTATCAGTGGTCTCGGCCCCTGCACCTGTAGTCCAGCGCCCCGAGCTCGCCTCCCGGTCCGAACTTGAGTCCCCAGGAGCAATGTCCATAACGAGAGTCGGCTCTAACCAATCAATGCCTGAGAGCCAAGGTAGCTCCGCCCACCTGCGGTCGACCAAGTCCCAGAGGATACGTGGTGCGACAAATAACTTAAGACTTCGGCAGCTGGAACTTAGGGAAAACCATGCAGTGGTGTTTAGCTGAAAATTCATAAAACCAAAAATGTGAAGTATTACATTCAGTATTATATGCCAAAAGAAACACTTTGTTGGTTGTGTGATGTGGTGATTTAATTCTGATAAAAGCGATTTCTTTCAAAGTGGTTAGATATATACTTTAAAACCAACTTGAAGAGGAGGTGTTTGACAGTGTGTGCACTGTACCACATGTTATGTGCACTGTACCACATGTTATGTGCACTGTACCACATGTTATGTGCACTGTACCACATGTTATGTGCACTGTACCACATGCTATACCAACAGGACAGGGGTTGTTTTATTGGGCGAGAAGATTTGTGCGTATCTTCAGGAACCTTTCCAAATAAGGCGTTCACAGAGTGTATAAAAGGAGTGCCTACAGGCGATTGTTAGTCTTACTGCTGCCTCATGTTTGACATTTTCGTGTTTATTATGTAGCCATCATTAATTTTCATTTTACTTAATTAGCATATTGACATTTAATTCAAGTTTCAAAACTAAATGTATTAATGCAAGATGCGAGATTGAGGCAAACAGTCATGTTAGACGTGATGGTCAACAAAAGTCCTGTGGACGAATTGTAAGTATACTGGGGTACTAATCCTTGGTAAAACTTCTTTCACTCATTTTCCCCTGAAATCTCATAATGGGCTATTCCAACCTTTGAATTGGAAGAGTTCAAATGTGTCTTCAGGGGTGAATGAGTTAAAGGATTTGCCTACGTATCCTAGGGTTAAAGTTCCCAGTAGGAATAGCCTACATTTAAAATGTGTTTTGCTAAGTGAGTACAAGAAACTTGATTTTCTCGTACGTATGTTACAAAATGTAACATTGCCTTAAATTACCTCGAAGAACAGTTCTATTACTTGTCAACATAGATATAACAATAAAATACCATTTGATAATGAAGAAATAAATGTAAAACAATTAATCAAAATTAATAAAATCACAATTGACAAACATGAAAATAATTTTTATTGTTTATGACAAATACAGATTGCAAAAAAAAACAGTTTCTGGTCAAGATTGATAAAAATACATTGTTTCGATTTTTTTGCGATTTTTTTTATTGTGATTTTTTCTTTTGTGAAACTAGTGAATACTTTAAGTTAATAAGTCTGCTACATTATAGAAAAATGCCTTATCTTAATAAGAGCATTTCAATACTTTTAATTTCTGAGAAACTGTGATATGAATTTGAAGCTCATCAGTGTATTTGGTGTAAGTGGTATTTCTGAACAGCTGTGATATATATCTAACTCAATGTATTTTATATTAACAGAACATTTTGACTCGAAATGTATCTTATTGTAAATCAAGTTTGAAACAGTTGTATTTAAACTTTTGTCATTTTTAATAAATTTTCATTATTACCTCAATTATAATTTATCAAATTATATTTACTTTTTTTTCATTATTGCTCTTACTATTTTAAATCTCTGCTCCCTGTGTCACCCCTATGTCATTTTCATTTTGTAGAAATGATTGATTTTTCTTAGATACGGTGACATGATATATTGTATAGTAAATATTTGTGGTTTATTTTGGCATAAACATATCAACCTCAGTCATTAGATTTTAGTGCCAATTCAAATAGACTTTATGTGAAACTTTTGTCGCATCTTTTCATTCTTATCTCAGCGATTTTGATGGAACTGGAAATGTTAGTATAAGTTTATACAACATACACTATAACTTATATAATTATGTTCCCATACACAGAAACTGCAAAATGATGTTACAACAAGATAATTTATAATTAGGAAACCTGGAAAGAAAATACCTTCAATTTCATGATATACTGTGTATTGCCACAAAGAAAATTTAAGGTATGGTTTTTAATTTTGTGTAAGTGTATTTATTATTTAATGTAATACAAGTGAAATAGAAGATTTTATTGTAAAAATGACGTTTTGTTTTAAGTGTGAATTTGTGACAATAACTCAAGTAAACCTGATGGTGACCTTACAGTATAAGCAAGTTACTTGATTGTGCTGGAAAAGTTACAAAGAGAATACTTCTTCTTTCTTGTCCCTACATGGGGCAGTCGCCAGGTACTGGCTTTAGGTCGCTGGTTTTTCTCCGGGAACTCCGGCTTTCCTCTACAACCAAAACCTCATCTGGTTTGGCACATCCTTAAATGACCGTAGCTGTTTAAAGGACGTAAAACACAAACAAACAAACAAGTTTCCAATTGGTCAATTATCTAATGCCAACAGATTCCCTACACTATTGTCAAAAGGATTGCTTTAAAATATATTTAATTTCCTATTTGTCCATTCATTAAGGTGCCAAAAAATGCATGATGCCTAAAAACAGTCAAGTGCTTTATACGCTATTTATTTATTTGAATATGTATGAGTTATTGATTATAAAAATTGTTGATTACGGTATATAACCTTGTAAAATCCAATAGCTTTTCATATTATGGAGCTTTAAGACAAATATACGAGTTTCTACTCTACAAAATAGTGTATGTTTCATGTTTCTACTCTACAAAATAGTGTATGTTGTTTCATACCAGTGCAAAACATTAAATGTATGTGTGTTGAATGTAAAAACATGTATTTTACAGGGGAAAAAATATTTAAAAAATTAAAAAAATAAATAAAAAAAAGAGCTGATTTAACCTCAAACCTAAATTTGGTAAAGATGCTTAAACGATTCATATATATATTAGTGAACTCTTTTGGAATGGAGGTGCAAGTTACAGTCAGATAGCATTACGTCTTTAAATGGTCCTCTCGTGATCCCGAGTAGGTGTGGTTAATTTTTATGGCCAACTATTGCCACCCGTATTTATTATATTGGCCAAGATATTTTCGCCTTACTTAATTCTGTTAGCTTACTCTAACCAAACTTTCATATGATTGTTCCTGTAAAGACCTTTACTGACAAGTACAATTTATTTTAACAGGGTTTGAAATCAAATATGGCCACCCCTGCTTCTCATTGGCTGAAACAAATTTTTGAGCTTTTAAATATCAATAAAAAAGTTGAGTAATCATGGTTACCATTCAATATTTTAGCTCTACACCATCAAAATATTTTCATACACAAAAACATCAATAGTTGAGTGACTAGGCCTCTTAATTATATGTTAAGGGCATATGCTACCTTATACATACATATTTTTTGTTAGAGTTATCTCCCTTAATGTTTGTGCTATTTATGCATTCATTTTATCTTTCTAAGGCATCCCTATTTAATAAACAAAGTTTTAATTACCTTTCTTAATGTTGAACTTTTTTGGAAAGGAAATACATTTAACATTAATGTAGCATACAGCCTTAAGTCCATAACTAAAGAATTGATCACATTGACAATTCAGTTATTTCACCTCTTGGTTTGTTAATGGACAAATTTGATTTAGTAACCGTGATAGTAGCTGAGCTATGTGACTTGGAATACTGTGGTAATTCAAGTCCCAGCTAAAATTTTGACAATATTAAAATTATCGACTTTATTATGGGTTATTGAATGTTATTGACTATGTTTTGTATACCCAGTATTTATTGTATTTTTCTTGTTTTAAAGTGTTTTCTGTTGTGAATCCTTATTTATTGTTAACATTTTGACACATGAATGTATGCGTGAATGTTTGGTTTAACAGAGTGCATTCGAGATTCACTGTGTATATATTTGGTAAATTATTGATTGGATAAATGCTGCTACCCCGTGGATTTTAATTGATTTTTTTGTATTCTAATCTATGTTTATGTTTTACATTCCCTGTTGTAAACATTTAATTTTTTGTTTATTGAAATAGGGATGGCATGTTGTTTTACTCGCATCCGTCCTGTATGTCTGTCCATCATTCCGTCCATACATCCACAATTGTCTTTGTCCCAGCCTAATCTTCCTTAACCACCAGGCAGAATATGTAATGAAGTTCTAACATGTGCTTTTATGTATCTCTACACATATATGCAAAACTTGATTAAACTATTCACACATGTGCATAACTAAATATTACATTTCACACATGTGGAATTAAAGACTCTATGGTGACATGTATACTGGGTTACTTTTGAAAATTATTTATATTTTCTGTGTTAATTTTGTTCAAGAGGATTTTTTTGATCAAATGCATCTCAGTTGTAAAAGGGTTCCAGGATGTTTTTGATTAGGGACATTTCTCTATGTGTATCGGGTAATGCCTCAAAATCTGAAACTTGCAGTAGAAATTATATCTACATGAAAATGTTTTTGTTTGAATATTGTTTTAAACTGAAATTGAACTTAGAAATTTTTGTTTAAATGAAAGATGTAAAAGAAACCCAAAAGTGCCTATGGTAACTATGCGTAGTAGCCAAACATAACTACTACGATGAGTGGGTGACACTACTAGCACCTAACTATCGTACCTATTTAATGTGGTAGTTTAATCAATATTACCCAGGTATATTTGTACTTAAAATTTTAATTAAAAAAAATCAGAAATTGTAATGTGACTTCCAACTTGATATTCAATTGATAAGCATATTTTTTTCAGAAAAAATGTTGTTTAATTTGACCTAAATAAATTTAAGAAAAATGTTTTGTTTAGTACACTGTACATGTTCATGACTTTATAATAACGAACTTCCTGTAATTGTTATTATGAGTTCTAATAATTGTTTTCTATATAAGAAAAAGTCACCAATCAAAAAATATTACATATACATATTAGCCTGAGTTTCCTCTGGTCCCGACACAAGACTTACCCAAACCAGAAATGTATCTGTCAAAATGTCTAAGTCTGGTGTCAGGGTCAGAGGAAACTGGGGCTAATATACATATATACGGATAAAGTGGGAATTTTGAGTGTTGAAATGTCCACATTTTTCACTTTAGTTTAGTAAATTATCCACATGCAAATATTTATTTTGGCTTATATAGATTGCAGAATCATTGTCAATGCAGAGTTTTCCACACCACGATCAGTTTAGAGGGTCAAAACACGAACATTTCCACTTTTACAGTATATGTGGTGTACATCAAAGGTCAGGAGTGTGTTTTTGAGGTAATGACGGTAGTCATGCTGTTTCCTTAATGCCAATATAGCTGGTGACCATATTGTTGAAAAGTGAAATTCGAATTCTCTGTAGTTCTTCTCGTGTGAAAATAACAAATTGCGTCAGAAGTGTTATCTGTATACAATATAACTATGGTTTCTGTCTATGAACACAAATTAGAATTTACATGTCTGTACATATTTTCGGTAATGTTAAACTGTTTCATCATAGTGTATATGTATATCTACAGGAAACAGTGATATACAAAACATCATTTTATGATATTCAATAAAATATTTTGAACTTCATTGGCATAGAGAGGTGTTGTTTTTTAAAGTTAAAAGGGTACAATGAACAGGTTCTGTTTATCCTTCCATGCACAGTCTTCTTATACAACAACGAGATGCTGACAAACTTCTTATTCCATGGATTCATGTTAAAGTATGATATAAACTTCATTTGTATTATACATTGTACAACAATTATGAAACAAGTTTTTACAACTTTAACTAATCACTCTTGTTGGCCAGGATTAGCGAATGGGTGTGTGTCTTACTGTGTGAGGAAACAGGAGTACCCGGAAAAAAACCCTGACACCATACCTTTTCACGTCTGATCGGGGAATCAAACCCCAGGCACCTTATATTAGTGAAAGGCAATGTCTACCTGACCACCCTAATTTAAGTTTTCTTGTCTGTAAAGTAATCAATACACAATGTAGCAGCTTTATTCTGGAACATACGACTGAGAAAAAATATATTTGAAGGTCTTCTCAGACTAATTAATTCAAAATTTAAAGCTATCAAAAGGATATTTAAAAGCACCATATTATCCTTGCAACCACAGCTACCATAGTTACCATCATAGCAACCCACTCCAACTTTTTTCCTTTATATAGCATTTGTATACGCCCGTCAAAATACATTTTCTGACCGATCTCTTTGAAACTTGGTATACATTATAATCATGATATGAAGTTGTGTCTCCCTTAAAAGAATTTTGATTCAACGATTTTTCCAAAAGTTATTGCCCTTTGTTCATTTCAGTATTTGATTTTTTGTCCGGAAATTTTCTCCTACATTTTTTATAGCATGTCAGCTAACCACTCTTAGAATGATGCAGATCTTATTTCCATGTAAGAAAGTATATACATGTAACACTATAAGGCATTCGACGGGTGTATATTGTTCGGCCCCGCGGTACTCTTGTTAAAATATCTTGGATGTAAATACACAGATTGAGTTCCATGTTGACATAATGTATACGGTCATATGAACACAATTGACAATAAACATATTCTTTATGCTATTGCACTCCATAGTATATGTTCGTAGCCAACTGCTTTTGTGCTCCATAAAGAATATGTTCATTGCCAGCTGCATTCATACTACTGTACACGCTGTCAAAACGAAGGTACCAAGGGAGACACTGCCGGAAAAAAAGTAAGAAAAGGAGAAAAGAAAAAATGTAGATCCCAAATGTTGCAATAGGGAATTAAGTAAAAGATATCTGATGATAACAAGCAGCAGGCCTATTTCCCTGTAGATTTACTTGCACAGGATTATATCTGGAGCCTATCACAAAAACCTTTAAAGGTTTTAACTCCAAAAATCCCACAGGAGTCGATCACAATGCAGAGGGGTGTCTTTTGATATTTTTAAGCTTTTGGAATCCAAGAAATTTCCAGTTATATTGGAAACAACACACACAATGTATTTCCAGGTATATTGGAATATATATTGGTACAAATTTGGGTATGGTTGCCTTTCATCCATCCATCGTCTGTCATGCTCCTTCCGTCATCCATAAATAATCATTGTTTCAGAAACTGTCAGATTTTGATAAAACTTAGTGGTACAGTCATATTGTGACCATAATATAAGGAATCACAGAGTTCTAAACCTTCCAATGCCGTCTCTTTAATTATAACTTACTCTTAGATTTTGATCAGAATTTCATAAAATGATTCTTAGATGAAGATTATAATCTAGACTAAAGAAGGGGCTGAAAGGAATGCCCATAAAGGGTCACTTAGTGTGACATCATTAGGTTGTAAGTCGGCAAATCGATGGCAGAAATATGCCACCATACAAGGCCTTCTATATCTCTATACTTTAGTGATGGATATACATGTAGATAGACTGTCGTTACATAAATTGATCCTTAGATGAAAGGGATTACGTATATACTTTTTTTTAGGAATAGACCGTAGACAATGATCAAAGTTTCAGTTTATTTAAATACTACTTTCAAGACTGCTTTAATATTATTTTACATGTGTGAAATTTCGAGTAGAAACAACATTGTTGTGTCATTTTACTTTTTGCATTGTATTTTTTTGGGGAAGATTTACCATTGTATTACTTGTAACAGGTTTATGTACATGTGCTCTCTTGATCTATTTTTAAAAATTTGTGATGATTGGTGGCATTTAGTAAATACTGCAACTTCAGGATAGGGTTTGTCACTTTTGTCCCAAACAAAACTGCAGAATCAAAAAAGTTTGAGCAAAATATATGCGGATGAATGGAATGAGCTGTCTTGAAAGAATAACCTTTCTTAAAACTTTCATTCCCCTTTCCAAACCTTGATTTTGACTCTGTGACTATTGAAATTATGATATTGAATTGTCACCTTGATATATGCTTTCTTTCTTTATGAAATGAAAAAAATATTCAAAAGAGAAATACAAAAAAATAAAAACATAATAAAATCTATCACTTTATAAAAACATATGATTTTGGCTAAACATGTACGTTTATTTCCTACAAATACATAATCTACAAAAACTGAATTGACTGTTACATCATATATTGAATCATGTTAACAGCTGAGATGATATCATGCAAATTTATTTCTGTGGTTTTGTAAAAATACACCATTTCAGTGTCTTCTATGTGCTGCAGGTTTTGTTTATGATGCAGGTATTCACAACAAGAGAATTTTATGGTCAAGTGTAGTTAAATTTGCAGACGCGTCTTTCTGGATAGATAAAACTGCTGCAAATGATTCTATCTAACATCAGCTCATGTAGACATGCATCCAGATCACGTTTTCCAATATAACATTTGTAGAGAACACTACGAGCACCAGATCAAAGATCAAGATTTAAGTTTGATGAGCGGAATGTTCTTGGTCGCTAGGCATTTGTCACACACCCACTCAGCATACACCTCCTGAGTGAGCATGTGGAATGCCGCCTCGCTGAGTCCTGTACATATCCGATGGAACCAGAAGTTACATCCACTCTCACAGAGTATCGCTTGATCGTTATCATGTACTTCCTTATGACATGCTCCACATGGATAAATTGGTGGAGCATTTGGATTTGAGGGATTGAACACCATGGGCTGGTCATGTGGATATATCTTGCCAGCCATGTGTGGCCCAGGCCCGGACCCAGGGTGAGGCCCATGTGGGGCACCAGATGTGGGCGGGTTAGGTCCAGGGTGATTGTTCATGATTTTAGAAATTCTGTTCTCTAGAAAATTCCACCTCAGGGTTTAATGTCTTTACTTGGTCCTACTTATTTCGGCAGATTCTGAAATTAATAGAATATAAAAAATTAAAAAGTTGTAACAAAAATATATAATTGAAAAGTATATACAGCATATTTGAACTTGAAGGGACAGAAGTCTTTTCTGTTTATCAAACAAAGTTACTGACTGTCTTTTCAATTGCAACTCTAGCAGGTCAACCTTCATTTGAATTTTTCTGTATAATTTTAAACTTTATTGCTTATTATTTATTTATACACAGTTCACCACACTTGTTCACTTTTTTTATATTTTCTTTTACTTTGTATCAATTCACATTAGAGAAAGATTCTCTTAGACCTGTGTTGCTGAGCTTGATTTATCAAAACTATCATAAAACATTTTTGCCAATGCTGAACACTCAATTTAATAAATTATTTCCACATTTCATGTATTTTTTCTGTCCAGTAACAGATTGGACCCTGTGACAAAGGATGTATTTGTATGGAGATTGGAAACACAATCAACACTATAAAAAAGACTGTTCTACCCTACTTTATTGACATAGTAGGGTAAGGCAGACTATTTTGTAGCTTCACATATTTGCATACTAGACGCAGATGCCTGTGTTGGAAACTAAGTCAAGTGGACAACCCTCTAGAATGTGGGCTTTTATGATTATTCACGAATCAGGTGCTTGCCCATCTGGAACCTTATACTGTCCTACGCCCCAATTATTTGACAATGTGCCATCATCAACTAGCTATATACAGGTTTGATATAGTTGTCTCACTGACCTGTACAAAGTTATAGCATTTGGCGTTTTTTTATTTCAGACTGCACTCGATCAGTAGTCAAGGCCTCCACTCTCTGTCTCTATTCATGTATGACTGTTTACCGTAACGTTGAAGCTTTCCTTCATTCGATTTCGACTGAAGTGACGTAGTGGAACTGTAACGTCGTGAGCTACATATTGTTTTGATATTGTTATTTTCGTTCTTTGTGAACCGCACCGGAATGAAACAACCGGAAGTTTACAAGTGAAAGTACGATAGCGCCGTCTGGCGATAGAAAATTCGTAAGGGATAAGAGTTGATTTTCGAATACAATGTAATTCAGCATCCACTCAATACCATTGCACATTTCTTTGTTACTTTTGTTATCCCTGCTCCATTTTAGATATAGATGATAAAATATGATCAAAAGTTATTTTGGTATTAATATAGACATGTCGGATGTCATATTTTGATGTCCTTTCATGCCTCAATGACAGTCTGCAATGGCTGCGAACTTGAAGTACGGCAGAAGTGAACTTCCACCGGGAGGTTCCTTTGCCAGGTAAGCAATAATAAACCCAGGACTAGAATGTTTCTTACAGTCGAAGCATTTGACAAATATGAAGGAAACAGTTGCTGTTTCAAATCATGTTTTATTTTTTATCTAAATTGAAAGTTAAGATTTTTTTCGTAGAAATCGTCTGCTTCAAATCAGACAGTCTCTTATTCCTTTTAGTTGTCATCTTTGATGCTTTCAAAATAGTGCATACCACTAAAGTAATTGTGTAGCAGATGGTTTAGGCATATGACAGTGTCGAAAATCACAGACTATAATCTGATAATATCCCAATGTGTTCACGAATGATCTTGTATCTGCTCACCTGCGTGAGTGTACAAAAAAGGAAAATTATGCCAATTTGCGCGGGTAATTAAGAAATTCAACAGTTGAGGGTCGATTGTAAAAGTTTAGGAATGACATAAGCCAGCGGGACATAATCTGCACAAAATATGTTGATCCCAATGGAAAGACTTTAGACGAGAAATAGAACTCTTTGAGACGGAATGTTGCGTCATACTCATAGATCATAACAAGTCAGATGACAAATGGAAATGTGCGTCTTAATTGATAATTGATATAATAGGGGTGTGATGCCAAATTTACATATATGTGGATATTGCAGATCATCCTGAGTGAGAGTTTTACTTTTATGCAATTATGGCCATGACAGCTGTCACTGCTTCTGTGCTTCATACATACGTATACATGTCTGGTCTGAGGTAAACCTATGACGAGGATTGGGTATATAATTATGGTTTATTGGGGAATATCAGCTTCGTGTCTGAGGAGAACGGGCTAAGGAGTTAAGACATTTGAAAGACAGTCTTCAATATTCTCAAGCTGCATACCTGCCAACCCTGGATATACTGAAAGAGGATGATGACCCTCTTTTGAAAATTAAAAAAAGGGTCAAAGCATGTGACGTCTTTTTTCCCAACAAATATAAGAAAAGTAGATATTAAATTAGAACTTTAATATTTTAATGATGTAAAAGGTACATTCTACATTCATTGAACTATTCTTCCAGCAGATCTAGCTGATCCTCATCCACAATACCAAATTCAAAGCTGAAAAATAAAAAAGATTTGTCATCAAAACAACTTATAAAATAATTCATAATAATAAATCTGATACTGTGTTTTTACAGGCATTTTTGTATGTCAATTAAAATGGTCCTGACAATAAGATGTCACATTCTTCTCATACAAAATACCATTTTGTTTCTGTCAATAAAAATGGTCCTGACAATAAGAAGTTGCACCCTACTCATATAAAATATCACTTTTATAGAGCAGGGTTTGAATTCTGATTGTCATTTCGATTGACAGAAACAAATCACCAAAAGCCTGTGCATCTACGTAAATACAATTGTAAAAACAACTCAATTATTCGTTAAAACAACTCAATTATTACTTGTCGGTAAGTTCAGTTACAACAGTCTTTATATAAACATTTGTAAAAACAGTTCTAGTATGTATATAAACAACTCACAACTTTCCTGTGGGTGAGAAACGGAAACAGGAAATAAATCTTCTTTCTTACGGCAAAGGATGGAAAAGTCTAGAGAATTCCGAGTGACTTTGGTAACTTCTAACATACAAAAAGATTCCGGGAGAAACGGACGAAATCCGGGTCAAAATCGTAACCCGGCAGGTGAAGTTATAAAAGCGAGTGAAGGCCTAGGGCTATAATCATGTAACCCGACGAAATCGGGTCACTTGGCAGGTATGAAGCTGAGGTAAATTATCTAGAGATTCTGTCATGGGTTGGTCTATATAGGAAAGGTTATAATGTAATATAATGTACAAACTGTAAATAAACTTGTTAATAGAATTTTGATGTTAGATTATGAGTTATGGAATCCTCCTGCTGGTCACAAAACAGACAACCCATCATGGTAAGTTCTACCTGACTTAATTACTACCACTCCTGCACTCGGGCTTAAACATGCATTATGTCTTTCATCAAGGGTGATGCAGCGAGGTGACGGTTCCTCCCCTCGGCCGTCCAGTACTAGTAGTTCCCAGAGTTTCCATAGCTTTGCCTCCAGTGAGGACTACCAGGACCATGGGCCTCGACCTGGCCAAGATATTTGTATTGGGGAGGAAGTCAAGATATCTATTCATTTAGCTATGGAACGATTTCGTATGAATGAAAGCCAAAAAGGTAATTATATTTAAAAGGTTAGAGCCATGAACAGAGAACTATCCGTTTACAAAACGACATGTGGCAAAGGGTCCAGGCTATGATAGATGTATAGGGATATGATAAAAAAAGTGCTTGCCTTGTTTTAAAGAAAACCTTTTTTTAAATGTAGATACCAGGTAGTATAGAAAATTTCACAATGGAGATCTAATATGATGATTATGTAGAAACAAAGAAAAAAAATAGCACCCTTCAGACCTAACAGGTATGCAAAAGTTTAGTAGCCTGATACGTATACCCAGGGCTAGTAGTTTTTATGCCAGGGGTCAGGGCTAGTGATCATGATTAACTGAATATTTTAAAAATTTCCTATATGAAAATATCTATATGTAGGGCTATTAGAAATTTTAAAGACCTGCCTGCGAGTAGGTTCACTATATTTGAAATTGTACACATCTACACTCTCTTAATATTTCATTAAAATTATGGTGTTTTGTCAACATCTGACCATAAGAGGCCCTTTTTCAAGTTTGGAAACCCACTTGACATGTTGCATTTGGGAACCCCATAAGTTTTAACTTTGGGGAACTTTCCCTTTATTACCCTATAAATCTAGAAAAGAAAAGATGGCACAATGGTACATTCATTAGTACAGTGTAATATTAATTGATAATTGAACTAACTTATTTTTTCTCACCAGAACTTGAGTTTCCGTCGTCACTAACAGCCACAGAGAGAGCCTATGTCCACAAATTGTGTGAAGGAAATGGCTTGAAATCAAAGAGCAAAGGGTAAACTAACCAGTATACAGATCAGTGATACTCAATATTGGAATTGAAGATATTTTATAATCACTTTAACTAAATATCATTTCACATTGTAAGATGAGAATAGTATAGATAATCGCATGAAAAAACAAAAAATAAATATATATACAGTATTCATGGAAAACAATGGCGTTTTAAGAAAATATGATATTAATTGAAATGTGATATTAAGCAGATTGATATTAAATGACATCTACTTTACTATTTGAAAAAGGAAATTGATCTGATTTTCTAGCAAGGCAAGTGGAAGATATATCACTATTACTAAAAGAGAAGGGAGGTTATCTTCCCAGTCATCTGCCTCATTTTATCTGGCGAGAAACAGTCGTCAACAAATTCTGAATCTCCTGCAGAGATATCCTGTCTCAAACAAGGAACGTCAAGAGTTGATTCCGAGAGTTGACAGAAATCAACCAAGTGATGGTAAAATTACATATTTTCTTATTCAAACATATTTTTTTTACTAAATGTTTAGCTTAAACAAATGTTATTCCCAAAAATAATATCAGTACTTAGAATTAGTACTTAGAAACAAAAGTATTATTCAGTAAAATTTTCAACTGAAGAAAATTTAGTTATGAGCAACTTCTACAAATGTTGTCATCGCATGTTGTGTTCTCAAGTTGCATCAAAGTAGTTTTGTTCCTTAACAAGTAAATGCATATTACATGGCTTCATGTGACCCTAGTTATGGGGAAATCACTCAAGTTTAGTTGGACTTTGTTTACGTTTGTTGTACAGTACTTCCTGTAGAAATGAACTTTCAAGCTTTTGGCATTTCTGTATAGAAAAGAGTAAAATGACTGTTGTATATAATGAGAATGGCAGCTATGTTTTGTAGGTAGATACCCATATATAAACTAGTTGTTTTTAATACCAGTTTATATTTGGAAAGTTTGGATATCTTTTCACCAGTATGAAATAGGGGGGAAAGGCTTTATTTTATTTGAAATTTGGCCCAAAAAATTGAAGGGTAAATTGTATTAAGAACTCATCTTTTCCTTTAATTTGTAGGTTTTCCTACTTCTTTGAAAATATAACTTCCATTGAAACCTTCAAATGGGACACGTCCAGTGATTTCTTGAAAGTTGTGTTAATTAAATTGGACATCATTAATAAAGCAGCTAGTCCAGTGCATCACCAGTTACCTGGTGTAGTATTTCACCGAAAACCTTCACCAAAACATATATCACTAACCGTAGTTTTGTACAATATCATACCATTTACGTTTTTTTTTCAGTTGGCAAAGAACTGAACAAAACAACCATTGGCAAACTCAATAATGGAGTTGCACAGGTGCCCCCTCCTCGTGGTGACTCAGACTTGAATGCCTTCCGGGAAGGATTGCCTGTCTTCAAGCACAGACAGGACGTTCTTGACGCTCTCAACAATAACCGGGTTATTTTGATATCTGGTGAAACCGGGTCAGGAAAGACCACACAGGTACATACTTTAATTATTGTTAAATCAAACCTCATAAATCTAGACAATTTGATTACAAGGAAACAAATTTCCACATCAATGTAACTATTAAATCATGGTTTGTTATATTTTTTGGAAGATTTTGATATTTTAAAATAATGTACATTTTGTTTATGTCCTTAAATGGAAACATAGTTTGTTAGAAAATTTTGCATAGCAATAGGCACAAAAAATTAGCAGGTCGTGCTTAGATTATGTTTGATTTCTGTCAATTATAGCTATGACAAATTTAAAGCTTTTAATTACTGGGTTTAAAACATTTTGTATGATGTTTTTATGTCTCAAAAATCAACATAAAAATCTGGAGTAGGTGTTTTGTATTTCAAAGAAGGTTGCTTAAGATTTCTGAATTAATATTATACATTCTCAAGAACTTTTTTTTTTAAAAAGTAGAGATTAAGTATATGCACACTTTTTAAATATGTTTTTTGAATGTTTGAAACTGGCAAAGGACGAAACACATAAAGAAAATACCCATACTTATGTATATATTCATTCTAAAGAATATATATCAACTGTCCAAGATTTCAGAGCATTTTAAAATTTCACTTTTATGTGTCGCATGTTCCAAATTCAGTACTGTGCTATTAAATAGGACAAAGGACAATCTCACATTGAAAGAACATTGTCATACACAGCAATATCAAAATTTTATCAAAATTTACCATAGGGTGCATTTACTGTTTACATGACTCAATGCAATCCAACATATATTAAAGAGAAAAAGAAGAACAGATAATTCTCACATAGAACCTATTAAGATGGTTCTATAATAGGTGCCAGGATCCCTCTGTGGTCTCTTGTTAAAGCTTACTTGTGTTATTTTTCCACATCGTAGGTCCCACAGATGATACTGGATGACTGTTGTAACAAGAACAAACCCTGTAGAATATTCTGTACACAGCCAAGAAGGATAGCTGCTCTCAGCATTGCTGAAAGGGTGGCTTTGGAAAGGGGAGAGAAAATAGGGCAAACAGTTGGTTATCAAATACGACTGGAGAGCAAGTAAGTTGTGTTTTATAATTATCAATATGTATTTGCTCAAAACACATTGCTGTTATGAAGGAATGATATGGCATCAAATTCTCCAATTCCAAGGAAAGTGAAAATTCACAAAAACAAGTTAAAAGAAATTCCGAAATATTCTGACAGTAAAGACACATGCATGTAAATGTAATGTCTTCTGAAATGGCCTCGAGTCACCCGGCTTTCAGCATCTTGCTAAAGCTATAATTGTTATAGAGGAGTTGAAAATGTAATGGTGGGTTCTTTCTTTAGGCTTTGGGGAAATTTTGTCTTCACCAAAATATCTTCAATCTTAATTGAAAAATTCTCACCTAAGGAAAGCTTTTCTATGTTTTCTTAATACTTCTCTTGCAGAGTGTCTCCAAAAACGTTGCTGACATTTTGCACAAATGGTGTTCTTCTCCGCACTTTGATGAACGGGGACGCGTCGTTTGGTGGTGTTACACATGTCATTATTGTAAGTATAGACAATAGGTGAGCAATTTAAACCATGGACATGTTGATATCGCATTGTAATGCTCAGTAATCTTTTTCATTGCAAAATAAAATTATATGAAATATCAGTTTGACATTTTAAAGAATTAGTGGTGGTGAGCCAGATAATGTAGGTTTGGACAAGCGTTGTCATTAGTCAAGTAATGAAAAGGATGTCAGACGTTGTTGTAGCAATCCAGAGCTTTCCTTTTTTTTCAATCAGAAATATGAAAATAAGAATTGTATTTTATGTATCACAATATTTGTCCAAAACATTTACAAAGTAAAGAGTTAAGGCTAAATCATACTTATACTAAATTATGATGATTTTCACAATGTTATTGGAGATGACTCTTATAAATATCCTGCTTATAGCCTGCCCCATTACTTCTTTCCTCGCTTAATGGACAATTTTTAGGAAAAGCAAACAAAGAACCAGTAGAACTTCTTGTAAAACCATTCATATACGTACATGTAATCTTATACATGACTAATCTGTCTACTCATATGACCTGGTTTATGTTTAAAAGAATATGCTGCATTAAGTTCATTGTTTACAGGATGAAGTTCATGAAAGAGACCGGTTTAGTGATTTCTTACTGGCTTCCATGGATGAACTGATGACAAAACATCCTCACCTTAAAATTATCTTGATGAGTGCAGCATTAAATACACAACTGTTTGTCCAGTTTTTCAATAACTGTCCAGTTGTACACAGTAAGTTGTCTTCATAGACGCTGTGTACAGAATAGTTCATGTGATGCTGGCTGTTAGATTTACAGTTTTTATGACAGATCTGCAAATTTAACACTAGATATCTACAAAACCACCACTACAACATTGCTTGAAATTTAAGTTTTTCCCACACAAAAACATAAGAATTTACACTCTAAGTTATTTCATAATTCTTTTTGTAATGGAAGCAATTTTGTCAAACTGATATTCTGATACTTGTACTAGTCCAGATTTATCACCAATTGCAGATGGGGAAAAAATGGGACTTTTGCTATAAATTTGAAAATGACAAATAATTATACTCTCCGTATCATGTTAATATGTTGACCATGAAAATAGTGAAATTTTGAACCACACTAAAAATAAAAGCTGTAAGTTAACAAAATTGAATCTCACTCGAAACCTAGCACATCCTTAAATGACCATATAGCTGTTAATAGTACCTAAAACACAAACAAACCAAAACCAGGTATCTCAGGCCTCTTGGTAATTGGTATATTTTATTTTACAGTTCCTGGCACACTTTTCACTGTGAAGGAGTACTTCCTGGAAGATGTATTGAAGTGGTAAGTTTTCACATTCCTTATAAGAAGGACAGGTTTATATCCAGATCCCATTATCTAAAATTAGTGTTGTAGCTTTTGATCGGTTGAGACCTTTCATGTGTAATGCCTTTCAATCCAATCACTTACTTCTGCTTGGTGATTATTGGGGATATACAAAGCACATGGTCAGTGCTCTAGTTTCAGTCAAACTTCTTCAAACTGTTCCTCTCATTCTAGTCAAGTTGTAAACATCAGAGAGAACTTAAGGCCTATTGAGTTTTGTATAGTGAATAATCTACATTTCTAAATTGTGTTTTTTAAAGGACAAAATACAGCAACAAAGCAATGGAAAAAGCAAAAAGAGAGAAGGGAACAGGTAAATATGAGGAGTGATAGAGGGAATAACAGGAAATAATTCTAATAAATTTCGAAAAAACTTGGCTACTTATATATTAATTATAGGTACCAGTATTAAGATGTTTTGGTCAAGACTTTTCTATGAATAACACCAGATCCCATTAATGGTGAGGCCCTTCTGAAGAGAGTTAGGTCAATTGACTATCATTGATGTTCCATGAACATTCTGAAATCTGGAACAAAACACCCCAAATAAAATAATTCATACAATAACTGTTTATTTTTTTAATAGTGACAAAACAGCAAGAACAGTTGGAGGAATTGTGTGCTAAGATGAGCATTGGCATAACGTATACAGAGATGGAAGACCATTCTATGGCTGGTAAACAAAGCCATTCCGACACAGATTCAGCTCCAAATGTTAGTATGTTGTGGTGTTGGCACTTATTTTACTATTGTAAAAATACTGCAGGGACAATAGTATATCTCAATTTCAATGTACATTTTAATATTTTCTCTATGTGTAGCTGAATATTTATAAAGGTGAAATTAAAATCCTAGCTGTCAGATGTGAAATTAACATTTAATTTGTTTTAAACACAAGTGGGTTGGTATTTTAAAAAAAAATCAATAAAATATATTTTGTATTCATTTATGGACAAGTTATTTGACAAGTGGGCCCTTGTAAAAAGTAAAACAAAATCTTGAGGAGGGCGGACTATGAACTCGGGGTTTGGAAAAAAAAAGGCAAAAAACACCAGGCATTACTAACAGGATTATTATTCTGACAGAACACTAACAAGATTATTACTCTAATAGNAAACTACTAACAGGATTATTATTCTGACAACACTAACAAGATTATTACTCTTATAGTAAACTACTAACAGGATTATTACTCTTATAGAAAACTACTAACAGGATTATTATTCTGACAACACTAACAAGATTATTACTCTTATAGTAAACTACTAACAGGATTATTACTCTTATAGAAAACTACTAACAGGATTATTATTCTGACAACACTAACAAGATTATTACTCTTATAGTAAACTACTAACAAAATTATTACTCTTATAGCAAACTACTAACAGGATTATTACTCTTATAGTAAACTACTAACAATATTATTATTCTGACAGAACACTAACAAGATTATTACTCTTATAGAAAACTACTAACAATATTATTATTCTGACAGAACACTAACAAGATTATTACTCTTATAGTAAACTACTAACAGGATTATTATTCTTATAGAAAACTACTAACAGGATTATTATTCTGACAACACTAACAAGATTATTACTCTTATAGTAAACTACTAACAGGATTATTATTCTGACAGAACACTAACAAGATTATTACTCTTATAGTAAACTACTAACAGGATTATTATTCTGACAGAACACTAACAAGATTATTACTCTTATAGTAAACTACTAACAGGATTATTATTCTGACAGAACACTAACAAGATTATTACTCTTATAGTAAACTACTAACAGGATTATTATTCTGACAGAACACTAACAAGATTATTACTCTTATAGTAAACTACTAACAGGATTATTATTCTGACAGAACACTAACAAGATTATTACTCTTATAGTAAACTACTAACAGGATTATTATTCTGACAGAACACTAACAAGATTATTACTCTTATAGTAAACTACTAACAGGATTATTATTCTGACAGAACACTAACAAGATTATTACTCTTATAGTAAACTACTAACAGGATTATTATTCTGACAGAACACTAACAAGATTATTACTCTTATAGTAAACTACTAACAAGATTATTACTCTTATAGTAAACTACTAACAGGATTATTATTCTGACAGAACACTAACAAGATTATTACTCTTATAGTAAACTACTAACAGGATTATTATTCTGACAGAACACTAACAAGATTATTACTCTTATAGTAAACTACTAACAGGATTATTATTCTGACAGAACACTAACAAGATTATTACTCTTATAGTAAACTACTAACAGGATTATTATTCTGACAGAACACTAACAAGATTATTACTCTTATAGTAAACTACTAACAGGATTATTATTCTGACAGAACACTAACAAGATTATTACTCTTATAGTAAACTACTAACAGGATTATTATTCTGACAGAACACTAACAAGATTATTACTCTTATAGTAAACTACTAACAGGATTATTATTCTGACAGAACACTAACAAGATTATTACTCTTATAGTAAACTACTAACAGGATTATTATTCTGACAGAACACTAACAAGATTATTACTCTTATAGTAAACTACTAACAGGATTATTATTCTTATAGAACACTAACAAGATTATTACTCTTATAGTAAACTACTAACAGGATTATTATTCTGACAGAACACTAACAAGATTATTACTCTTATAGTAAACTACTAACAGGATTATTATTCTGACAGAACACTAACAAGATTATTACTCTTATAGTAAACTACTAACAGGATTATTATTCTGACAGAACACTAACAAGATTATTACTCTTATAGTAAACTACTAACAGGATTATTATTCTGACAGAACACTAACAAGATTATTACTCTTATAGTAAACTACTAACAGGATTATTATTCTGACAGAACACTAACAAGATTATTACTCTTATAGTAAACTACTAACAGGATTATTATTCTGACAGAACACTAACAAGATTATTACTCTTATAGTAAACTACTAACAGGATTATTATTCTGACAGAACACTAACAAGATTATTACTCTTATAGTAAACTACTAACAGGATTATTATTCTGACAGAACACTAACAAGATTATTACTCTTATAGTAAACTACTAACAGGATTATTATTCTGACAGAACACTAACAAGATTATTACTCTTATAGTAAACTACTAACAGGATTATTATTCTGACAGAACACTAACAAGATTATTACTCTTATAGTAAACTACTAACAGGATTATTATTCTGACAGAACACTAACAAGATTATTACTCTTATAGTAAACTACTAACAGGATTATTATTCTGACAGAACACTAACAAGATTATTACTCTTATAGTAAACTACTAACAGGATTATTATTCTGACAGAACACTAACAAGATTATTACTCTTATAGTAAACTACTAACAGGATTATTATTCTGACAGAACACTAACAAGATTATTACTCTTATAGTAAACTACTAACAGGATTATTATTCTTATAGAACACTAACAAGATTATTACTCTTATAGTAAACTACTAACAGGATTATTATTCTGACAGAACACTAACAGGATTATTATTCTTGCAGAACACAAATGAAGATAAAAGTGAACTCCCTGACTGGATAATAAAGGAAATGGATCAGTTTCTTACTGACATTTTCTTGATGGGAAGTGAAGAGACATTTGCCCAGTTGGTCCATCTCATTATGAGTGAGAATGTCAGTGGTAAGAATATGAAGAATCTATCATAAATGTACCACAAAGCTCAGTTGTAAAAGAAATATTGTCTATATTTAGTGAGTTAATTCATGAAGTCCTTTTGGTTGAGGGCTTGGGGAGGAGGGTTATTTTTCAACCATCACCACAGCCAAAAGTATTTCATACCCCTCTTCAACAAAGGAAGGATGGTTGACTGTAATCAGATGGTCTGTCAGCTGTCCATCGGTCCTTAGACAGAATGTTGCCCAGACAACTATAGTTTTTATCCTAATTTCTTAAGACTTTTCTGATGTAGTCATGATCACTACACTGAAGTTATCCACCTGCTAACATTTTTGTTCTGGTTCTTTGCATGGTAGTAAACCGCTATATCCCTTGATTACAATTTCCAGTGGACTACCAGCATTCAGAAACAGGTGTTACACCTTTAATGGTGACCACTGCTAGGGGCATGAATGACGAAGTGGAACAGCTACTTAACCTGGGCGCCAACGTTAATCTCCACTTACCCAACGGCTGGACCGCCATTGACTGGGCCAAGCGGTTTGAAAGAAATGACATTTTAGAAATGCTGGAAGCTTTAATGTAAGTATGAATACTGAATACATTTTCCATGTTCTAGAGTCTGTTACGCAATATTGGGGGATTTACTTACTCGCATGGCACCTGACTAAGTGTGCTAAGAATGTGTTCTATCAGTCTTCTGTCAACTTTTTCTTCAAAATTCTATTCAAAATTTAATAGTTTAACAGAAATTTGGTATGAAGTTTCATTTTGTCAATGAAGTGGGTTTGTTCCTGGGGAACAGAGAGAGAACATTGTAGACCAAGGAAATGACGTCCTGAAGTTCATTTTTCTGTACAGGCTGTCAAATGATGTGGGGCCTTCTGGAGATTCTTTGGCAGAAGCTGGTAACCAGTTGTTGACCGATGCAGAAAAAGATATGCTATCGCTATACCAAAGCTGTTTTGATGATGAAAAAGTGGATATCCAGCTCATCCTCAATCTCATTTACCAGCTCATGTCAAACTACAGTGATGGTAGGTTGTTACAATGTAGGCTTACACATCAATGTCAAAGAATTCCTTTTTCTAACTGTATAATGTTATTTGTCCAATAGTACATTTTTCGCTGATGATACATTTTCGCTAGTAAAACTTTCACATTTCTCTGAAAGTGAGCTTCAAGCAGAATTTTGATAAATTGCTAAAAACATAATGTTCACATTCCTCCATCTGACAGGAAACCATCAATCCTAAATTGCAATGTGGGCATTCACTCTCAGACATATCTATTTCTAGTAGAATCAGTCAAAAATAAAAATAAATTGCCTACCAAAGACTGATAGGGGGCTGTTTAGATCAACTTTTCCCCATTGTCTGCCTTCCATAAACAACCCCTGTTATCACGTTTTCTCAGAAAGTACTGGACATGAGATTGTCTTTCTCAAAGATTCAAATAATAGGTCTTCACTTCATTTGTTTGTGGATTTGAAGAAAGTTTAATCTCCAGGTTACCATAATGGATTTTGATTTTTGGGTAGGAAAAACAATATTGCTGTCAGGAAGTCGTCATTCATTTTAAGGTCAAACTTTGTAATGATATCTCTTTGACAGGAAGTAAATCTTTCTCAGTACCACATTGGTACATGGTCATGGTCAAGGTCTTAATATTCCAATGATTCAGACTAAAAGTTCAAGTTGTGAAAGTCTAATTCTACATTAATTTAACAAAATGGACATCATAAAGACAAGTCTAGCTAGGCAAAAGATCCTTCTGTGTTTGTTCATGTGTCCTCTTTGTGTGGGTGCTAGATCCCTCTGAGATCTTGTTTCACTGAGTGTTAGCATTACAGTGATGTGTTGTATTTTACAGGTGCTATTCTGGTCTTCCTGCCTGGGTATGATGACATTGTTGGCCTCAGAGATCTGATCGCAGAGGACTCTTTTTTTCACAAGTACAAGTAAGTAAAATCAGTACCGGGTATGTATATTTAATGTTGTTAATTTGTAATTTTAATGAATTATAAAGAATATCAGCCTTCACCTATGCTGTAAGCTAAAAATCTACAGTAAATGTATCGGAGCCATAGATGACACAGTTTTCTGAGAAGAAAAGCAGCTAAACTGGTCTGTTCAATACAGATTAAATGTAAATGGATGTATATATGTATGTATAATACCTTTCTCTTGACTACCATTACTGGCCGTAGTAACTTGCTTGTAAGTTGTGTTTAGGAAAGATGCATAACATAATTATGTGGTATGTAACTTGGATTTAGCACTGTATTTTTGTCTGGCATTTATTTATATATTAAGCATAGGTTTTATTAACATGAACAATTATTACAGCCACAAAGGTAATACTAGTATATTATTCATGGTGTGTTTTACCTACATTTTATATATAATTTGTGATAAATGCTTCTCCATAATAAGTAACCATAGCTTTAATTGTTGTCTTTGTGTTTATCCTTCAGATACTTATTATATACACTTCATTCTGCCATGCAGTCCAACGATCAGAGAAGAGTATTTAAAACACCACCTCCAGGAGTTCGAAAAATTGTAAGTTTTACCTCAGTGGATTTGAAAATGTATTACAATCACTGTAATGTATTGAACCAAGTCCCAAAGTCAAGGTTACAGAAAGGAGTTAAAGTGCTGAATCCTTTTTATGCTTGTTTAGTCATAACTTTTCATTAGCTCCAAAACTATGTATAGATATCTGTTTGTATCACATACAGACAGTGTGTCGCATAATACTCCAGTCTGAACCTACAGGATCGGTGTCACAGAAGCGGTCAAAGATCAAATCATTGTTATTTTTTGTCTGACCATAACTTTTAATTGCTGAAATGTATAAAACAGCCAGGAAGAATGTATTACATCAGGAAATCCTGTCTGGTACAACTTGCAGATTCTGTTGTTTTAGGTCATTGTAACAGGTTTATTGTCTACTTGTTGTTACCAGGTATGCATATCCAGGCCCTAACTTAGGTACAGTTGAATATTTTATTATTAAAGCTTTATAGAAGACATATTTTGTAGACCCTGAATATCTATTGATACAGATACTGGCCACCAACATTGCTGAGACAAGTATCACCATTGACGATGTAGTGTTTGTTATCGACGCAGGCAAAGTCAAAGAGGTAGGACATCAAAACCAAATTACATGTATGTACACAATCAAGATTAATTTTTAGTTATGTATGATGTATTAAGGTGAATTCTGTGAATTTAACACAAAAGTTGAGTGAAACATCACCACAAACATCTTGAGCTAGAACTACCTCATTAATAGATGATTTACTTCATCCCTTGTAGAATCATATTTTGTACGAATGTAGATGTGACCTTTAAAGAGCAGAGGTTTGGAGTAAAAACAGGGACAATAGTAAATCATAATGAAAAGACTGTTCCTTTAAATACCTTTACAGATATAATTACTGAACTTGATTGGATGTAATCCTTGTGGAATGTTGTTAACAAAATTATGAAAACGCAGTGTACATTGTGTTATGGTCAAATGTTTTTTTAGACTAATGTAAGATTAATTGTTTATATTTTGTGTGTGAATTTAAGATTGTAAAATTTGTAAAACAAAAACAAACAAAAATCCATTTTTCAGAAAACCTTTGATGCTTTGTTGTCTGTCACCATGTTGAAGAGTAACTGGATATCAAAGGCCAGTGCACTACAGAGAAAGGGCAGGTAGGTATTGTATAAATCCATGTATAAATCCAGGTTTCTTAGTAAAAAATACCCATCATGACATCATGACTTCAGATTGATGTTGTCAGTGGTGACAAATATTTTATACCAAGTAAACAGTAGGAACTAACAGCTACAATATCTGTACAGAAAAATAAGTTCAGGTGCTATTGAAACATGGAACTTTGAACAAGTTCCCTACATCCTGGATGTTCATGGGGACACTTATTTGTCTCTGTTATCAGCAAAATAATCGCAATAAGTGTGTTTATAGTAGTTAATTGTAAACCAAGCCGTTCATAGTATATGTAGTGCATTATTTGTTTGTCAAAACATAAACACAACTTTCAAAGTACAAACTACACATTGTAAGTGAATGCCGTAAAAAGAATACAGTTGTTAAAAAAATCAATGAGTTTTCTATCTTATTTCTTCATACATGTGACAGACGGCATGTGTATGTGAAGGAATGTATATCAGTTATGATGCCTGATGTTATTTTCTAACGTTATTGATATATTACAGAGCAGGAAGAGTTAGACCTGGTCTCTGTTATCACCTGTTCAGTAAAGTGCGGTATTCAAACCTCATGGACTTTCCTGCCCCAGAGATACTGAGATACCCTCTCCAGGTGAGTGTCATGTCGCTATCATGTTGGATAAGTTATTTAAAGTTTGAAAAAATATTCTCATGTTCCTAATTGTCATGAATTTTGTCACGATTTATAGTTCAGATCTCTAAATACAAGCTAGTGTTACAACTCAAAAATAAAAATAAGTCCTTATTCTCTTTCAAATTTCTAGTGAAATTTTTTTGATTCTCCTATAAAAAGGATACCCTGGTATAATGCAGCTATTTACAATCTACTTTAGGTAGTAATTAGTGGATAGTCTTCATGGTGAATTAGGACATATTGTCTGGATTCCAAAATTCAAGATGGCCACTTTGGTTTCTTATTGGCCGAGATCTTAAGGGCCATAACTCTAGGACTGATTTTGTTCACAGATGGTGGTAAACAGTGCCTATATTCATGTGTAATACCTTTTTAACTACATTTCAAAATCCAAGATGGTTGCCTGTTTCTGCTTTACAATTATGGCAAATATATGATCAGTCATTTAGCGGTTACGTGTCCAAGGTCTGTATGAATTAGAATCGGATGAATTCACTTACAAGGAATAAAACATCTTAAAAAGAAGCAAACATAGGTACCTACACTATAGTGAGTAGGTACATATGGATGAAGTGATGAAAGAGACACCAGACAGGAGTGATGAAGACACCATATATAAATTGATTTTGTTTCCCCATCTTTGTTAAACCCATCACATGAATTGTTTGTTTCTAGGAGTTGTGTCTCCACACCAAGCTGCTGGCCCCTAAGACCTGCTCCATTGCTGACTACTTGTCCAAGTGTCCAGAGCCTCCCACTTTCCTTCTCACCAGGAATGCTATACATCTCCTCAAGGTAGGTTGTGTCGGCTTCAGAGGCTGAATGAGCTTCACACCATGTCAGATTCCCAATCCTTAAAGAAAAATATAATGATGTTGTAAAATAGGTTTAGGGATACAGGCATTGTCTGCCTCCCTCACACGTAGGTAATGACGGACTGTTTTATCTCTGATACCTCGTCAGTAATGGTGACATGTTGGGATTTTTTTTCAATGCAAAGTAACACTTTCTACTCCAACCTCCCTGTAATAATGTGACATTATATAGTCTGATTATGACATGCATGTGAAATGTTATCACAGTTACAGCTCTTAACCCATTCACCCCTAAAGTCACATTTGAACCTTACCAAATCAAAGACTTGGCAAGTCCAGTTTGGTAAGTATGTAGGGGTGAATAGGTTAAAGAATACAGGTATCCTTCACCCCTATGTAAAGGCTATACTCAGAGCACAATGTAAATGCTGACTTGTCAAAATAGCTGTCATCTTAATGAGGCAATGTGTTGTAGAAATGTTAACCCTTGGTATAAGATATTTGAGTGTCAGGAACTTGGCAAAGGCCTGTGTTGGACAAGCATAAGTATAACCCTTACTTTGAGATTTCTCTGTCTATCCCTCACAGGTAATAGCTTTCTATTGGTCCTCAACATGTGGATGTGGGAGATCTTATGATGTTTGAGATTTTCTACATGTTTGCATGTGGGAGATCGCCCTCCACTGGCTATATATTGCAATGTATAAATGAAATCAAATGTGCTTGAATTGTTGTTAAAAGTATTTATTATGTATTTAAAAACATTTATGATTTTGAATGACCACTGACTTTAGGGAGATAACTGAATATTTTACAAACCACTTTCTGATGAAATGGTTGCCCAATGGTTAGGTACAAGAAAAGCATTGTTTGCAATTGGGTCATGGACTGGACACCAGCCTGATGCAGAGAGCTCACTGTCATCCTGGACCTCTTAATTATACACCCGAGCTGCCATATCGAAACCTAGCTTCTCATCATCAATTTGATTCACTCGGTCATCATAGGGTACTTTGGCAAGGTCCTGATGCTGCTTAATGACAGTGCTCTTCACAAATTTCCATAATTTTTGAAGCATCAATCTGTAATTAATGTATGACAAAATTAGTAGAGAAAGTGAACACGGCTCACAATACTTCTGTTTACCATTTTGTTAACCATTTACCAAGTAATTATTACTTGTGGAACAAGATAAGAATAAAAGACAAACAAATCATGTAGTTATCCTGCTCACCTGGAATGATGTGTTGAATACATTCAGGGGTGCTAGAATGTAATCACGGAACATGAGGTACAATTTTACTTCTGGATCAGACGAGTAGTGTTAAAGTTTCTCAACCTTTGCTGTGCGATCCTCATGGCTGGAGAAGTAACTGGTAAGGGCTGGCCAATGGTGAAGGGTTCTGGAAACTGTCCTCTGTACATGTAGTCAAAGTTATCGATGGTTGCATAACACAAGATCTTAATTGGTCTGTCTGACCCTAGCTTAACGGCATACTGTAAAAGCATAAGATTTCGTTTGGGATTAAATTTCATTTATTTCGTGGTTTTATAACCATCAAGTGAGTAAATCTCGCCCGATCTTACATGTACTATATTTATCTGCACTGTGTCGTCACGCCTGTCAATTGAAACTAAATACTTACCAGAATAAAAAATACAGGGTTTTTAAATATTGATTCCACGTAATGTAATCCAAACGAATTTGTCCCCATACAAAACAACGAAATTTAACCCCAACGAAAATTTATGCTTTTACAGTGGATTGGCAAGGTGGAAAATACACCCTCTGTCTAGTACATGCAGCTGTACATCACGAGTCCTGGGAACCACTGAGTTACAACGTCCTTTTATAACAGAGCTTTTTTGTCATTGGCAAAACTTCTGTTAATAGTGTAACCAGGTGGATAGAAGATGAATTAGCTTCTTCAAGTTCATTGTGTTTCATTTAATTGTTCAAGGCTTAGATTTTCTACATTTTTTTTTCAGCAAATAGATGCCCTGGATACGTGTGAGGATCTGACAGAGCTGGGACATCACTTGGCAGACCTGCCTGTTGAGCCGTGCCTGGGGAAGATGGTGCTGTACTCTGTTGTCCTCAAGTGTCTCGACCCAGTACTCACCATTGTTTGTACATTGGCCTACAAGGATCCATGTAAGTGTGACAGAAGCTAGTAAGCTTTGAAATGCTATACCATAGTAGACATTGCTTCGACACCGAGTATATACATACTACTTAACACAATTATGAAATATGTACAGTAAACCACCACCTGTCAGGTGTTTTGAGGAGATGTAGAAAAGAAATGTTACAAAAGAAAATTTAAAAATAAAAAAGGCCTTGTAATATGTTGTAATACCGTGACCCTTGTCTTTAAGGAAGATGGCAATGAAACAAGGGTATGTGTATTTAGGTTTAAGTGAACTTAAAATTGAAAACTGTTCATACTGAATATAACACAAGGAAATGGTTAAAAATGAACAGTTTTGTTTTCAAACTCTAAATCTGATCTATCTCATGTCATTGATTTGCCATCAGTTGTATTGCCCAGTCAACCTAACATGAAGAGGGAAGCAAGTATGTCTAGGCGTAAGTTTGCTGCTGACACCTGCAGTGATCACATGGCTCTACTACGAGCTTTCCAGGTAAGTGTTAAAGTTCATTTTGCCAAATTTACCTATAGTTGCTTATGTAAAAATGTACTGATGGTTTGGATCTAATAAGTGTTCTACATCCCTTTTGGTAAACAGTGATACATACTTGATAAGGGTGCAGTTTTCTTATCTGACTCACTTGCTTAATTCTTATGTGACCAGTTTTGTAGTGCTTTGTGACTTCTTGAGATGATGACTGTCAGACAGCTTCCTCATCAGTTGTTGATCTAATTTCATTCAAGTAATCAGGATTTACAAGATGTTTAAAGAATACTTTTGGGAAGCAAAGAATTCAGATTGACCATATTGAATTCGTCCATATATGACATTAAAGGCATGGTTTTGAAAACTATGGTAATAATTTCAACCCATACCTGTTACATGTACCTGGTACTGATACATTGTACAGGCATGGCAGCGAGCAAGGACTGACGGTTGGGAGAGAAGCTTCTGTGATAAGAACTACCTGTCGTCAGCCTGTATGGAGATGATAGTGGGCATGAGGTAAGGTTATGTTGACACATTTCAGGTATGGATATATCCACATAACCCTCATAACCCTGATCATTGGGGGCTTGGTACTGCATTCTTGTGTTAATGTTGTCCCTAGCGTTTGACAAGAATCATAATAGGAATTTTTTTTAAATGGCTTTGTTTAGGTTTACATGTTCTTGTGTCTTACTTAAATCTAACAATGCAAGATCTCTATTTTGCAACTTTATGCATAATGCTTAACAAGAAGCAAGAAAGATTGATATTATCAGAATCTGAAGAATTTTCTCTGACATCTGTTTGGAAAAATAAAACAAGTGTCGGGACAAAACATCCACTAGGTTAAATTGAAAAAGGAACTGATCCATCATTTGATTGTGATATTAAATAGATCAAAGCTCTTAATATGTATGGTTTTCAATATGGCCAGAATTGTAAATCAAAGCCTTTCTGCATTTTGCATTCTTTCACATGACAAATGAGTTTTCATTTGGGGGAAAAGAAATATTATCATAGTTTAACAAGGAAAAGCCAAAAGTATTTGCAAAATATCATGACTTCTGTTTCATTTCAGAACCCAGCTGCTTGGCCAGTTGAGGGCGTCCGGTTTTGTACGAGCTCGAGGTGGAGGAGACATCAGGGACCTGAACACTAACTCTGAGAACTGGGCTGTGGTGAAGGCCGCCTTGTGTGCTGGTAGCTACCCCAATCTGCTCCGTGTTGACAGGCAAAAAGCCAGACTAGCCACCCAGTAAGTCTTGCAAAACTGTGAACTTCTAGATAGATATATAAGGAACACTTAGATTGATAATAATTATACAAATGTCATTCTTTATTCTTCTATTGAAGTGAGATTTATAAATCTTTATAAATATATTTTCATATTTTTATAAGATATTCCATAATAATGATCATTGAAGTGGTGATTTATACTTTTTAATGCAATTTTTGTATTTTGAAAATAAAAATAGTTAAGTTCAAAAATATTCCTCAATTATCACAAAATAATAAGCAATATTTATAAACTGGTAAAACATTATGTTTGCCCAATTAATTACCAAATTAAAACAAACTCGTGTTTTAAAACTGAAACATGCAGCTGACATCCAGTCTGCATAAATTGTCAATTGGTTGTGGATTTCCAATTTTCCATTTAAGCAATTATCATTGATTCCCTACATAAGTGATAACCTTAGAATTTGTACTACATATACATATTTGTACTAAGTAAGATTTTTGTTTTGACCTTGACATGACATGTATTTATTTTTTTATTAAATTTGCTAGGAAAGAAAGTAATGTGTTCTTCCACATGAGTTCTGTGGTAAGTCAAATTCCGAGCTCAAAGAAGACACAGAAAAGCCAGTTCATCAAAAGTCTGCGTTCTGATTGGCTATTCTACCAGGAGATGACGCGGTTCCAGCGACACCCTATGGTTAGGACCTGTACCATGGTGTCGCCTATCACAGTCGCTGTGTTTGCTGGACCAGCTAAACTATCACCAGACGCTGTCAAGGACAGACAGTTGAACAGAAGTAAGTGGAGTATATTAGTGGAGAGTATTAATGTACAGTACAGCATTATTAATCCAGCCACCGCTGATTTAGTTATACCATTACCCATCCAGGTTTGTGTTTCCTGTAAAGTGAAGACAACATTCATAGGATCACTCCATCATCATTTTCATATTCCTTACAATAAATATTAAAGATATGCATTGATTTTCATAACACTTCAAACAGATTCATATGGTGATATCAATTTTCAATTTTCAAATTGTGGCATGACATTAATGCTTCCTCCCACCTCCTGACATTTCTTGTTCTTTCAATTCCACAGATTTTGGAATGAGAGGAGAGTTTGGAAGTGAGGAAAGTGACAGTGAAGGTGAGGATAAAGAAGATAACAGGAAGACCACACTACAGCTGGACGAATGGCTCGGCTTTAAACTGGACAATGAGGTAAAGTTTAATTACATTACCTGTAACTGAGCCAGATCGGGTTATCTCCGGGAATCTAAGTACATTAAGACAATAAATAAAACAACAGAACAGAATATTTTAATGCAGGTTGTAAATTAAAGCCATTAACGCGTGGATGAAAACATTGCGGGGTAAAAATTCCGCGAATTGACATGTAAAGGTACCAGACAGATTGGACGAGATAGAAAAATCTAGCACTGGGTATGATGTGGGATATCTCTGTCTGAGATGCAAGAATTGTTTGTCTAGGTAGATAGTGTTAATGTCACAGCACCTAATAAAAAGTACCGTAAATCTGTAAGTACTGTATAACAGGAAATTTCCGCGCACTGAAACTTTCGCCCTTCACTGGTAAAATCTATATACAACCTGTGTTTATCTCACCCTTCACATCCAATGTCCACAATGTATAGTATGTTGTGTGTTAATATTCACTATCAGGATATAGTCATCATCATTATGTTATATGTAACTTGTGATATGAAGGATCTGTGTGTTTCATATGTAACTTGTGATATCAAGGATCTGTGTGTTTTAGACGACGAGCATAGTGTTACAGCTGAGACAGAAGTGGAACAGTCTGCTGTTACGGAGGATGAGGTCTCCCTCCAAGACTTGGTCACAACTGGATGAGGTAATTTGATCAGTCTCAGGTTCATAGATACCAAATATCAGAACCAAATAGGGGGAAAAAAGGCTGCATAATGTACTTGATATTAATTCTCCACCAGTATTATCCATTCATTTGTCTTTGCATTCATTTGTCCAGGGAATCTCAAATACTGCCACATTCAAATGCAAAATTTTCTAAAATTTTGTCTAAATCTATATACAGTAGATTTCTCTAAATATCACTTCCCATTTGTCAGAGAAAAACATGATATTAACAGAAACATGACATAAACAGAATACATATTTTCTGATGTTTTTCAGCCCTCAAAACCGGAAGTGAACTTAGTCAAATGCCTAAGTGATGTGGCTCTACGAAGAAGATTGATATTTTGTAACTAACCTTGTTCTTTACCCTAGTTGAAATATAGATATAAGTAAATAAGTATAGAAATAAATATATTATTTGTATTTCATTTCAGTATGCAGTTACATTTCTTATAGTTAGTAGCAAAATGACGATCAGTACGATTGTAATTATGATTGTTTACTGCAGTAGTGATGTAGGCATACAAGTGTTTGGCTGGTATTCTGCATCAAATTCAATTGTAAACATGAGACTTGGTAAATATTTACCTATATCTTGATATATATACTGTTCTTTCGCTAGTAACATCTTTTTATAGGTTAATTTCCTTAGATATTTGCTGCAAGTGTGTAATCGAAGATAGTACACATGTTATAATTAGTTGAAAGAATACATCACACTTGGCATTAGAAAAGTTTACAGATGTTAGACTGTCCTAGCTCCCCCAACCACAGGTGAATATCATGTTAACAAGTATGTAAGTCAACCTATTGTTTAACAGTCAGCCAGGTGTAACCTTTTGTTTAACAGTCAGCCAGGTGTAAAAAATACCCTGTTAGGCCGAGGCATTGTTTACATAATGCATCCAGGGTGTGACAGAAGATCCCCAGGGCATTTATCATGAATCATTACCACCATTTACCTGTATTTTTTTTGTGACAGTGGCCAAAATAAAGTGATATTAAGAGAAATCAACATAAAATCAGGTGATAATAAAAGAATTGAATTGCATAGATTATATAGCAGGAAAAACGGTGCATCAAAAAAACATGATAATAACCGAAAAGTGACATTAACAGACGTGATATTAGGTGGAATGTACTGTATATACATTTATGCTTGCAATACTTTGCTTTATTTTAACTGAATTCGGTATTCAGCGACCCTAGGTAAGGTGATTTAATTATACTTCCATCCTTTTAGGTTCTTAGGTTTGGTATATAAATAATTCTTAATGTGATAGTATTGAATTGATGGAATTACACATAATTACACATTCATATATCATATAGCCAGAGTGTATATGTTAATGTTGAAAATAAAAGGGTTGCAATTCAGATGCATGGAATTCTATCTCCTATCATTAAAAACAGCAAGATTTCAGTGTCTATCAAACCTTGTCTTTCAGTCTGTGGTGAGAACAATTGTCAATATACTGACCAATGAGGAGCAGACAATGGGACTGCAACAACCCGCTGGAATTGGTCAGCGACCAAGACCTATGAGTAAGTTCTTCAGATTTGTTTTGTACTAATAGTAAGGTGACACGTTTTATTGCAATGTAGACGATGGCAGAGGAGTCAAACAATGGCACAATGAAATTTACCTATGACAGACTGGTGTTAAAAACCAGAATATAGAAATCCCCGCAATGGCTTCCATTTTGAAAACACACCTGGTAGGACGATTTCCCATCAAGTGTCATCTTTATCATTCATAAACTGAGGTTACTGTTTAGTTTGACTATTTTGTGAGATGATACTGATGACTGTTTGGTGTATGTTTAAATGCTGTTTACTTTGTAGCCGCGGAGTCCATCATGTCTGGAGGAGGTGGAAAGGGCAATTTTGACTTTGTTACACCTCCAAGGAAGAATTTTCAATTTCAACAGAGTAAGTAAGATTTACAATTTTTTTCAACATGTGACTAGAGAGAATGATTTTAATATCATGAAAAGATTCGTTCCTTATTCTATTAATTTCCCAGTACTAGTTCGCTGAAACATTTATTTTTCAAGACAGATCTTTGTTAATTTCGTGACGCCATATTGCAAACTGAAATATTTGAGAGAGAAAATATAGGAACCAATTTTTATGTAACTCATATGAAAATGTAATCATGCAAATTATAACTATATTTGTGTGAATTTGTGAAAAATTGAAACACTTCATAAAAAAGCTTACAAAAGTCAAAAGGTAGCAACAATTAGAGTATTTTAACAAAACCACAATTATACATAGATTAATTATCTGTTGAACCATGTTTTAAAGGACATTTAAGAGATATTTTAGACTTTAGACCCTTGTGTGCAGGTAGGTATGGGTTTTACTTGTATCATGGCAGTTTGTGTTAGACATCTAAATTGAGTATGAAAATAACAGACCCAGTATAGATAATGTGTATCTCAGGTGAAAGTATGAGTTGTCCCTGAAATGAATTTTTAAAAAACAGCTGTAGATAAACTTCTTGTTAGTTGTCGCTGTTCTTGAAAATAGATATATATCTATCTATGACAGAATCCAGCAGTGGTGTTGATACCGCTTCGTCCAGCAGTAGTAACTCACCATCGGCTAACACGAGCCACAGAGGTAGTCAGTCCAGTACCCCCTCCATGAGTCCAGGCCCCGCCTCGCCCAGTGTGGGCGTGAACCACAGCAGCAGCCAACCTACCAGCTTCTTTGTTATGAAATGCAACAATCAAAGCAAAGTGGACTTGTCCATGAACAAAGGAGTGTGGGCCACTAACAAATCAAACAATAAGAAACTTAACAGTGTCTTTCAGGTCAGTATTGTGGTATTTTTCTGCAGTGTAATTAAGGATATATGCAACACTGTTCCATACACTTTCTCTCTTAAAGGTATATGCTACCTAACACTTTATACAGGTGTCTTGTGTTATAGACATTTCCTATACATGTAATAATATATGCTACCTTTGTTATTATATCTGTGATGTGAGTTATTTCCCTTTCCATGAAATATCTAAGAAATCTTTATGGTAAATGCACACATGTATTCTTGTATGCCTTTCAGATATGTTACCAAGTCCAAATCACTATTCATCAAAAATATTCACACGCTTGATTGTTGGAAACTCTTTTTGAAAATCAATACAGGTTATTGTTAGGTAGCATACTTCCTTAAACTGACTATATTACAGTATAACATTCTGTGTACAAAATTTCTTTGAGTGTATTATCCATACTGGTTAAATAATTCCAAGACATTTCATCTTTATATGATATAGGAGGGGAACACAGTTTATCTGGTTTTCTCAGTGCAAGGAAGCGGCCATTTCCAGGGCTATGCTAAGATGAAGTCAGAGTTTGTAGACAAGAAGGTTCAGGACTCCAGTTATCATGGACTCGACTACTGCTGTGATGTAGAGTGGATCAAAAGGTTTGTTCCTCTGTATATAATTGCTGATGTGTATGACTTATATAATTGAGAAAAGGATATTTCAAGGATATAGCTACACAAGACTGTATGTAGTAGACAATCCATGCAGAGACCTCGAAATAAGAGCCTGGTGTCATGCATTAAATGTACCCCACTACCAAAATGTATCCTGACACTATCTATATACCTGCACAAAATTTAAAAATAAACTCCATATAAAAAGTACATCCAAACCAATCCCAAAAATCCTATATTAAAATATCATACATGTATATCTGAAATAGTCAAAATATGAATAGGAGACTGTTAAATGTCATCTTTAAGTATACTCAACCCTGCTGCACTAATCCCTATCCCATACAGAAAGATATGATTATAATAATATAGTGTATTTAGTTTATCTGTCCATTCTATAAGTAAAGTTACTGTTTTATTGTCAATTATTTACAAAAATACAAAAGTGTCTTATGAATTATTATAAAAACCTTAAAATTTTGCTCTGAAACGATTAAGTTCTTTATGGAAAATAATTTTGAAATTGTCTTTTGTAGAATTCAATATATCATCTTCAAAAGAAAAACATGCCAAATGCACATTGAGCTTCTTGTTTAAGATTGTAATTTGCATAAAATATGATTTACCATTGAATATGATTTACCATAAAATATTTACCATAAAATATGATTTACCATTGAATATGATTTACCATAAAATATGATTTACCATTGAATATGATTTACCATTGAATATGGTTTACCATAAAATATGATTTACCATAAAATATGATTTACCTTAAAATATGATTTACCATAAAATATGATTTATCATTGAATATTTTGCTTTGGTGTCTGGTACTGCAATACAGATTCATTAAGGTATACATAATTAGGTACTTATATATTTAATTCTCTTCACCAGAGCAAACTTGTCATTCCAAAGTACTCTGCAGTTGCTGAACCCATGGGATGACAATAGAAAAGTACAGACCAGTAGGGATGGCCAGGTAAGATACATTTTACCTGAGGATCATATGATACTCTATACGAGGAAATGACGTTCCCTGTAGTGGAACTGTCTCCTTTAGTACGATTCACTTATTGTAAATGTATTTGGACAGTGTCTATAATTCATGAAATTTTATCAACTGTGTCTCTTTCCATTTATGTATGCTTGTCTGGATTCACATACACTGTTTTACTTATAGCATTGTTTTAACACTGTTCTGACTGGATTATTACAACCACTCGAAAGCAAATAGGAGTGATATTGCTTTCTTGTTAGATATGTGGTCAGTAATCCTTATTATACGCTGTCAAATTTGACGGGAGTATTATGGTATGGCGCCGTCCGTCCGGCGTAAACTTTTGGTTGTCTGGCAATCTCCTCCTACATTTTTGACCGATATTTTTGAAACTTAGTATACATTATATGCATGATAAGAAGTTGTGTCTCCCTTAAAAGAATTTTGATTCGACGATTTTGCAAAAGTTATTGCCCTTTGTTCATTTCAGTATTTGACTTTTTGTCCGGAGATTTTCTCCTACATTTTTTATAGCATGTCAGCTAACCACTCTTAGAATGATGCAGATCTTATTTCAATGTAAGAAAGTATATAACACTATATGGCATTCGACGGGCGTATATTGTTCCGCCCCGCGGTACTTGTTGGACAATGTATAATGGAAGCCTGGTTATCAATTTACAAGGAAATTTTGTTATTGTTAGGAGATTGAGCCACATGTTGGAGAAACCTTGATCAAATTGTGGGACAAATACTTGGCCCATCAGGGGAAGTCATCCCCCTCGGCCAGTAATAAGCCACAGAATGCAGGTAAGAGAGGGGCCTTTCACGGCCCAGCGTCACCTGAAGGACCTGGCAGCTACCAGTCTATAGGGGGCGATCACAGTGACTACTCCTCCCACGGTACTCGTAACTTCTACAACAGACAGTCACAAGGAGGATACCAGGACCAAGGAAACTATGGAGGGTACCAGGTCAACGAAGGGTCACATAATGGTCACAGAGGCCAAGGTCAAAGGGGGAAATCTTCAGGGAGGTCACCGATCAATCAGGGAAATCCCTTTGATAACTATAGTGGGTACCACACTGGTGGATACCAAGATAACGGGGTAGCACCCGGAACTGAGTACGGATCATACAGCTACCACCAGAGAGGTCAAGGGTCAGGAGGTCACAGGAGAGGAAATCACAATCGATCTGGGAATAGGAGATAGTTCAGTGAGATTCCTCAAAGGTGTACACCAAAAATATTATTTATGATGACGACAGCATTACATTGGACTTCCTTTGTTGTATGTAATGAAATGATAACAGACACGTTAATACAGTATGAGATTAATACACCTTTATATCTGTGTTATGTTGGGATCAAATTTAGACGTCGGTTGTTGAGGAGGTGATTAGCTTAAACAACATTTTTTAACCTCTTATATATTGGTCAATATATATACAAGGTACTAAAACACACAATTTCGCTGTAACTTTATTCTACTAAAACTTTACTTTGCTAACTGGAAAGTTTTAAGTCTGATAGTTAATGGTTGTGTTTAAAGACACACACAAAATTAAATTCATGCTAATCGCTGACTAAGCTAATCACCTTTTGAACAACTGGGCCCTGTTGTCTAAAAGTATGTTTTTCCTGTGTACTGTCTATTATTTATTGAACCCTATTCTTTAAAATATAAATGAAAAGTCCATATTTTTCCATTTCAACATACTTTGTATTTCTTTCAGTTCCCAATTGAATTTCTTTATAACTTTTAATATGACATTATTAAAAAATATGGAATAACTTGTAAAAGCAAGTTTTTTTTGAAAAGCTTGAGTTTGAGTTTCTTACAAGAAAACAGGTTCTGATGTGTCTTGTAAAAAACACTGATATACATTGTAGTAAGAAATGATGTAGCATTGAGAACAAATGTGAACTCTGCTACAAATGATTATGGGACCGCTAATACACATTTTACTGTGTAATATGAAAATCAATCATATTTCCTCACAGAAACATTCATTGACAGATGGTCAAACTGAAGTCAGAAAACAAATGAATTTGGAGATAAACGAAAATAATTATTATAATATAATATAATGTATTATATGGATATGATGCAGATGAGATCAGACTTTTGTATTAACTTAAGATCCCTGCAGCTTAAAAGGCAGCTAATGATGAAATTTGTTGCTGAGAGGAAATACTTAAAAGTATATTTGAGTTGATTTCATGCATGACAGTTTTAGTTAGAAAATTCAATTTTTGTCCAATTTTATTCTCCACTGTCATGTGACATTCAAAAGATTTTCAGTCTTATTTACTTGCTAATAAGGAAGAAATCAAAATGACTTTAAATGGAAATTAGCCCCAAGTAGCAATTTTCCAATAAAAAGACATGATATAGCTATAGGCGGACTGTTGTGTGCAAACATTTTTCTGAAGGTGATAGGGACATTTATTGTCCGAAAAGACCCTTTGGTTAGATAGGTCTTTTAAAATCAAGCAAATTTGGTGATTCAGAAATTAATCTTTAAAATTTGTGAGCAGCTTTCAACTCCATTTGATTGATTGTAAAAATTGAGGCAAAAAAGTTATATGATAAGTCTTCTCCTTCACAGTTCAGAGATATGTTTGGTCTGTATACATTAATGTGAAATACATTCACTGCTGTGTTTAACTCGCACATTTATCTAACCATGAAAATAAGAATTTATATGTTTAAATTGTGTATTCGTTTTATTTTATATGCAATTGAGAATCGTATTGTGTGATGTGAGGAAGCAACCATATTCTTGGACTGCATGATTAACACTTGGGACTGTTGTTGTTAAAGGGGAGGGGGGCAAAAAGAGGAGTGTTCAATGAGGTGTTTAGTGGAGATATTGGGTAAAGTAGAGAGAAAATAAATATAAATACAGTCTTTAACTGATATCGATACAATTGATGGGGATGCGATAGAGTGCAATCATTCAGGATGTCTGACTTGAGATAATTGGGGTAAAGGGGGGTAAACATGATGCTAAACAGAAAAATCCAATCAGCTTGGATCTAAGCCGAGTTAGTGAAGAGGAGAGTCAAGTAGTTGTAATTAACTCCCCAGGATTTGAGGATAACCGGTGCTCAGATAATACTATTGCGTTAAGGGTATATACATATTTTTTCCAATACACAGAAAGGTGTCAACAGTGTATAAGCTTGTTAAACAGGGTACCAATAATAATACATTGGAAATAATATATAACAGGGTACCAATAATAATACATCGGTAATAATATATAACAGGGTACCAATAATAATACATCGGTAATAATATATAACAGGGTACCAATAATAATACATTGGTAATAATATATAATAGGGCACCAATATATATATAATATAATATGGTGTTAAATTACATCCTGCTTTACATACCACACGGTTCCCTTCAGGCTTTTGTACATGTATAGCTCATTCATTGAACGGAGTCCAACTTTACCGTTATATCAACTGTTCCCTATCCATGTTGTTTATATTTCTATGCTGCTTACTGCCTATAATTTTATTATGTCAAATAATTTGCAAAAAATTAAAATGTAGATTAATTGTGTTCACAATGCGAATATAACATGGAACTCTTTAGAATCATAACCATTATACATTTGTAGCTAAGCAATGAGGAGGATTGGGACATTATACGTTTGTAGCAATGAGGAGGATTGGGATTGTATTTAGGATCATGATCTAATGAACCTACAATGCTGACCTGGGTGGTCGGGTGGTGCACTGAATAGCCCACTTGCCTTTCTCCAAGGGGGCCAGGGTTTGTTTCCCCAATCGAACGTGAAAAGGTATGGGGTCACCTGCCCAATCACATGGGTTTTCTCCGGGTACTCCAGTTTCCTTCCACATTAAGACCCCCGCACACTAACATCCGGGGCAACAAGAGTTAATAATATCAGTTTCATAATTGTTGTAAATATATAAAGTTTATATTTATTTATTGAATCTACATACACTAGTAGTTCACAGAGATGCATGTATGTGAGCCATACACATACTATAAACATGCTTATAGACCATCGGTCTAACTACCACACTATAAACATGCTTATAGACCATCGGTCTAACTACCACCCAGTTAAACGCAGGCAACATACCCTAATATGATAACTGCTTATTTGATCAGTAATCTTGGTAGAATTCTGTTTTTGAAATTATTTGTATGCAGATTGTGTAGTTAGCCGATTCTCATCATCTAATTAAGTAGATGTTATTGACACGTAAAATAGATGCTTGAAAAACTGGTGCCATGAAAATTTACATCCATTGGTGGATAAGAATTTAGGAAACATCTTTTAGGAAGACAACCTAGAAAGGAAAGTTCTGACAGAAATATAGTTTTCATAATGATATGGGTCTCATCTATTTCTACCTATTAGGTTTTCATAATAAATTTGCCATCTCCTTCAGGTGAAAAATAGGGATTAAAAATGGGGTAATATTGTTTTTGTACAGTAACTTTTTCATTTTAAGCCTGGTATTTTAGTTGACAAGATTTTTCATTAGGTTTTAAATTAGAAAAGTGTGGTTGTGCAACAGAATAAAAAATCAATGATCTTCAATAAGATAGAAAAAAAATCAATGAGTTTTAATATTTAATTGTAAAAGTTAAGTGAGCAGTCATCACTGCCCACACAGGCCCATTGGCCTCTTGTTAATGCCTAGTGTTGTTTACAAGATACCCAACTCCTTGTGACTCCTTGCTGTGATGTATGTTATGCAGGGGAAATAAAGTTGTTGTATTACATATATTGTCTTGTTCTCTCTTTGTAACACCATATGGGTATGCTTGGGCAAGTGTTTTGAAAAGAAGAGGTAATTTCATTGATCAGTATGTTGAGAACAACACTTTTGTCATTTTCACATCAATTTTTATAGAGAAAATAGAACCTTGTTCTCATTGCATAACACAATGAAATTATACACTACTGTCATAACATGCAACCAAGTTTTTTAGGTCATCTGAACGGGAAAAAATGATCTTTTCTGATATGTCTTGTCAGTCATCGTCCAGAAAAAAGGCACATTTTCAACTTCTCAAAAAACGTAGAACTGACTTCAATAAAATTTTGCTGGAAGTGTCCATTGCAAAAGATATTTTTAAAAAATGAAAATTATACTGTGTTCAAACATTCTGAGGGCCTGAAGTACAGGGTCCAAAGGGGCTCAAATGACTCAAATGTCATAGAATCAAGTACTCTTCATGGATGAAGTTTCTAAGGTTTTTAATCAACAATGTAAATTTCATTTCCCCAGGGTCATCCATTTGCCCTTGAGAAGGGGTTAAGTTTGCTACAGTTCATTTAGAAAAATAACACTTTTGAGTTGTTTTGTTTAGGTTTTTTCTGTAGGAAATAATTCAAACTTGGATAGAATTATAAAAATGGAATGGCAGTTAGATGATAAAATTTTGACCTGCTCCTGGGGCCTGAAGTGTGGTGTTCAAAGGGGAATAATTACATAAAACTTCCTCAGGCCGAGATGTCCTAAATACATGTAAATTATTGCTCCTTGGGGCTGAGGGTGAAGGGGATAAAAGTTCTAAAAAATACTTATGAACCAAAAAATGTTGCAATTAAATAGTTGTCAAGGTAATATCTGATGATCTTTTATGAAAACTTTCATTTCAGCATACCCCCAGATCTCCCAATCTAAGTCAAATGATACAGTTCTCATGGAGATAATAACTATTTTTGCTGTATTTCTTGTGGAAACTGTAGCATTGGAAAATTTCAGGCATGATTATTGAGGCTTTTTAATTGTAAGTCCTTCATAAAAAAGATGTGGATTACATGCCCCTGGGTCTCACGATTTGACCTTTGGGGTGGCTTACTAAATCTGTATATAGAAAAATGACGGAACATTTATTTCTCACTACTAAAATAGTTCATTTGAAAGGTTTAAATGTGGTTTTTGTTGCCGATATGCAACGAAAAAGTTTCTCTCTTCGTATATGTGCTTTATATCACTTCACATTCCAACAATGAAAAATAACTATGTTACTGAAGGACATCAGGCCTCTTGTCTTGTAATACGAATATTTCAAACAGAAGTTGTTATAAAATTAACCATATGAACATCCGAGGTAGCAACATCACCCCGTTATCCTAAAATAAAAACATCTCTGTGTGAGGCAACATTTTCATGGGGGAATTCGCAGTAGTGTTATATTTGGTGTAATTTGAAAATTAGTACATTACTTCTCTACTCCAAATTCACATTATGTCCTTGATATTAGAAACTCACTTTTTTTTCTCATTAATCACAAATGACTACTCAAAGTCAAATGTAAAATTTCACAGATGTCTAATTGCAAATTTTTAAAAGTTATCTCATTTAAATGTAATCAAATGATGCGCTACAAAATCACCCACATTAATTCTCTGCTTTCAGGGAGAATTAAGATGTTATATGGATGCTGTGCTTATAAGCACTCATCACTCAGCATGAGATTAAGTGATCATGTGTAACTATTAGGTAATCAACCATAAGTTGTTCCATTGTATGTAACAGTTACCAAGCCATGTGCTATCTCCATGCTGATAAGTAAACTGTTAAACTCGTGTAAGCATTAGCCTAGTTGTGAGAGGGTTTCTATAAGCCAGACTGTGTGAATGTGTGTGTATACTGTAATTGACCCTGTTATGGCTAATTGACAGGGGAGTTTCCTTACACTTCAAATTCAAAGCACTTTGTCTCCATCACCAGGAGGAAGCATGTGAGATGTGGAAAGGGATTTTGATTTATACCACAGATTGTGACATCATTTTGCATTAAATGTTGGTACTCTGCACACAAATATTACTTCAAGAGCATGAGAATCAATCGGTGTAATTGACAAAAAGGATTTCCACGCACGTGACTTTTTCTACGTTTGGAGTGACACACGGTAGAGATGGTACAGTTACGGACTCCAGACATCCCCACAGCGTAGCCAGAGCAGTGGTGGCAACATGGACTTGGAGTTTTGACAAAGTAGGTAACATTTTCTTCATATGTTTTTTTCCTCATTTGACGGTTCTTAGGTCAATTTATTACAGATTGATGCTTGAATACCTGAAGATGAAGAGTTTTTAGAGGTTCGCAAAGAAGGATGACGAATGTAGTTTGCCTTGTCTCCAGTCATTCGTTATACAATGTACCACATACTGATAAAAAAGGAAAGTTTACTACATAAGAATCAAGTCATGTCTTGCAACAAGTTTACATAATTATATGGATTTGTCATGGTAATTTGGAAAACAGACCCTATGTCAATAATTTTTCGACAATTTGGAAATTAATTTTGACAGAGAAAGGGACTATTTTATTTTTTTGAATAGGTCAGTTAACCAGACCAAAGGAGAAGTAGGATAAATTATGGGTAAACAGAAATGCCTTATCATTACAAAGTAAATTTGCTTGTGGATACACCCCCTTACCAATGGCAGACTCTTTTTGTACACACGAGCAATTACTTGCCAACGTTAAACTTTCATTTCGCAAATATATGTTAAATAAGTTGAAATTTTATGTGATTGTGACAGTTATGACTGATTTCATTAGAATATATATATAAAAAGAAACACTATTATGATATCATTGTTAACCACCAGAATACTGTATTTGACCTAACTTGCACTCCTTCACTTATAATGTTATTGCCATTTATCATTTTCTAGTTTGAGCATCCCATTCCTTCATCATAATTTCACTTGAGAAAATGTCTATTACTGGTATAGCTATTAATTGAGATTTTTGGAAAGTTTAAAAATATTTTAATCAAACTCAGTGAGCCTAACATGTTTTTTAAGGTCAACTATGATATCCACAAAAAAGGTTGAAAACAAAACTGAGAAACTGCTGAAAGAAAAGTAAATAAGCCCCTTTAGGGATTTATAATCAACATATATGGTATCATGGTATAAGTTCTCCATGAAATAAACTCTTGAGGAGAATTAACCTTAACTAATAGTGGTAAGACTGGTTTGAGAAATTTTTGCCAAATCGCTCTACAATTCATTGTAAGGTAACCATAATAATCATATGTATAGGATATATTATTCATAAGTTTCCATTTCATATGTATTTATGAAACAATCATTTGACCATCAATGCACATATACCAGAGAAACTAACTTAAAAGCAAAAACTTAATGTTGATGATGATGCTGAAAAAGTCAATGGACCATGAAAGGTAGGCCGCACCCAGCATTTGATACATGGGTTGAGATGTACTACCTAAGATGCATCTATGGTCCAAGTTTGGTTGGTCTAGTACTTATACTTTCATTGACACTAACTTAAACGCAAAAACTAATGTTGACGCCACCATCGCCAGAAAAGCAACATCTAAGTCTTCTTCATGGCAGCGAGACAAAAATGGAAACAAATTCAAAATCATCTCCATTTCTAAAAATAAATAATAAATTCTGAAAAAATTGTGTTTGATGTCGCCAAATTGAGGTTGTGCATGTTGTCTTCTGTACAATTTCCCAGTGTTCTGTAGTCTTCAATCTGATGTCTGAATGGGCGATATGGGTATACTCACTGCTTAAAAAGTACCATTGTGATACGTAGGTATTGAATATTATATAGACCTGATAAAAGAATATATAAATTTGCAGTTTAGAACTCTCTGATTGATTGGCATTATTCTGATAATTAAAAGTGACATAACCATATTAAACACCAATAAGCCCATGCCTGGTAATAAGCCTGTACAAGTCATACAGTGTAATACGAACACAAACAAAGGCTTTTTCAATAATGCCAGCCCTTACTTTGTGTCAGAGTTAATGTGTTAGCCCCCTGAGCTAATCTTGCATGAAAATACAGTATTAATTACATGATTAAGTAATAGATACATTATGGTATGTCTTTCAAATGTATCATCATTTGATTTTAAGTCCACCTTATTACCTTCTAGAAAGAATATTTAAAGGTTTATTATTAGAGTTGAACTCAGTCAGGTCTCAATAAGGTACATGTATCATGTAACCTTAAATGAAATTGTTTAGACAGGTTTTGCTTCAGATGTTGCTTTAGAACATGTTAAATCCAGAGTCGATGTCTTTATCTTATCTGTCAGATGTTCCACTGGGGAATGCTGACAGGGTCAGTGGCTGGTTGGTGGCCTGGGGTCACAGGGAGGGGTGGGGAGTCTGCTCTGATGATGCACGCACACACTAAGCCCTACATCGACATGCATACAAAACAGTTAATATTCCCACACAAACCGTGGTACTGGTAAGTGGTTCTCTTACTTATATATACATGCCTATGTAAATAGGTCATTCTACAGTATTCACATTTCTTCTTTATAAGATATGAAAACAGTTTTTATTACCATAGAGGATCGGCCACTCCTGTATACCGTTATAGTCCTCGCCATTTTTTTCCATTGGGGAGATTCCTATGCTCAAAATCAAAACATTAATGAAAATGTTTGTATATACATCCAGGGAAAAAATAACACTTTAAAATGGCGTTTTTAGAGAAATATAGGAATAGTTCACTAGTTGCAAATCAGTTCCACAATCAGGAGTCTCCTTCCTAAATAGGGAGAGTTGGTAAGCATGGTATACATATATCCGCTAATTCTGAAAGCATGTCATTTTATACCATAGAGATCTACCAATTCTTTCTATACAGCCATCAAAAACAGGATGTATGTGTTTAAATTAGCAGGTAGACTTGCAGTTTCTAAATTTTCAGGTGACCATAACATTTCAGTTATTGCCCTAAGGGTCCATGTACTCACCAACTTAATTAATTATAAATAGATTATCTTTAATAGGTTGATAAATTGCCTTTATTGCTCAATAAACACAGCTATTACGAGACAATATTTTCTCTAGTTATTGGTCCTTCAAGTAATTAATGATTGTATAGATCTTATCCATGATTGTATATATAGATCTTATCCATGATTGTATAGATCTTATTCATGATTTTATAGATCTTATCCATGATTGTATATATAGATCTTATCCATGATTGTATAGATCTTATTCATGATTGTATAGATCTTATCCATGAACCACCATTTTAATTTATCAGTAGCAATGTGATAACAATGTACTATAATTGTTAATTAAACTTCCTCTACAGTTTTTATAACAGACACAGCACCATACCAAATCTTTAGAACAAACTTAGCTGTGAGTCACACCGTGTACTAATTGGTCCGAGTATACACATGTGTAATGGTACAATCTTATCCTAAAGTAATTAAGTTTCTCCATTCAGATTTTACTCACTTAGTTTTAGCAGTACTTTGATAAGTATCCAAGTACAAACCGCCTATAATAGGCTTAAGTGTAAGTACTGATCTGTGTCATCCTGGTCAGTGATGTTTAGAAGGTATCTTTATTTGCCTGTCTGCATGTCACTCCATCCATTCACCATCTGTGTGTGACCCTAAATTAGATACAGTCAACATAAATCTACGCAGACACATCATCATCAAGAAATGAGGGAATTCATCATTCTGGAGACTTGGCGCTTTAGAAATTGTAATACTAGATCAAAAGTTTGATTTATCAGTTTGAGACTATGATCAATCATAATATCTTATATGGTTTCCAATGCTAAATACTAGAAGGAACTTAACTTTTACATGAAGCTGATTGGTTGATATAGTTGTCTGATTTGTCGAGGTGTTGGTACAGCACCTGGTGTTATTGTTTAGGTTATCTAGCAGACACACACACACATTAGTTAAGTGAGTGAGGATAGGTACTGATTAGTGAGAGAGGGTCAATGTAGGTGTCTGACTAGATACTCAGCTACCAGCTAGCTGTACTCTCTACTAAGGTAATGTTATAGGAAATATTTATAAATGTACAGCACCGTATTCCAGCCACCACTAATTGATTTGTACCACCATCCTACCAATGTTTAAGGGGACAATTTGTGAGTTTTTATCCTTTTTGAAATTGTCCCGTATTCCATCCATCTTGCAACCCAGCTTTGCTCAGGACGACATTGGCTTGTTAACCCTTTCACCCCTATGTAACTTGAGTAGACTCTACCATACATTCATCTTGATGATTCCATTATGGTCTACAGTGGTGAAAGGGTTAACCTACATACACTCTTAACACAATGATTTCTGAGATTGCCAGTGGTTGTGGAAACTGGTACAATATTGTCATTGGATATAAAAAGTGACGCCTCACAGTGCTTCGTGATTTTATCAACCATGTTCCTCTGAATCAATGTAAGTTGTTGGTATGATTTTGAAATTGTTGTGTACAGAAATTATTCTGATTTAAAGACATGTGCCACCAGGGTATAAATGGATCTTCTTTTCAAAAGAGTTCAAAATTAAATGAGATTTTTTTATTGATGGTCATTTGGACTACGTACATTGATTAATTGATTACACATACATTAACAATAACACTGTGGTCATTCGGAATAAATAGAAACATATACAGTTATTAAAATATAAGGGAGATAACTCCAACGGAACTATAATATGTAAGGTAGCACTGCTGTAATGTATTAAGCCCACAGTGAACCAATTTGTCCACTGGAGTTTGTTATACTGACATGTTAGTCTTTATATGTAGAGTATATCAGATTAGATAGGAACAAATTTGCAATTCTTTTTATCATGTTGTGAACTTGAGCATGCACTGTCTGAGATACAAAAGCTTTATAAACATCACCAGCTTTGTCATGTACTTACGACTTCATCAGGTGCTGATTGTGTTTTGTCGTAATGAGTTATAGTGTACACATAAGTTATATCAAATATGTATGTGATGGATAATCGTCTATAAACATATGTTCCTATAGGGAACGCAATAATATTAACGAACTTGTAAGTCACTCTTTTCCCAAGCTTTCGGGCTTAGCCCTTCGTCAGGGATTAAATGTCACCGGACCTCTATGTCACATCCATCTTGACAAAACCAATCATTGTATGTGATGATGTAACTAGGCTACATAGAAGATTAAGTTTATGATAAAATATTGCAAGCTAACAATGCTACTGTTCGTAGTTTTTGTTAGTATCTAGACTGTTATCTTACCCTGATATATATAGATTGTAAGCTAACCATGCTACTGTTGGTACTGTTATCTAGACTGTTTACTTATATAGATTGTAAGCTAACCATGCTACTGTTGGTACTGTTATCTAGACTGTTTACTTGCCTGATTTACATCTGTATCAGTTATTAACATCATGTGATTGTTGTTCTGTCCTACATGCAGTGTTTGTATGAACTATTTAACAAACCGATCTATTGACCTCTTTTTTCTCAGGGAATTACAAACCAGGAACAACAGTTGGTGGAACTGGAGTGGTTACGTAAGTTTTTAATTATGAATCATATCTCTATTAATTTCACAATTTGTCAAACATTTTAGTATTTCAACAACCTTTTGTTCAACTGGAAAAAAACAAGGTCTATATGTAAAATTATTCACCGACATGCCTCTATACATTACAAGCATTAATCAGTTCATTGATGAAAAATCTGTGGAAGAAAATTTTGTTTTGAAATATTCCAGAATTATTTTAAATGCTAAAACGGCAGAAAAAGGTTTGTTTATTTAAGTATANTAATTTTTTTTTTTTTTTTTTTTTTTTTTATAAAAAAAATCATTTAGGAAATATTGATTTGTTAGATAAAGTTGAACTGTCACATTCAATTTCACATGTTTATAAGTTATCATCATCACATGGTTGTTTTTAATTGACGTAATTTAACCAAAGGATATCTAACTATTTCATAGCTCTTGCTTAATGATGTAATTAGATCCATGGGAATCCTGAGAGAATCTCAAAGGGTATTAAATTTATTTTTAAATAATAAATGTCTTAATTTGTTATTACCTTTCAGAATGTTATACATTGTGTATCAGATATAGGCTTGAACATAATGAAATTTATAGTATTACATCAAATTGTATTATCTTGCCAAAAATCAGGGATGGGTCTCTGCTAACAATCATTATATCAATGATGTGTTAAGGAGAGTGGTTATCTTTCTGTAACATAATCTGGTTAAGTTAAGAGCTCAATGGCTTTGTAAGCTACATGTATAAAATATCTATACATTTCAACAAGTATATCGAATCTATATGGCATTTTCAAATTACACACGACTCGTGACGAGTCATAAATAAATACATTGGCAACAATCCTATGATTTTGATTTGTTAGGTAACTGTGGAAAAAAAATAATGATTGTCTTCATAAATCATCATGCATATTTTCATCTTCATTTCAAAGAGCTTTCTTTACTGGTTACGCGTTTATATGTAATCCCCAACATTAACAATAGTTGTTTGCGAAGGGAGGGCCGCAGTGGCCAAGTGGTTAAGGCGTCTGACATTCTGCTACCACTAGCCCTCCACCACTGGGTCGCGGGTTTGGGACCTTCATGGGGCAGTTGCCAGATACTGGCCGTTGGTCAGTGGTTTTTCTCCGGGAGGTCCGGTTTTCTTCCACCATCAAAACCTGGCCTGTCCTTAAATGACAATAGCTGTTAATAGGACGTGAAACACAAACAAACCAAACCAAACGTTCGCTAAGTGACCACAGAATGTTTATATGAAGTATACAGGTTCCTTAATAAATGTAATACATATCATCATAATTAGTTAAATGTTTATTATTCTATCAATTTCCTATACGATAGTGAAGTCAAAACTGAGTACTGTATATGTACACAATTTAGCAGTACCCGGTATTCTTATTTTAGCCTTTTTCACACTCTAGATATTGCGCTAAATTATGATTTGGCAAATTGAAGTTCCTATATATTTTTAGTATTCCATAATTTGCAGCTTGGCCGATTCATCAATGTGCTGATTTGTTTAAAATTTGATAATGCACTAAAATATGTACGTTTACAGTGTATTAAGGTGATATACTACCATATTAACTATACATACCTGTGAGTTATCTCCCTTAACATGAAAGAAAAAGAAAAAACAGAATCGAGATGAGTTCTGATTTATTGTGATATGTCCATTCACTTGTATCTCAGAAATAGAATTTTTCTATGGTGATTGATTGTAGGTGTGATATGTTTTGTAAAAAATCTGATTGACTTGAAAAAGATTGAGTGGCAGAAAATGAAGTCAGGGCCACAGAAGTTAGTTGTTGGTTATAAGGAAGGAGATGGTGTCTTTAAGAGACCAGTCTCACTGTATTTGGAATTAAGGATACACCATTTAACTTTAAAACTCTGTACTTTTTAGTGATTGTACGCATACACGATGGTGGATCATACTGGTTTGAGGTGTAAATCTCTGGGTCCTGGACTGATGTGAATCACGATCAAAATACTTACCTTCAAATCTACACATCATACATCTACAAATGTCAACTAGCCCTGCATTGATTTCATGGATAATCCTTGTCATTGGTGAGTGAGTTTGATTTATTTATAGGCTTCAGATTTTCTTTCATTTGATTTTATAATTGAAATGTGTCTTTTACTCCTACATGTATTTTTATGTAATGCTGTGAAAGAATAACTTTGATTTTCTATTTCTTAATCCCTCGTTCATCTCAGATGTATTTATTTGCTTTAATAACATTTTCCATACATGAAATATTTTGTATTTAGGGCCAGTAGAATATTTGTCCTCCACAGTAAAGTTCACTATAGAAATTGTTTACACCGTGGCAGTAAGCAGGTGGTAATGAGCCCTGAGGAAAATGATGTTTAGTAAGCTATGTATACATAGTAAAGTTCAGTGTCATCTGAATTTATTGTGAAGGGCCAGAGTTAAAATTCCTTGATAAAATGATTAGATCTTAGAATATAGGAATAGTTTAGCAAATTCATTGGTTGAAAATGCTAATTTTTAGGGTCCAAAAATCGGGAGTCTCCCTATAAATAGTGAGAGTTGGCAAGTATCATAGGGCCAGTAAAATATTTGTCTTTATAAATAGAAGTTGTATATACTGTGGTAGTAAGCTAGGTGGTAATATTCATTGTCATGATGAATTTATTGTGAAGGGCCAGAGTTTAAATTTCTGTCATAAGAAGCCATGATGAAAATACACAAATGTTTGTATTTTCCAGGTTTTCTGCAAATTACTGGGACTTTGTCCAGCCCTGTGTTGCAGTCAGGTTTGCGGGGGGACACTTTAGGGATTAATGGGGGCAGTGAAGGTCATGCTGCTCTGCCCTCGAGTCAGCACCATACACAACTCCACGAACAAACGGAGACAGAACACGAACAGCCTCAACTACCTGAACACGAGTCAGATCCTTTAAGTGAACACGATTCACCAGAGGAAGCACACAGGGAGCCACACGAAGACCAACAAGGCGAACCACACGGGGAACCAGATGAGGACACACAGGAAGGACTTGACAGGGGGTCCAGACATTTACCCGACCCAGACAGGAACATTTCTTCTGTAGAAAATATAGATGGAACTGACGTGACAGAAGGTCTCGGTATAGATGATGGTGGTGACATCCCCGATGAGCAACAACAGATTGGGGGGGACTCGGAGGGGACAGATGTACATCATCAGCTCCTCCCCGAGGAGTCGGGTCACGAGGAACCTGAACCAGAGCATGGTGAGCATATAAGTTTCCTCCCCGACAATCCTGATCCACTTCCTGTAGAGTCTGGAGACAGGCATGGTGAAGAGACATTTCCCGAGGATCATCTTTCCTCAGATTCTCCCGATTCTGAACCGTTTCACGCTGTATCTGATGGCCCCATCATCAGACCCCTTCCCACTGTACCAGCTGAGCATCCAGACGGGCAACAACATTCTGGTTCACAAGTTCAGCAAGGAGAAGGGTTTAGTAATGTCACAAGTAATGAGAATGGTACCGACATGTCCTGGAATGACAAAGTGGAACTGTCAACTAAAGGTGTTTCTGACCAGCAGAACCAGACGGTCAGTGCTGCAGTGACCACAAAGAGTCCAGAGACTGAAATTGTATCTAGTAACAGTATTGTCCAGGAGGAACAAACTGCAATGACAGTAATTAGTACGGTTTTATCTTCTCCATATTCCATCACTCCTACACCTTCTATAACAATGGATGTTTCTATATTGGAGAGCAGTGTGGCCTTTCGGCCGTTACCAGAGATGGTCAGCAATACTGCCGCTACATTTACAAATATCGCTACAGTGACAGAGACTATAGTGCTAGCAAGTAATGTAGCAGTAGTAAAAGGCACCATCACCTCATTACCTGGAGACGATATACAAACAGTAACCCAGTTTATTTCAGCTACACCATATCCAAGTGTTCAGCCTTCCTACAGTGTACATACGCCGAGTTTGATAGACCATGGATCTGATAATGAATTCAGCACTGGTAGTGAAAAGGAAATGTCCACAATCTCTACTTACATTCCAGACTCAAGTACAAGTACCACAGATCCGTCTTCTTCCCAATATCACCTTTATGATTCCAGTGCGAGGACAGCCTCTCCGGATATATCTCCATCGTCCTCATACAGAGAGCCAGTTACTTCCTATGTTACAGATCAACCCAACCTCAATCCCTCCCTTAACCCTGTGAATTCTGTAACGCGAACCCACTCTCCTACAGTTGAGAGCCTTCCCTTGGCCTCTCAAGGTCTAGTCATCCACGATAATGACGGCCAGCAGCAGACAAACACAAGATCGTCGACCACACAGGACACGTCAACCTTTACTGGTTATAACACCCAGTCTTTAGTCACAGCCCCTACCACAGAATCCTACATAAGTGATAACAACACTACAACCTTATCAACAATACCTCCTGAAGGAAATTCTTCCGTTCATCCAACATATCCTGAAACATCATACAGGCCTGTGACAAGAGTGTCCAACCGTACCAATATAACATTTAATCTTCCTTCAACAGGTGGATCAGTCACTCCGAGGACGCCATCAGTGTTCAGTAATACAACGGTAGCAAAAACAACTCGCCATTATTCGGAAATTGCCACTTCTTTTTTGACTACAAAAAAAGCTGATCGAACTTCAACAAAAGCACAGGAAAAAACTTCAAGGGCGACATCAGTTACAAACGTGACTTTTCCTAGGAGCACAGTGCCTCGTCCGACAAGTACTGCTGGTACTGTTAAAATCCCTAGTACCTCTCACAAACACATCCATGTGAGCACCACCATGCCTTCCGTCTTCATCAGCATTCGAGTTCAAATGACCTTGACTGAATTTTGTTCTCAAAAAGAAACTTTCATCACAGAACTGGTGGAAATAGTTGAAGATCACCAGCAGATAGAAATACAACAACAGCAGGTAGTACTTCTTAATATTCACCCCAAAATGTGTGACAAACTCGCTGAACCTTTTACGGATGATGATGACTTTGAAGAGGAGACGGTCAAGGTCGAGTTGTATTTCAAGGACACAGAAGGTAAAGCTGATGAACAAATGACAAAAGTTGTCAGCGAGATCATCAAGCCAGGATTTGATGCCCAATCCGAATCTCAATTTAAAGAGAAGGTAATTAAAGATACTTGTACAATCGGTCAGTCGGTCAGTCTGAATTTGACATGATGATACACTATATATGTAGATGTGCAATAGAGGTTGAAAAAGTTTGAAGGTCAAGGTCACTGCTGCTGAAAAAGACCATGGGAGGGATATAAAGTCAGGCATATGGCAGGGCCCGGGCTGATCATCCTGCTAGTGTTTCAGTTGATATGGTAGTACGTTTGTGTATCGTGAATTAGGAAACACCTGAGTACTGTAAAGACAAAATAGAATACTTTAATGGTAGGTTGTTAATTTGATTTACAATGAAGATGATTACATCACCATTAGAAATTTGGCACCAGATGTCATTTTAAGGTGCCAGAAAGATGAGACAAGACAAACAAACCTAGCACAGCATATAACATGGGGTATCCCTGTCCAGGGTAAGAGACAAACAAATCTAGCATGGCATATAACATGGGGTATCCCTGTCCAAAATAAGAGACAAACAAATCTAGCACAGCATATAACATGGGGTATCCCTGTTCAGGGTAAGAGACAAACAAATCTAGCACAGCATATAACACGGGGTATCCCTGTCTTGGGTGTGAGAATTGTTTCTCCCACCTCTGTGTATGATACAATTTAAGACACCTATACTGTGACGTTTTTGCATACACATTCTTAAAATATACCTGACCTCTGTTTTTTTCTACTACATTTTTTTATTTTTTTTCCAATTTTCTGGCTGAGAAGTCGACCAACATGTATAGGTAAGATATGGAAATGTTACCCTGGGTGTAGAATGTTGAGCACTTAATACCTCAGCAAGCTTTAATTCTACATTTATATATTTAGAATTTCCATAAAATCAATTGCTCAAACCCTGACAAGCTTTGGTTTCTCCATGGAGTTTGTGAAATTTTTTGTCTCTGTAGATTTTGGTCTATTCATAAAGGCTTANTGATATAACTCAGGTGACCGCTAAGGCCCTTGGGCCTCTTGTTGTCCTTGTTATTGATCCTATTCGGATTTTTTGCATCTCTAGTTGACAGATGTGAAGCTCATACATCCAAACGAGTTTGTGAGCCACGTTACTGATCCTCCTAATCGACCCGCCGTGTCCAAGCCAAAGTTGGAGACAGGGATCATGATCGTCATAGTGATAGCCTCTGTAGGGGGCTTCTGTTGTGTGTGTCTTCTTCTTCTCCAGGTAAGCCACTCGATCTGTTTATAAAAAGCCTTCATCATGTGATAAAATGCAAGTTAAATTATTTTCCATTTCATGAGATTTATATTGACAAGTTATAATAATTTTCATTTTAGCGAGAATCAGGCTAGCAAAAATGAAAGATTTGTGCCATCTCCATAAATAAGCATGTTCCAGATCATTGCATCTTCGCTAGCCAAGTGTGCGCTTCGTATACACTCCACATTAATGTATACGAAGCGAACACTTGGTTAGCGAAGATGAGGTCATTGATACAGCAGGCTAGTTTTTGATGTCAAGCTTAACTCATTCACCCCTGAAGACACATTTGGACTCTTCCAATTCAAAGGTTAGAATAGTTAATTATGAAATTTCAGGGGTGAGAATGGCAAAGTTCAATATTAGGAACAAAATAGATGTTTTAACACTTTCCAGTAAATCCTTATCAAATTGTCCTATATAAACGAAACAATTATAAATTTTCATTGGTAAAACTTTATGGGATTTTGTAAGCTTACATCCTTTGGCTGGATCAGATTTAAGGTGAGTTTTAATAATGGTCGTTGTGCTTATTATTTTGCATCAATAAGGTAAAATTATAAATGCAACAGATTTATCACCAGGTCATCACCCTTTATTATAATAATCTGTATTTTGTAGTTATTAAAGGTGTATTTTTCTATCCTTAGATCATCATTCACCGTCGTCAGAGTGGTAAGAGGATGAAGTCGTTCAATGGAGGGTCGGGCATATCTAATGTCCCCAGTATGGACTCAATAGCCCTGGGAGTGGTGCCCAAATCTAGGCCCAGCAGTGGTTTCTGGAACCCTGGTCTAGAGCTACAGGTGATCAGGTTACATTGTCCTTACCAGTATCTACCAGTTTCCTGTCTATAAAATAAATAATGTGTCTTAGAGTCAAGCTTCTTCTCTAGGTCTATTCTATTTCAAGTCTAAGAGTCAAGTCGCTTCTCTGCAGTTCAGTAGAGTCAAGCTTCTTCTCTAGGTCTATTCTATTTCAAGTCTAAGAGTCAAGTCGCTTCTCTGCAGTTCAGTAGAGTCAAGCTTCTTCTCTAGGTCTATTCTATTTCAAGTCTTAGAGTCAAGTCGCTTCTCTGCAGTTCAGTAGAGTCAAGCTTCTTCTCTAGGTCTATTCTATTTCAAGTCTAAGAGTCAAGTCGCTTCTCTGCAGTTCAGTAGAGTCAAGCTTCTTCTCTAGGTCTATTCTATTTCAAGTCTTAGAGTCAAGTCGCTTCTCTGCTGTTCAGTAGAGTCAAGCTTCTTCTCTAGGTCTATTTGTATTCTATTTCTCATCTTCTCCATAAACACTTAAGAGTCAAGTTGCTTCTCTGGAGTCCGGCAGAGTCAAGCCTCTTCTCTAGGTGTCTTTTTGGAGTCTTGATGTTGAATTTTAAGTTTAAGTTGTATTTAGGGTATGTTAAGCAAGTAGAGTGAGTAGCCCCTGATATTCCAAATGTTAATGATATATACATGTACTTCTCATTGTATCTTATTCATGTTTTTGCTAACATGTGTAATAAACAGGTAACTGTTTATCGTGTTTTAGTTTTATATAAATAGCAAACAATATTCTACCAAGCAATTAAATAAATAAATAGAAATAACTTTAAAGCAGGATATTTTCTGCGGGGATGATATTTCCACGATTTGAGGGTCAATTAGGTGATCACGAACCTATGGTCTGCATAATAAAATGACATCTGTAAAAATAAGCAGCATTAATAAACTTCAAAATGATAATTTCATTATGAAATAGCTTGAATTTGGTTGTGACGGTTCATATACATAAAGAGGAAATAGGTATACTAGTATATGAACCGTCACAAAAACATGGTTTTGTTGATAATTTATTTAACAAAATACACTTACTTGTTCTTGTTCAATATGCTGTAATAAAGCCTACCCATTTGACCATTGATCAGTGTCTGTCTCTATGCTAAAAGTCCGCAAAAATTTAGTTCCATCACATGTCTAGATCGTTAAATTATTGTCTGTGTAAATAACCTTTTATATGGTAATTTATAATAAATATACTGTAGTTCCAAAACTCGGAAGACTTTACTAATCCATCAACTATAAAGATATAGGAATATTATGATAGATATCGAAATATAAACAATCATCATTTATATTTATTTTACATGCATTTCAGAATGAAACATCAGATCCCATGAATTTGCTGAATTTCACATCTTTGTCAAACTTTGCTATGAATCCTGATGCACAGAAAAGAGAATTTGAGGTAAGTTTTTAAATCTCATGAATTAAAAGGTAAAAGCTAGCCAAGCAAAAATGGCTGGATTGTGAAAGGCTGGAAGAACAATCTGACTGATAAATCTCTAGATATTGATGACTGGAGACTTCACTGAGGTCTTGTTGTATTGCCACCATTTGGGACCATTTAATAATTTGTCAGTTAGCAAAGTTGCGAAAGAAAAGAGGGACTTCATATCAGGGTTTTACTCTATAGTGATAAACGAGGGACGTTTATACATTTATTTGTGGTAGGGAAACACAATTCTTTGTTTCCTCCAGATTAAACATGCTCATGAGGGTGAACTTTGATTAATCTGAAGTTGAAAGTTTTGTGCCAAGTTCTAGAAATAAAATGATAATGATAATTTGGTATAAACTGGTATGGTCTACTCCAAATTTCAGAATAAATTTGAAAAAAATTAGAAATTGAACTACTATGTAACTTAAGGATAATAGTGATAATATACAAAATATGTATAGTACACATGCCTTATTAATTTATAGAAGAAATCCTCCAAAGCATTTTGTTTCAAATAGATCTGAAACAACATTTGTTTGATAGATAAAATATGAGCTATTCATTTAAAGAAATAAACAGAAAACCAGATATAATATTATAGCGATTGACTTTTGTAGATTTAAGCTATTTATCATTTTTAGGTCCTGCCCATAGAAATGCCAAAACTGTCCTCTGTACCCGTCGGAGCTGAATACAAAAACAGGTTTGCTAATGTGATTCCTTGTGAGTATTTTTCGCATTCTTGAATTATTGTTTGATAAAGATTTCATAGTAAATTGTCTCAAAGTTGTCTTAACATCATCTTCAGCAATTTCCCTTTCGCTCAGTGGTGGAATCACCAATGTAAGACTTGAAATTCTCACTTACTTCACAGGGTGATCCCTTGTTGCTAGGGAAAAGATAACTCTATCTTACACGGGGTAGGGAAAGACAGCTGACACGCGCTATGACGTCATAATAATGGATTGTCGACCATGATGTCATTTTATTGTTTCCGTGATGTCATACAATTGTTGTGAATGGGGAATCATCCGTCTCAACCCTGGGGCTTTGGGGTTTGCGGGAAGAATAAGATCGATGTTTATTTCGACTGGAATTTGTTTATATGTATGTATGTGAGAAAAATAATCAAACATGGGTCTGTTCCATAGACAGGAATATCTCAACCCTCGTGTAAGACTTTGGCTGGCCAGCACGAGGCTTGCCTCTTCCACTCGGGTTGAGATATCCCTGTCCATGGAACAGACCCATGTAAGATTCTATTAGTCTGGGATTGCTCAGTTATACACTCATCAGAGGCATTGAGATAAACCTGTACATGGAACAGACCCATGTAAGATTCTATTAGTCTGGGATTGCTCAGTTGTACACTCATCAGAGCCATTGAGATATCCCTGTCCATGGAACAGACCCATGTAAGATTCTATTAGTCTGGGATTGCTCAGTTGTGAACTCATCAGAGGCACATACTAGTTGCGCTACTCATGTAGTCCTAATAGAAGTACATCATTCAGTTTGATGAAATAACAGCAAACTTATAAACATATGTCACCCTGGTAAAATACTAGATGCTTCCTACTGACTCGGCTAGGGAGAATTTCTCTTTAGCTCATTCGGTAGAGCGTAAGACTAGTAAACCAAACGTCCCGGGTTCACCTCCTAGCGGAGGCATTGAAAAAATAATGACCTCTGTTACATATAATTATGTAATGGTTTTCACAGCTGATTGTTGAATCAGCTGGTTATTTACTTACTTTGAACTGGATAATCCTGTTTTTTCAGTTCCACATAGTCGAGTCAAGCTTAAGAAAATACCTGAAGAAGATAACTCAGATTACATCAATGCCAATTATGTCTCGGTGAGTAAGCAGATTAATATTAATCTTATTATAAAAAAGCTTTTTATCTCGATGAGTACCAAAGCAGATTACTATCTATCCAACCAACACAGCTTAATATTTTGTTATTCAGTGTTATTGACAATTTTGTAAATATTAGATAATATTGAAGTGCACTCTGTCTGACAGTCTATCACTTATTCCCACTCATTTCTCATATACACCAACAATTGTCAAATTGTGTATGCAAGTACCTCTTGGGATGGTTTTGGATACTAGAATTAGGTTTCGTGCCACTCTGTTTACAGAATTATGGCCCTTGTTTACATGCAAGATACATTTTTGTGCCTATTTTTATCATTAATTCAATATGATAACAGCTTGACTTTTACAATCATTATTTACGGTTGTGGAGTTACAAATGTATTGCAATTAAAAATGTATATAACCTGACAAAAACATGCATCTCTATCAAAAATAGTTCCAAAGCCAGTCCTCAATGAGTATCATCTATTTTGAGCAGTAATTTTTGTTAAATTAATTGATCACACATTAAGAAGGTGCCCATTTATATAAACACTGGTAATACCAAGGTAGAAGCTTTGATCATTAAGTAATATCATAAAATAAAGGTAATTCAAGGGTGATAACTCTGCACATATTACACAAGAACGTTATATATTTGAAATACATAATGTACATCCTTAACTGGTTATCAATGATACATGGGAGTGTTAATACTGTGGCTTCCTGTACAGAACCTGTATTATAATGTACATCCTTAACTGGTTATCAATGATACATGGCAGTACTAATACTGTGTCTTCCTGTACAGAACCTGTTTTATGAGANCATGGCAGTGCTAATACTGTGTCTTCCTGTACAGAACCTGTTTTATGAGTCAACTATCTGAAAGTCCAAAAAGTGGTTTCTGAAACAGTTCTTTCAACACATGTTCAATTCACAATGAAATCACTACAAATGTTAACATAAAAGTGGTCTCTTAACTCAGGTTGTCTCTTTATAGAGTTCATATGAGCAGGTTTGACTGAACATGTAATACATCCTATTTTAGGGTTACAAACATGCCTACAAGACGTACATCGCCACCCAGGCCCCGTTACACAAGACTGTGAGAGACTTCTGGAGGATGGTTTGGGAACAACAATCACGGGTCATACTAATGCTCGCTCCCATGCAACAAAATGGACAGGTATACTCCAGCTTCTGTCTCAGAACCCTTAAGCAAAACCTAAGATATTATTTCGTAGAATTTTCATTGATTAATTCGATTAATTCTCTTTAATACTGCTGTTTATGTGATCTTGACAGAATTTATTGCAAACATTCAATACTTTACCAAGGACTGCAGAAGGTAAATCAATATCTATACAATTCCTTTAAAGTCCTGTTTAGATGTCCAACTCAACGAGGTTGGCACTGATGCTGGGAGTTGAACAAGGAATTTTGACAGTATTTTCAATATAAACAGAATCCTCAAATCCTAACCTCGTGCAAAATATTTGCTAAAGCTGACATGAAATGTAAGTGGTGTAAAGGAAAGTAGAAAGCACTGAGAATGTTTACCATATGTATAGCACTGTAAAAGATAGACCCTGTGGAATTAAAACACTAAAGTATCTGGTTGAGTAGTGATAGATTGTCATTATAAAAGTTTTTGTTTTTACTAGCCCAGCTATGAGCCGTACTGGCCCGACACAGAAGGTATGGACGCCTGTCTACAGTTTGGGGACATCACATTAGTGCTGAAGAAGAAGGACGTCCAGCAGGAGTACACCACATACATACTTCAGCTCAAGGACATTGAGGTACTCCCCGACAGTTTTATACTTATATCTATAGATCTAAGATATCTTGGTACACCCTCATAATTACTAAATAATATCATATTCAAAGTCTTCAGAGACAAAAAAAACATGTTGCTATTCGTAATGTTTGAAAAATAAAAACAGTTTGTGCCTGAAACCAAAATTACAAAACGGAATCCTATTTCCCCAGGGCTGCTACATATCAAATGAAGATAGATCTGTCAAGCTGTTTTAGTGAAGTAGTCTTTAAAATATTTGTCTTTAACTTGACTAGAATTCATTCTGTAATTGTGCCACATATAAATTTTACTTAGTTACCTCATATATTGAAAAACTATATATACATTTTGATAAATGTTTCTATCAGTTACTGATGCATTAATGCTGTGGTCCATTACAGAACAATTTGATCCGTGAGATACATCATTTCTGGTACACCTCCTGGCCTAGAGATGGAACACCAGAGCCTATATCACTGGTCAAGTTTATCCTGGACACTCGTCCACACTTTGAAGATAGTGGGGCACCGGTTGTCATCCATTGCGGGTTTGTGGTTTACTTAAAATGTTACTGTTATATTCCCAAGTACAATTTCTTCTTTATACACAAAACTTTTCCAGGACATTTATGTTTTCCATAAAAGTGTATGGCAAAGACAAATGAAAGAATAATAAACAGATTATAATCCATATTTAGATTGCTTTTATTGCCACAATACAATTACTTATGATAGGGGAAAAAAATGTTTTAACAAGCTCATTTGAAAGCACCAAATTAACCTACCAATTACAAATATTATAACAAACGATGACATCAAATTATCGTTTCTTTCAATAATAAAATTTTGACCAAACTTGAATTAACTTGCTTATGATGGCTTGTGCCAGTGTCCTTTTGTCATACATTAAATCAACAAATTCAATAAGACAGCCAACATTTCTTGTAAAGTATCAAAACAAACCCAACAATTAATATCAAAACTGCAAATTCAGCTTGCCTGTTAATGTGTTGTGTTTTCAGTCCTGGTACTGGGAGGACTGGCACGCTGATAGCTATAGACATCTGTATGAGGTCGTTTGAGGACAGACGCAAGGTGGACGTCCTCAACTGTGTACATTGTATAAGAGGGGAGAGGGCTGGTGCTGTACAGACCAAGGAACAGTATCATCTCATCTATAGTGTAAGTACTGTGAGATGTTGATCCTCCTTCAACTGTGTACATTGTATAAGAGGGGAGAGGGCTGGTGCTGAACAAAACAAGGAACAATATTGTCTTATCTATAGTGTAAGTACTATGAGATGTTGACCCTCCCTCAACTGTGTACATTGTATAAGAGGGGAGAGGGCAGGTGCTATACAGACCAAGGAACAGTATCATCTTATCTATAGTGTAAGTACTGTGAGATGTTGATCCTCCCACAACTCTGTACATTGTATAGGAGGGGAGAGGGCTGGTGCTGAACAAAACAAGGATCAATATTGTCTTATCTATAGTGTAAGTACTGTGAGATGTTGATCCTCCCTCAACTGTGTACATTATATAACAGGAGAGAGGGCTGGTGCTGAACAAAACAAGGAACAATATTGTCTTATCTATAGTGTAAGTACTGTGAGATGTTGATCCTCCCACAACTCTGTACATTGTATAAGAGGGGAGAGGGCTGGTGCTGAACAAAACAAGGAACAATATTGTCTTATCTATAGTGTAAGTACTGTGAGATGTTGATCCTCCCTCAACTGTGTACATTATATAACAGGAGAGAGGGCTGGTGCTGTACAGAACAAGGAACAAAATCGTTTTATCTATAGTGTAAGTACCGTGAGATGTTGATCCTCCCTCAACTGTGTACATTGTATAAGAGGGGAGAGGGCTGGTGCTGTACAGAACAAGGAACAATATCGTTTTATCTATAGTGTAAGTATTGTGACATGATGATCTTCCCGGCAACCAGGAATTGTTGGGAAAGGTACACAATAAATGTTGTTCATTGGTCAACCGTCATGATGGTATTACCCCTTTGACACCCTGTGCAGGTTTTTGAGTTTTTGTTAGGACTTTAAATTCCATTCTGCCCTGAAACATTCAGGATCCCATCCTCTTAATATTTTTTTCAGATTCCGCATATTGCAGAATTTTTCAGTTCTTTATTAAGAGGTCAAGGAGAAGTTTTCTATGTATATTGTTATCGGGATACAACCAGTTATGATTGGTCAACATGTACACACTAGTGAGAGGTTTTCTGTAACCCTTGGCAACTGCTGTTCTTGACATTTAAAAGACTAGTCCTCAAGAATGCATAAACAGTTTTCAACGAAATATTAACTTATCCTGCCTCTTGTGTTATCTTTCAATTTCACTTTTTAATTTCAGGAATCAGCAATATATTTGTATTTATCTTCCATATGGCAGTTCAGATTAAACCTCACAGGGGCCTCAAAATGTGTTGCGCACAAATGATAGTTTTTTATAAAGTTTTGATGTCAAAAATAATCTATTTATTCTGATACATTGGTTTTACTACAAGTTTAATTTACACAACATGGCAATGATCTTGGTTTGGGATCACACACTGGATTTAAAGTTTTTAAATAAGAAAATAATCCTCATGTCATAATGGTTTTTTTTATCTATTTCAGGCCATACATGAATATGCCACGATTGTGACCAGTCCCAAGGTATCCATATCCTCCACCGCCGAGGCCTTACACAACATGCTGTGATCTTAGTTCATCACCTTCATTGTGAGAACCACATGACCTTTGTTAACCAATGAGATGGGATCTCATGATAGGAATCATCATGATGAACTAAGACTGGGTATAATTGTGTTAAATATGAACTTCCATTCTGTTTGTGATATCTAATTAAATGATGTATGTATAATATGTTTTGTGATATGATACCAACAGTCACTCTATTTGTACCTGACTGTTGATATTCATTTTATTACATTCCCTGTTGAAACAATGTTGATAAACTTTTATTTTTTAAAGAGTAAAAATTTACTGCTTATTTCACTGATGTCTCAAAGACTGAACTTTCAGTTTTTTTATGAATATTCAACAGAATATCAAGCTTCTACTCACGCCCCAGGCAGGAAAGCTACACACACTGTAACTGAGGTCAAATTTGAAAATATTTCTCTATTTACCAAGTACAAGCCTCATTGCCTTGTATGTTATCTTTGTTCACTTTGTACCCATTTCTTCATTAGCTGGTAGTTGTAGAGAAAGAATACTGTCAAACCTGCTTGTGCAACCACACACATTAAAAGACCTTTTGTGTCGAGACCAATTCCAATGCTCCCCTGTCGAGTGATTTCATCGTGAACTGAACCTGTATTAAGATACCAACCGGGTTTAGAGATTAGGGCAGTTTCTTAATGCATCATGGTACCATGTATTTCAATATATGTAATACAATATATACTGTTTATCAGATGTATGTCTTTTTCAATTTCTATCAAATATATTTTGTTTTCCTAGGACGATTCAACAAGAGTAATCAAAGGTGGGTTAGTTTGAGTTCTGTTGAATTGTCATTGAATAATTACCAGTACAGAAAAGACAGCGAGACCTAGAAAAGACAGTAAATACATTAAATGAATACATTTTTTACAGTGTTTTGATATAATACTCTACTTGTCCGGCAATAAGCCCAGGCCTGATAATAAGCCCATCAAGATTTATTGTATTTCAGTAGAAATGCAAACATTTGTTATGTTATTTTATGATTATATAATACATGTAATAAGGCCCCCTCCCCTTTTAGTCAGAGATTGTTTGTTGGTCCCCTAGGCTTATTGGAGGATAAAACTAGCTATGGATAATGTGGCCTATTGACTTGTATATATATATACATGTATCTGACTGAAACCATAAGGCTAGTTACTAGCCTCATTAAAACTTGTAAAGTTGCAACCTTAGTTATATTATATACCATCAAGTTCTGCAGACATTTTGTCGGTGTGTTGCAAGTCCTTGTTAATAATGGGATTCAATGATAAACATGGTAGTGTGTCAGACATACACTGTCAGCACATTCTGATACTGAGCTGTGTGTCATTTCCATCCAATCATTTGTTTCTGTTTCGAAATGATTCAAAAGATAAACTCAATAGGTCAATGTATGTGCGACAAACCTTGTGCTCTAAAATTTCACTTGAAAATTTGATCTGAGAGGGAAATATTATACAACTCAAGTAAGGTTTTAACTTTTGAAATAACAAGGAAACTGTGACCCTTTGATATTCAGTATTGCAGGTCAATGCCCTAACGGAACCAGTATCCAAAGTGAGTGCCAATTGTGCTCTATCTTCAGAGGAGCATCATAAAAAAAAAATGTTAATTAATCTATCAAGATTTAATGATGCCTCTCTGTAGTTTCAATATAAAAGTTTAAATGTCTTCTAAATTGTAACAATTCATTTATTGAAGTGTAATGCAGAAAGTATTATGGTTTAAAATGTCGTCAAACGATTGATTTATTGTAGTGCTATATATTAAGTATCATAGCCTTTGGCTAAACATGTATTTTATCCTCAATAAATAAAAGTTTATTATTATTATTATTATTATAAAACCATCCTCATGTATGTATTTTACTATGAACCCTTATAGCTGACCCTGTTTATAATATCACCCCCACCAATGGAAGGCAAAGTAAGATCAGTTCTGGGGAAGGTGAGGCGTCCTGCAACAAAAACTACATTATCAGAATTTTGAACTAAATAAACTTTTCTTGGCGTTCTTGAAAATACCGGGTAAGATACCTTCCACCATTAGGTAGGGATGTGTTTAGATGGAGCTGCAGTGTCTTGTTACAAAGTATTTTTATACAAATGATATTTCTTAGTTTGCAGTATTATAATATCATGTTTAAAACAATAGTGCAATAAATCCCCTCCTCAAATATTTATGTATGTTTTGATATAAACGATCACCCAATGTTATACAATGTAACATATACCATAGTTTACCACTGATAAGCCCATGTCTGGTTATAAGCCCAGCCACCTTTTTTCTCACTTTTCATGCACAGGGGGTGCCAAGCATTAAGCCCACCATCCTTTCTATCACTGCAGGTTTGTTGATGCTGATTAAAGAAATAAATCGACTTTGGAATCCTTTGGTTTTTTGTACATCATCAGATGTGTCCGTTACAAGCCGTCAGACATGCTGTGATAGAAGAATGTAATCTTTAAACTGTCATAATATTCGAATAAGCATTCAATTGTTGTAACGTTTTTGCATAACTTCTGAAACATACATTTGGCAATGTACCTTGTTTTGGTTAGTTTGATTGGATACCAAGGTCACACCAATTTTGTTGTTAATGATGTTGGACCAACTGCAGATTTCCCAAATAATACCCAATTTTTCACAAGAATAAAGCCCACCCCACACCCCAATGTTCTGCTCATAACCCCCAGGCTTATCACCAGGATATTTCAGTATTATGATGTGGGGTGGCAATATCATACTGTGATATAGTACAGCAGAGTCCTTTTAATGTCAAATTGCTTAATATCAATTTTTAGATTCCATTTAATGTCATCAATTTTTAGATTCCTTTTAATGTCACAATGCCTAATATATATTTCTGGTTAGTATCATGTTTTCCTTATGCATTTCCCCTCCTACCCATTTTATATCGTAATTAATTCAGCTGTTTCATATGACCTCCTCTTATTTTCATATTATAGTACCAGTTTCCAGATATTGCAAATAAAACATACTTGTACAGGCTTAAATCAATACAAGCAATGCTGAGTTTTCTTGTAATTGCCCAATGAATGTTTGTATTTACACCTGGGCTTGATTTCTATTGGAAGCATACAGAGAAAGAAATGTGTCACTGTTAATGTCACATTTCACATTATATTTAAACATATATTAAATTTCCTCTGGCAAATTATGCATGACATTAAAAGGAATGGACTGTTGAACAATGAAATTCCCTCCAGTATATATAAACCCTTACTCTGTAATACAATATTTTGTACAAATATTGTTATGTAGGTTGGCAAAGTGCAATATTTCAAGGCTATAAAACAAATATATATCTTTTATTTTATTTTTATGTATATAATTGCGTTATGTGTAAAAATTACTTTAATATGAAAGGTGCCAATTAAACAAGTATCATATTTATCAAATAATAAGCCTATGCCTGATAATAAGCCCACCAATATATGTTATATTTTAAAGGATATGCCAGCAAATGCTATTTTATTGTCCTGTAACAAGCCTGTCACTGTACTTTGAGTCAAAGATTATTTGTTGGCCTCCCTGGGCTTAGTGCAGGATATATATGGTATTTCCCTGCTGGGGGAACTTTTCAGCTAAAGTCTATAAGTGAAAGGGACCTATAATACTAATCTGATATACAGTAAACACTCGATATAATGCCCCTTGTAAGAATTCCTCTGTATAATGCCAAAATTCCTCTGGACAAATGGTGGCAGTGTAACAAGGGTTTATTGTAATGTTTAAAGCTCTAAGTAGACTAATCTATGCCAATAGCAGCATATCTTTAGTACTGTTTTGTAATTATTAACTTGTATCTCAATTCCAACAGATACAATATGTTACTAAATACTAACTACACTAACAAAATACCATATAATTATACCTGTACAAACCATACTCACTGAATCATTAACCCTTTCACCACTGTAGACTATAATGGACTCGTCCAGATCAGTGCATGGTAGAGTTCACTAAAGTTAAATAGGGATGAAAGGGTTAAAAGATAATTTATTGGCTGCTAATATACAAAATGTCTACTTATTACACGTACTTCATTGTAAAGTTACATAATTATGCTGCAGATAAATATAACTTAAAGCTGTTACATGTACAATTATATTTAGATATTGATGTGTTGTCACTTCAAAACTTAAGGATTTAGTCATCGACTATTTCTGGTATATTTTGATGATTTGAAATTTATCATTGTCTGGTTGTAATTATAATTGTCAATGTATAAGTATATGTGATGAATGTTTTACGTTGCCTGTTTATGCTGAGGATGAGCAAGGCTAATTGAAATAATAAAGAACATGAATTTTAATTTGTTGTTGTGTGGTACATATCAGGATGGGCAGTTAGAATAAACTTCTCCCATTATCTTCTATAAGAATAACATTTTGGAACACAATAACTAGCTTAACGGTAAAAGCTATCGGAGTGAGCTCATGTGGTGGTGCTTCATTCCTCATCCATCCACGCATTGTGGTCTTCTGTCCATCAACTTGAGCATTTAATATCTCCTCCCCAAACTAGAAGTGCAGCTGAAGTACACGAGAGGAAAATACTGCCTTACTAGCATGTTAGCTTTTCCTGCAATGCAGTTTAACCCTCTGACAAGCTGTATAGTTAACAGCATCAAGCTTGGTCAAGGGCTAGATATATGCCAACTCACGTGTTAAATTTGATGGTACCAGTGGTTTTTCTTTGGTACTTTGTGAAAAGATTTCAACCAAATTTTTGGTGGTAGCAATTTTTAGCCTATGGGAATGAAAAGTTATAAAGGTATGAACCATCCGAAGGTTTGAGGGGGATGTAGAAGGGGTTTCGTTGGACGATTTGCTTAAAAGACTTCTTTTCCTAAACGGTATGTCTCTACTGAAATATAGTAGTAGCATATCTTACCTATACTATTGGAATACCAGGAACTACTTTTACAAATAGAGGGCACATGGTCAAAAAGGGTCAAACTGCATGATTTGTTTTCAATGTCATCTCCTCTCAAACTGCTGGACAGGTTTCAACCAAATTGTGGCGATGAGGATCAAAGGTTAAACATATAAAGGTGCTGAACCTCATTGCGGCTTAGTTACAGGGTCAAAAGTGGTAAAATTGCCTTATTTATATTCAACTAAAGTGTGAGGTTAGCACCCTAAGCCTAAAAGGGATTTAAATTTAAGTCATACGAATACTTACTCTTAAAAGTGGTATCAAAAGGAATTGAAGTGGCTGATTTGCTTGAAATAAAAAAAAATCCCAAAGTAACAGGCAAGTTTCAACCAAATTGTGGGGTTAGTATCACCTTAGCCCATGAAGATCAAAAGTTATTGAAATATAGTTGGTTGCATTCCTTAGGAATACAACCACACTCTCAAAAGTATTTGTCATGCAGCACTGAAGCAATGTGATTACAAGAAGGACTCCAGCGTTGGGTGTTCAAAGCTTAACTTAGCTTTGTCGTCTCAATGGCTTATTATCCACAAAGAAAACTTCCTACTCTGTTTTCGTGACACTTTCTTTGGACAACTTTGTCTTGAGTGTCACTTTTTCTGGATCCTTTTCTTGTTCCTCTTGAACATGAATTTCTTTTGTTAAACAAAAGCGTTGTTTTACAAAATTATTTGGAGGCACTTCTTCACAACTTCTTAACTCTTTGTTTGAAAGACCTCGAATTCAATGCTCCTACAGATATCTCCAATATTCTGTCATTAACGTCCAGAGTATCTTCAACAACATGTGTCCTCTTGTGTTCCACTTGCTGGGTCAGTGAAAAGACATGACAGCAATTCAAATCAGCACAGCAATTGTTTCGTCTTTCTGTGTTATCCGCCTTACAGTCGGCACCTGGAATACTTGAAAGACCACACCTGTATCATCTTATTTTACATGGGTGAGTCTAAGATATACTTTTAAATGCTCCTGGTCTATATGGTAAATTCTGCGCCGTATAGATGATGGTCTAGGTTCTGTAATGCATTGTGTATTGCAAAAGCCTCCTTAACGTCTTCGAAACTCCGGTGGTTAAGCTCACTTACGCTCTCTGCACTCCTTGAATATGTCAGCAAAATTGAAGACATACGACTAGCTATTTGATTGGTCTCGGGTCAAGAAACTGACCGATTACTAGGCTGATGCCTATCTTTTGAAAATTATAGAGGAACATCCCCCGATTTTACTGTTCCGCGACCGCGGAATTTTTTCATGTACATCAAAGGATCAAGTCAGTCTTCTTGACTCATCCACAAGGTGGCACACTGAGCCTTCAATTTGTCTATGGCATATATTCCAGAGGTGGGGAGTACATAAATGAGCGTAACCTCTGGATATCGAGGATGCATTCTCAATGACCTGCTTGTGTGATACATATAGATAGTTCTGTGACTCATCGTCATCTTAGTCTGTATTTGAGTCAAACATGCTCCTACGCAGATACGACTTGTTGGTGTCTGTGTTTACTTGTCAACCCGTCCTGAAGAATTTCAAATGCTTGATTACACTTGGGCTTGGTTGATTAATTAACCAACCTTTGAGCAACGGGGCCAAGTGTCCATTTGAATCTTTGTATGAGAGCAAGTAGCTCGAAATCTTCGAAAAGTTGGGTACAAAACTCTGATAATAGCTACCCATTCAAATGAATCATCAAATATCAGGAACACCTGTCGATCGGTGCTGGCAGAGAGCAATATCGAATAGCCTCTATTTTCACAGGATCAGGTTTAGCTCCCTGATCACCGATTATATAAAAGTATTCAGTTCTTTTTTAAAGAAGCTACATTTCTTCAGCTTCAACTGAAACTCATGTTCTTGTAACTTGTCAAACAGAACCTAAATGTGATGCATATTATGTTCTTGTGGCGTTTTGGAAAACATAGTATCGTATATTTAGACAAAAACAATGTTATTAGGTCACAAGGATCTGGAGAACACGCCAAGATACGTTATGGAGTTTATTTTCAAATTCAGAAGATCAACACAATCCTAAAAAGTTACAAATAAAATCCACAAATGTGAAGATACATGCAAATACATCAATCGGAGAGTATCAGTATAATGTAAATTCTGGGTGTCACCTTGTCATTCCAATACCATCTCACCAACAGAAGGATAATCCGTCGTGTTTATAACTACTTTCACCTGGGAATTGGAAACTGCATTACTAACTGTTAAAAGTTAATAAAATTATCAAATTTTTCAGACTTGCTGGCGCTTTGGTTCTGCTTTTTTGCCTTGTCCAGTTTCTCATTTGTCATTAATCTCCAACTTGTCCTCGTAAAAAACCTTCTATGATTGACTGACCGAAATATTATCTTCTCAAAACGAACCAAGTAACAGTAACTTTAAATACATGATATTGGTTGTTTTAAAAAGAAACTCATGTTTTATTACTGTTTAGAAAATAAATGTTAGAAATGCTTGACAAGGAACCGCCTATCTAAACGTGTAATGATATACATACTTCCACGCCTGTGTTTACATCTAATATTCAATTACATAATGTAGTAATATATTCGGGGGGAAAGCAATTGCCTCTCTGATCTAAGTAATTTACTACAGATCGTCGATATATGGCTTTGTTGTTTGTTTAATAGCTACAGAAAGTTTATTGACAAGATGTACACATACCTAAAAGAAATATGTTCGCGTCGGTGTATGATGAAAGAATGTACACAATGCTACATTTCCGTACGTTAAAGGAAACCTATCACTTTTACAATTCCGGCTTTGCAAAACTAAAATAGTATGTATATATTTGATGCGCCGACCTTTCCGTAGTATACACGAAACAAGAGTTATTCCCCTAGCACGGTAAACATAATCATATAATTATTTAACTACGAATTTTCTAAGAAAATGGGAAAATAAGGAAGCTCCTCTTTTTTGGAAGGGGCGTTATGTTTTTATTTGGGGCGAACTAGTTGGGGCGATATGAATCAAATTTGGGGAGAACTGGTTTGGGGCGTAACGTCTGACACCCATACATTCCATGCACTGTTTTCCCTACAGTTACCTTTCTAACTCTTTTGTTACAGTACACGCCGTTGCCATTTTGGGTGGTCGAGTGGCACCAATGTAACCAATGTAAGGAGAGGTAAATTCCGGCGAACGATCCCGTCCAGATCCGCTACAGATAGCGCACTTGCCATTCAACAAGACAGCCGAGGTTCGACTCTCCAATCGGGCGTGAAAGGGTATGGTCACCTGCCCGACCATGTGTGGGGTTTTCTCCGGGTACTCCGGTTTCCTCCCACATTAAGACCATTTGCTCTTCTATCCGAGCCAACAATCAAGTGATTAATATAAATTGGAATATGTGTTTCATAATAGTCGTAAAAAAATCAATCTATATTTCATACCACTTAGGTTATATAAATGTACATTATGATTAGACCCTTGAATAGTGTTTGGTTCACCAAACCCCTTACAATGGTATAATCATTCCTCAACCCCTTGATAAGTCATACTTAATTATCACAATTAAACATCGAAATTAGAATACCTGATTTGGATATATTGAGCATTAACCTATGTTTTTAAAATGATACGTGTATAGCTACGTTAATGAACATTAATTACGGTTTATATCTTAAATAAATAGTTCACTCTGACGTTATAATATGTCATTTTTAAACCCAATTGTTTATACTGCGTAATTACTTATTTCTCAAGCTTATATATATAGAATAATTTCTCTTTTACGATAGCTTTGGCCTTGTGACCCTGAATGACCTTTTGTAACAGTTAGTGTTGCTATAAACGGCTAGACATGTTACAAACATTACAACACTTTTCATTTAAGAAGAATGAATGCTATATATGACAGATCACTGAAATGTCAATTAAGGTCACTAAGCATACATGTTAGTTTTGACAGTCTGTTAAAACCCCTATATATTTCGAGTTTTACTGTATTTCTTTGGTTTCGTATCGCAACATCCCAGAGAAAAAACACCGACCTTCGGTATAACAGCTAAGTCGGTCATTGTTCTGAAATTATTAATAATTAAAGCTGTGTTTAGTGCAAGGCACAATTATAGCTACACATTTTAGTAACTCAATTCTCCTTCATCCTTAAATTTTCTTTGAAAACTGTGATCTTACCAAAACAGCGGAAAATCAATCTTTAGACATACCTTCTAATGAAATGCGGATATACAAGATTCTGTTGGTTATTGATCTCAATATGATTACTTAGTAATGTCGGAAATTTGGAACGGGTTTTTGGTAAATATTTGAATAACTATCTATTTGACAACAAATTGAAAATATCAAAATAATTCTTCTAAAGAATAATCAGGCATGAACACTCTACTCTCGATGAAATGGAAGAAATTATATTACGAGAGAAAAACTATAGAAAAACGATATAGAAACGTCGACCGAATACCGACTTCGTCAGTGAAGTGTAGACATAAAACACCTCAACCAACCAACCAACGATAGAAAAGTGGAAAAATCTATATTCATTTTTTGTGATATGAAAGAATTTCAGTAAAACATAAACAAGAATTCTTTTAAACATATGACACATCTTGTTTATGTTTGGGTGTATCTTCATAGACTATCTACTACAGGCTCCATAATAATGACAGAGATCCTTAAACTTGGACAGATACATTTGGTTAACAACATTTGCCCCGCTGTAAAACCGGAAACTGCACTTATTTTAGTCTTTCAACTTACCTTTATTATAGATATTTTGTTTAACGATGATTTTTTTTAATAACACGAACTTTAAAGAGGCATAGGGTGAAATATGTAAAGGAAGTTCTCACGGTGAACATACATGCAAACATGTATCAAGACAGGCAATGGGTTAACAAAACGAACTTTAATGGGTTATCTTCTTACTCAAATACAACGAGCTTTATGGGTTATCTTCTTACTCAAATACAACGAACTTTATGGGTTATCTTCTAACTCAAATACAACGAACTTTAATGGGTTATCTTCTTACTCAAACACAACGAACTTTAATGGGTTTTTTTTACTCAAATACAAAATCTTGGTTCCGAAATTTCATAGTATACATTGGTAAAATAAATACGTTTAAATTAAACAAGAGTCACTTTACTTATAGACGCAATTAATTAGTGTTGTGCTACCGTAGGCCAAGTAAGATTCTATTAGAGTTATTTCCCTTTGAAGAGCTTTTCTTCTACCCTTTATTTTCAAGGTGCGCTAAGTCTTCTATATTTATTTATTTTACCAAAAAAATAATGTTTTGGGTATATTTATTAAAAAATATCAATAAACCCTGAAATATCCAATCGTTTTTTGTCCTAATATTTATATTAAAGGGTGAACAATATGTTATTTTGACTTTTTTGACAGTCGATAATTTTATACATTTTGAGACGGCCCCCGACGAAAATCCCTCTGTGATCAGACCTAACATGGCAGCGCTGGCAGAAGGCCGTCAGTATGGGCTCTCATCGTCAATTTCATCTCAGGAGCACAAAACTGTGGTCCAAGTTAAGTTAACAGACTCAGCCCTAAAATCTATTGACGAATTCCTCAAAATCAAGGTAAGTCTCTTGAATTTTCTCCGGTTTGGGAGTAATGAATGTGAAAAGTCAGAAGCACATATCGGAATGATTTTGCAAAGTCGACAAAATTGTTTTTGGTATTATCATATTCCTGGCCAGGATTTGATTATATTCTATATTTATCAATGAAAATTGTTATTTAATGATACAGAGCGACCGGCTACAAACTTCAATTGAAACAGTATTTAATATTCAGACGAGATAATTGACAAAAATGTCAGAAATATCCGCTCAATATGGTCAGCATTATGTCAATATTTTGCGTCTGTTCTTCGATCCCGGACATCAAAATATATTGTGTGTCATCATATCTCTTGGGATTAAAACATGAAGGATTATAAATGATTTCATTTAGCCTTTTTCGTCCGGGAAGTTGTGTGACCCGATATGGTAACGGATACAATGATATGCACCAGTAGTCTACCTGTTGCCAACATAACCGTTACGTTACACAGTAGTCCTAACATATGTTCTTGATAAGTATGATCGGTGGGCCTCTAGATTTTCATATAACATCAACTCAAGTGTTACAAAAGACAAGTACTTGAACATATGTTTGAAAAATAACACTATTTATAATTCTAGCTGATGAATTAAAAAGCATTTTACTTAAATTCTCCATTAGAAAAATATTTTATGTTGATAGTATAAACCCATAACAGAAAGCTGTCAAATTGTGTCAAGATATAACAGCAAAATGTTATTATAAGCTATGTGTGAAATTAGCAGTTGCCCCGGTGCCACAGCTGTGATAAATGTTGTAGGTCCATGATAAAATACCAATACATACATACCTATATATATATACACACTATAGAGCACAGTACAATGACAGTACTTAACTCATATCTTAAACATTCATATCAAAATAACTCAATACATTGTGTTTGTTAAAGTAAGACAAATTCTGTACCACAATATATATGACACCAATTTGTCTACCTAGCAATTATAAATGTATACAAGTAACAAATTTCCACATCAACCTCACTACAAAAGTACATAGACTTTAGGTGAAAGAATAAGTAGCTGCAAGTTACTCTATAGTTGCAAGCAATTTTTGTTGAAGAGACCAAAAAAACCTGTTGGAGTTCCAACTTTAGAGTTGTTGTTCATGATAGCTTGTCAGATCCCAGGCCAGTGTATGCTGTTTTTTAGGGGGGGGGGGGGGATAAATGATTTTTAGCCCTGCTTAACTAGTGTCTGTGTTTTCATTCCTTTCTCATAAATTTATAGATTCAAGTTCAACTGTCTAGTGTACAATTTCATATTTATACTGTACAGTTACCCACAAACAGCTGTTGGAAAGATTTTTCTAGCATTAATTATAAGCTAATATAGACAATTTTCACAGATTCCAGCAGAAAATGTACTAGCCCCAGGCATTGAGTTACTGGTATACATAGCAGAATTGTACATCCCTATTTGACTGTAGTTAGTCCCTACAGGAAAGCCCAAAACACAGTTTTTAGGTTGCTTGAATCGAAGTCCAAATACAGGGTGAGGATATTGGTTAGACAGCTTTGGTATGTGACTACATCGTTAGACAGTTTGTGGTTTAGCAAGGAACCTTGCAATAGATAATTTTGACGAGGTGAAGAAACTAGTGTAAGACTGTTCTCTGGTCAGACAGTTCGTAATGGGGTGAGGAACCTCTGGTTATAGACCATTTGTGTCGGGATGATGAACATCCATTTTCTGAAATCCAAGGGTTCCCTTTGATATCGACATATCTTTTCTACACTTGTGGAATATGTCATGACAGAATCGAAGATGTTTTACCTGTCACCTTGCAGATGATACTTGTCTGATGTCTTCAACGATAGAAATCACATGTTGTAACAATAATACTTACAGGCTTGAAGTTTGGTGTTTGCCCTCTGTCATCCTCAAGGACACATGTATCAGCCTAACGATTAGTCAGGTTTTAATACCTGAAAAACAATCATGTATCTCACCAGAAGCTTTCAGTGTTGTCATGGCATATTCCAATTAAAGTACAGAGAAGATCAGCGAAATTAAAGGGGAACCAGGACCTCTGAACAGACTGTTTGTGGCTGGGGAAGGAAACTGATCAGACTGTTTGTTGCTGGGTGAGGAAACGGATCAGACTGTTTGTGGCTGGGGGGGGGAACTGAACAGACTGTTTGTGGCTGGGGAAGGAAACTGATCAGACCGTTTTAGTATCTGTGACATGGTGAGGCAACTGATCAGACTGTTTGTGGTCGGGTGAGGAAACTGATCAGCCTGTTTGTGGCTGGGTGAGGAAACTGATCAGACTGTTTTAGTATCTGTGACATGGTGAGGAAACTGATCAGACTGTTTGTGGCTGGGTGAGGAAACTGATCAGTCTGTTTGTGGCTGGGTAGGGAAACTGATCAGACTGTTTGTGGCTGGGTGAGGAAACTGATCAGTCTGTTTGTGGCTGTGTGAGGAAACTGATCCGTCTGTTTGTGGCTGTGTGAGGAAACTAATCAGACTGTTTTAGTATCTGTGACCTGGGGAGGAAACTGATGAGACTGTTTGTGGCTGGGTAAGGAAACTGATCAGTCTGTTCGTGGCTGGGTGAGGAATCTGATCAGTCTGTTTGTGGCTGGGTGAGGAAACGGATCCGACTGTTTGTGGCTGGGGAAGGAAACTGATCAGTCTGTTTGTGACTGGGTGAGGAAACTGCTCAGACTGTTCGTGGCTGGGTGAGGAATCTGATCAGTCTGTTTTTGGCTGGGGGGGGGAACTGAACAGACCGTTTGTGGCTGGGGGAGGGAACTGGTCAGACTGTTTGTGGGTGGGTGAGGAACCTGATCAGTGTGTTTGTGGCTGGGTGAGGAATCTGATCAGTCTGTTTGTGGCTGTGTGAGGAAACTGATCAGTCTGTTCGTGGCTGGGGGAGGAAAATTGTTAGACTGTTTGTTGCTGGGGGGGGAAACTAATCAGACTGTTAGTGGCTGGGTGAGGAATCTGATCAGTCTGTTTGTGACTGGGTGAGGAAACTAGTCAGACTGTTAGTGGCTGGGTGAGGGAACTGGTTAGACTATTTGTGGCTGGGGGAGGGAACTTATCCGACTGGTTTTTTCTGGGGGAGGGAACTGGTCAGACTGTTTGTGGATGGGGGAGGGAACTGGTCAGACTGTTTGTGGGTGGGTGAGGAACCTGATCAGTGTGTTTGTGGCTGGGTGAGGTAAATGATCAGACTGTTTTTTGCTGGGGGGGGGAAAAAATCAGGCTGTTTGTGGCAGGGGGAGGAAACTGAATAAACTCATTTTGGGGGGGGGGGGGAAAAAATCAGGCTGTTTGTGGCAGGGGGGGGGAACTGATTCGACTGTTTGTGGGTGGGTGAGGAACCTGATCAGTGTGTTTGTGGCTGGGTAGGGAAACTGATCAGACCGTTTTAGTATCTGTGACAGGGTGAGGAAACTGATTAGTCTGTTTGTGGGTGGGTGAGGAACCTGATCAGTGTGTTTGTGGCTGGGTGAGGAAGCTGATCAGACTGTTTTTGGATCTGTGACATGGGGAGGAAACTGATGAGACTGTTTGTGGCTGGGGGAGGGAACTGATCCGACTGTTTGTTGCTGGGTGAGGCAACTAGTCAGACTGTTAGTGGATGGGTGAGGAAACTGATTAGACTATTTGTGGCTGGGTTATTAGAATTGACCCTGGGGTCTGGCCACCACCCTAGGGACATAGTTTCTGAGTCACAACGAGGAAACAGTTGAGATCCCACCCCCTTCCCCATAACAATGCATACATTTGCAAGGCATGAAAAATCTAATACAGATATGCCACAATGATTGGCCTTGGGGTCAGGTCCTATCCCTGGGAGCTTATTTGAAGATTCTTTTTGCCATGATTGCTTAAATATCCAGGTGAGCAGTACAGGCCCTCTGGGACTTTTGTTCTTGTTAAAATCAAGAGATTAAAACAATTCAACAGTACTCTGTGACCAAAAACAAACATTGTATTTGGTTTTATTTATGCGCACCTTAGAAAGAAAAAAACATCTTCGATAGTGGTAATAGTCAGAATTTCAATTCATCAGTAATAATTTCCAATAACAAAACAGAAACTGGAAGGCCTACACATGGAAACTGATCAGACTGTTTGTGGCTGGGTGAGGAAACTGATCAGACTGTTTGTGGCTGGGTGAGGAAACTGATCAGACTGTTTGTGGCTGGGTTATTAGAATTGACCCAGGGGTCTGGCCACCACCCTAGCGACATAGTTCCACCCTAGGGACATAGTTTCTGAGTCACGACGAGGAAACAGTTGAGATCCCCCCCACACACACACACACAAACAGTTGAGATCCCACCCAATCCCCATAACAATACCTACATTTGCTAGGCATGAAAAATCTAATACAGATATGCCACAATGATTGGCCTTGGGGTCAGGTCCTATCCCTGGGAGCTTATTTGAAGATTTCTTTTGCTATGATTGCTTAGATATCCAGGTGAGCAGTACAGGCCCTCTGGGTCTTTTGTTCTTGTTAAAATCAAGACCTTAAAACATTTTCACAGTACCCTGTGACCAAAAACAAACATTGTATTTGGTTTTATTTATACGCACTCTGAAAAATAAATTCATCTTCGATAGTGGTAATAGTCAGAATTTCAATTCATCAGTAATAATTTCCAATAACAAAACAGAAACTGAAATGCTTACACATGGAAATTCAACCTTTAGCCTAATAATGCAAGCTGTGAAAAAGACCTCCCTTGACTGCCACATGCCAGGGTCAATGAACAAGTCTGCATCATCTCCATGCAAGCATGCCCCAGACTCAGATGTGTGTATACATAAGATCCTGACCTCCTGGTGATAACAGTGCCACCCCCTGGCTAGAAAGTCTCCCTGCTATTTTGAGAAGTGTTTATAAAATATGAAATTGTGACGTATTGCTATACAAAGTTTTGTATAAATTCAGTGTGAAAGTGAAAGTTGAGTGGTACATATACTAAAGCAGTTAGACTGTGTGCCGATCTTCTTGGAACAATTTTTATACTGGCGTCAAGTTTGTGGAAGAGTGACACAACAGTGGGATATTTATATGTATGGACATGAAAACTCATGATCACTAGTCAGTTGGGGTAGTTGTTTCCAGTTTTTGTGTCGCCTACGACGGATGTCGAAAAGACTCATAGGCGCTGCTTTGTCGGCGGCGTCGTCAACAATGTAAAGGTTTTGCGTTTAGCTCTGTTTCTGACAAAGCTACACCAACAAAACCTCGATCATAGATGTAGCATGGGTAGTGGAGCCTACTGCACTAAAAACATTTCATTGATTTCTGCATTTTTTTGGTAAAAACCTCAAATTTCTGGACTTAGAAAAAAACTCAACATTAAGGTTTTGCGTTTACATAGCTCTTGCATATTAGGCTCTTTATGACAAAGTACAAGAGCTAGACCAACCAAACCTCAATCAAACATGTATCATGGGTAGTAGAGCCTACTACTCTAAAAACATTTCATGGATTTCTGCACTTTTTCGGATAAAAAATATCAATGTTATGTTTTCACATTTAGGTCCGTTTCCTTATGTACTACATATATGTCAAATGCTTATTATATTGACAAAGCGGGACAGGCGACACATATTATTACACTTAATTCTTGTTACTTATCCTTGTGCAAAAATTTCTGTCTTAACCATTATTATTTAACAAGATAAGCAGTATCAAATTTTCACAAATCATTATCAATCGGGCTGGTGCATGCAACTGCCTTTAGAACCACTACTCAAGCTGGAGGTTTCACTAGACGTCAGACTATCGGGCTAACCTCATTTTCTGGCCATGAACCTGCAACCCAGAATACAAATACTTTCCAATGACATTACCTCATTAATGCCAATTATATAATGGCCATGAACTATTATTAAAAGTTCTCCAAAAAGGTGATGCATACTTAGTGGCTACTGATCTGGAAAAATGATATAATTTGTAAATAATGCAACTATGAGTGAATTGAACCCAGTTTCAAGGTTACATATAACGGGATTGAACATGTAAAGAGTCTGATGATTGTAAGCCATTGTTTCCAGAAAATAATATAAAGGGGAAATGAAAAATATGGTACTTCTGTTCCCAAGTAGAACATGTTAGGTATTGTAAACTCTAGGTTATCTAGAGCAAAACTTGTGTGTTGTCATCACCTACAACTATATATAGGATGGTGATTTGCATTTACCAAACAGTCTACCGTTGTACCATGTGTCTGGGTCTGTTTGTGTAAAAATGGAAGCTAACGCAAGTAAATAACTGATTAAAAACAAAGCAAACTAATTCAATGTTTTGTTTAATTTCGTATTTATAAGAAAAAATCATGTTAAATGTTGACAGAAAAAATTATAATAATTGACAGTATTGATCCTGAAGCAAAATCAATCTAAAAAAACAAACGTGTTCAAATCACACTGAAAATGCTTTTAACTCATTCACCCCTGAAGTTTCATAATGAACTATTCCAACATTTGAATTGGAAGAGTTCAAATATGTCTTCGGGGGTGAATGGAAGAGTTCAAATGTGTCTTCGGGGGTGAATGGAAGAGTTCAAAAGTGTCTACAGGGGTGAATAAGTTAACTGACAAGTAATTATAAACCTCAGATCAATTGATCAGCTTAAATCTTCTGAAAATCTGAAGACAGCCTTTGGAATGGTACAAGGCTATTCGAAGTAAGAATGTACTGTATGTACACAGAACGCCGACTTCCGTCAGTGAGATGAAACCCGTAAGGACGGATTCATGTAGGTGTTAACCCTTCAACCAACCAACCAATGTATGTACACCTGTACACCCTCTGGCTAACGATGTATCCTACTATCCTACCTGTACACCACTCGTCACCAGCTGGTCATGGTACAGCAGCTTGCATGTAGGGCAAGGTTAAGGTCGCTCATCAAGGTGTCTGAAGTACCTTTTTAGGAGACGATTGATTGGGTTCATGTGAAGTACTGTACATGTGTTTGGATTTTTTCACCATAATATTTCAGTGAGGTAGCTCTCTAACGATGACATCATGGTCAGTACACCAATATACTGCCTTCATCAGCACACACACATACAAAACTGTATATAACAGACATGGAGGCACATCCTAAATGGCCTTAGCTGTTAATAGGACACTATATAAATGAACCCATTTTGGAGTACATATAAAGATGTTATGAAATTCTACATAAATGAACTTTGTAATGTATATTACCTATTTCTCATAAACTTCTTGATTGATGTTGTGTATCCAGTCTAAAACAAAGATACCCACCCCATATAATGCTAGGATTAGGTCTAATAAACAGCATTTGTCAAAAACCAAGGTAGCTTTTAAGGATAGATTATGATAAAAAAAATACCTTGCATTTAAAACTCTTGATATCGATATACCATGCCTTTTTCCAAGATCCATTGTTAATAAATGACGGCCATTCAATTAAATAGAACATTATTATTGAAGGTATAATAATCAACCAAATATGTTCACCAATGTTTACAATTATTATTATCGATAAGAAAATTACTTTTCTTCATTGAAATCCCCCTCCTTTAGAATTTATTACTTTTTTCAGGAAAAAGGAGGTTTTGCCCATAAAACTTAAGATTTGTCTTGATGTGCACGGGTGAAATTAATCTTTTTGTGATAAGATTTTGTCCTGATGTGCACGGGTGAAATTAATCTTTTTGTGATAAGATTTTGTCCTGATGTGCACGGGTGAAATTAATCTTTTTGTGATAAGATTTTGTCCTGATGTGCACTGGTGAAATTAATCTTTTTGTGATAAGATTTTGTCCTGATGAATAAATCTATTGTTGTCACCCCGATCATTATTGGTGAAAATCGTCAGTACACTGTGACACCTGACAATGTGCCCTGTGGTTTTGTATCTTTGTCTGGGAGATAGATATCCTGAATTATTAATTACATGTCTGCCTATATACTTACAACCTTAACACAGTGCCTCAGAGAGTGTCCCTCATGACATAGGTCTTACAGCATATATATACATTCTGCCTTACAAACATTAATCTGTCAGGGCTATAACTTTGACATGTACTTTTCGTTAACACATACACACATCTGTAGATATACATGCATGGATCTACAGTTGTTCATGCTTTGGTATGCTGTGTTATAGGTTTTATGTTGCATGTTTATATAGACATGTACATAAGGGATGTATCACAAAAGCATTTAATTACACTCACTTTAGGTCACCAACCTACCTATTCTCGGTGAAAAAAATCACGGTTTTATACCAATTCGTTCAGAAATATCGACTATGAAAATAAAAAGGGAAAAAATAGTTTTAAAAAAAATTGTGTGTTTATTTAAGAAATAAAACAACAATGAAATGCATCACATTTCACATAATGTTTGGAAGTTAGGATGGGGTCTTCTTTGTATATATTCAAAACTTGTTGGTGTATCAAAGTTTTAATCAACGGTGGGTGTGTGTAGAAACTGACCTTTACTCAATATTCTGTACAGAAAATTAAAAAGATCTGTGGGCCGACAGGTTCTTCGTAAAGAGTTTTAAGATATTGTTTATCTCAGGGTGGTTCGCAGCAAAAATTATTGCTTAGCATCATCAAATCAAATGTAGAAATATACAAGTATGCATATATATATACACACAAATGTACTTGTATGCTAGATACAGTACAATTATGCCAGGTATAGTATATATTTGAAACCTTCGGATTAACACTCAGCATTGTACATTATACAGTGTTTATTCATTATTATAACATAAAATGTAGAAGCACAAATTAAGAAGGAAGACAATTTATGATGTATGCATATATATATGTTAAACTTTGGGGGCTGTCATCGCTAGCTGTTTATTCCAGGTGATATATATATATGTAGTACCATCATAATTCACTCATGTTTTAAATATTTGTAACATAGTGTTTTTGAAATTTTTCATTACAGGCTGGCAGTGCTGCAGGCCAACCAACCATCCAGTTCACGGGCAACACCGGAGTAAGTCTTACTTAGGGGTGTATGCTACCTAATTACAGTGACCTACATCTCTCCTAGAGAGTTCCACCCTGAAGGCATGAGTTATGTCACATATGTTTTCTGAATGGTAATTTATACTCGATGAATTGATCAATCAAGATGACTCATTTGAAAGATACACAAGAATTTATACATATTCTTGCTCTTATAATAGACACAAGGATCATTCTGAATAGTGATTGTAAAGTAGAATGCTAACTGAAACTATTAAAGGGCAATACATTTTACCAAAAACCACAAGTAATATATATACATGTAGAATGTAAAAAATTATTTGTCCTAAATATGGCAGAAACATTTGCGTGTCAAACTGGGATGGAGTATATTTACACTTTCTGGCAAGTGATAAACATCGTGTGCACTTGTTAATAACACAAGCCAATATCTGAAAGTTATTTAAAAACTGACCTATCAGAGAGCTGCACTAATGTCTAATGTTGAAAAAAAACCTCATTCTTTTCATTTCTTTTCTCGCGGACACAAGAACTGGTTGTGTGACAGAGTTTAATCAACCATGAATTGGTGGTGAATATGTATGTTACCATGCTATTCAACACAACTAACAATAGTTTATTGATATTATAAAATTATGGACATTTACGGGGGGTTGCGTTACTTTTGCATGTCAGTGTATAAGGGGTGTTCAGTCTCATATTTATATGATGTATAGGATTGGCCCACACAGATTTGACAACCTACATGAATGTTTTCATAGTAGGTACTGAAAATGTTCACAAGACCTTAATTACACAAAATCTGCTTACTCCACACGTGTGTGCACATCCTTTTACAATGAAAAAAAATACAGTTTTATAAGGGTTTTTTTCAATATGCTGTTGATTTTTTCCCAACTTAGGAAAGTAACAATACCTTAAAAATCCATATGAAGCTGAACTATAAACCAACCACATACTACTGTGCTTCATTTACACGTGTATCCTGTGTGTGTGCAAAATATGTACCGACATCCTGCATCTCGTAAAAACCTTATCTACTTTTTGTCAACTTAACGTAAAACTTTTTTTTTTGTGTTTTCAAAAATATTGAAATTCACAACTAAAATTTCAAATACAGGGATAAAGTAGGACCCTCTAATGACATAAAACCCCACAAATATGTACATAAATTTCAAGGTATTTTCCAGAAATCATATTTTGAAAATTTGTATACAAGACATGGTAAGCTGGTCAGTCTCATTATTACCTGTATATATTTGGTAAACAATTGTCTAGTGTTTATATACAGAATCCATTAGATGTACTATCTTACTTGTAGAACACACATTTAATTCATTGTTAAATACACGTACTGTATGTGTAGTGAAATAAATATACCGTATAAAGTTTATAAATTGTACTTTAAGATACGCCGTGCTGATTACAGCTTATATATTGTAATTTTAAGAGTTTGGTGTATATTTTTGTACATGCTGATGGCAATCTTTTACTTGAATATAAAGGTTAATTATTTTTCTGTTGTACATGTTTAGGTATATGTATTATTATACATCTGAATAACAGCATTTTCCCATTGAATTTAGAGCTTTATTCTCTCTAAACATTTTTTTGGACTTTTGAGAATCAAATATATTTATAATGTATATTGCCAAAACAAAATCCGGCTTTTTTAAAGGATTTACAAGTAATTTCTGTATTAAATTATTACAGATATTTTTTGTAGGAGTCCTGAATATGTGCACAGTGATTTTGATTGAAACGTCAATATACAATTACAGTACAGCCGATAAAAAGCAGGAAATCAAAACAGTTGTAAATTTAAATAAGTATATTTTTTTTTAAACAAATACCAAAATTCCAAATTTTGATATTTATCTGAAAAGCTAGATGTTCGTATGTATACATGTACCGAAACAAAAGGAATTTAAAACACTGGGGAATATTTATATATATATAAACAATGTCACACGTCAAAAATGTTGAAGCGAAAATCAGTGTAAACCCTGTACATGTATACATTGTGAAGTGGCTGTAGTCGCAAGCTTTTCCGTCATGTTTCAAATTTGCCACTTAAACTATTATTTATGTTAAATGTATGCAGTCACTAATTAGTTCAGCCATGGTATCTATTCTGAAATTCCCAAAATAAATCTCTGTTGCATCAATTCACATTTGCTGTCGGGTACAATATACACAATATGGCTCTGAAGGAAAAAATTTAAGTCCCAAAATTGATACGTACGGATCATTAAATTCATTGAGAAAAAATCAGTACCTGTGCTTTGTGGCCGTCTTACAAATTATTTGACCAAACGACTGGGGTGTAAAGAAAGGTTGGAGCACTCGCCAAGGGCAAGTAGGCTGGCATCAAAAATGCATTTTTCAAATTGAAATCTACCTGTCCCATTTTATTTGTTGAAAAACACATCACAAACATTCCCAAGGTTAAAGTTTGGTTACCTGGCCTTCAGGTGAGTGGATTTGTACAGTCCTATAAAGGTTGGATTGATTCTCCTTCACTGTATGTAGGACTATTCTGTACCTGGATAACATGCATGAACACAAAGAATTTCAAATCTGTCTCCTCGCCAGTCATTGACCTACATGTTGTACAAGCAGCATACATGTATGTGTGTACGCTTACTGACCCACTAAATTTGTCAGGGTCCCTAACGCTTTATTTCTCAAACTGAAAAAAAATGTGTTCGTTTATGAAAGGCCATGATTAATTGCAGAGTGTTATGTATTGATTTTTCTTGAAAGTAAATACTGGTAATGTATAAATTAACATGTGCGTGATTTTATTTTTTTAATTGTGTGTAGTTTGTTATCAATACACTATTTTTAATTTACATTCTATTTCTAGATTGTTTATTTTCTAGGTTAGAACAATGTTTTTGGCTCATGATCACCTGTCAGGAAGTGCGTGTGGCTTTATGGTATGGTGATCATGAGGTGTCTTCCCTCTGTCCTTCATCCATCAACCTCTTTTAATATTATTTAAATGAATTCTTGCTGAAAACTAAAGACTCCTAGTCATAATACATTGTATTTGGCTAGTATGGCTGATATACATTGAACATGTATCGATATAATTTCCTCATATAATTTACCTTCTCCTACTTTCAAGGTCACAGCGGTGCTAATTAACTCATTCACCCCTGAAGACACACATTTGAACTCCTCCAATTCAAAGGTTGGAAAAGCTCATTATGAAATTTCAGGGTTGAATGAGTGAAACTATATTATTAAATCTTCAAACAACATTATCTGAAGAACCATATCATTACGTGATCAAGAGACATGATACTTGATAATACTTACTTGGGTATGTTATGGAGACCAGCAATAAAAAAAAAAAATATATATATAAACCCAAAGTTTAATTGAGTGCTGGCTTGGGTTAAATGTCAGCACAGACTACAAAGTGTAAAAATATTTTAAAATCTTCTTATTAATAAAATCTTCTTATTAAGGTCCATAAGTCCAAGTGTCCTGATATATTTGTTTATATATATACCAGCAGTGCAAATCTTATTTTCTTAAATATTCAGATGAGCAATACAGGTCCTTTTGGGCTATTTGTTGACAATTTTCAATAATTTTTTCTTGTCTCTGCCATTAATAAAACCAGCAGTGCAAGGAAGAAGGTAGCTGTGTGGGTGGATTTTATTTTTGAAAAGATGATCTTGTACATGCTTAAATGATTTCCTTTTATGTTGCTATTTGTTCACCATACTTCATGTATATTACCTTATACACCTCACATATTTATGATGAGCTGACTTTTCAGTATTTTAAAATGCGGAATTTTGCAACTTGTTTTACAGATAATCTGTATACCAAGTAATAATGCCAGTGATCGTGCACGGACATTACAGTTCTCGCTGTCCCCGCTGGTCGACTCCAACACCAGCGACTGTGCACACCAGCCAGACACAAAGTAAGTAGAACCCTCTGTTACCGTATCAAACACATTCTCTCTTACGTGTCGGGAGGCAGCAAGAGTTATTGTTTGACACTAAAACTCTGAGATTATAAAATAAATAGTTCACGGTCGGGTACAGATGATAAATGGGTGTGTGTAAATAAACTGAAAATAGTTCTATAGTTTATGTTTGTCATTTTTTTTATCGGGATATAAATGTTTGAAAGTCTACATCAGGGGCAATATCTGAGAAATATAGATGATCTCATTCCTCCAGATCACAGAATTCCTTATTTTAAGTAAACAATGCAAAAATTTCAACTGTCAGAAATAACCAGTTTTACGAAATGGTTCTTGTAGATGTTGTTGCAAAGATGGCTTCAAAGGAAGAGTTGCAACTCTGATGTGGTCTTTTAACTCATTCACTTGATGTCACAAGGAAAAGATGTTTATCGTGTTATTCATTTCAATAATGGGCTCATATTTGGTCGGTAAAACAGGATTTAACCTCATCATGTGACATGTACACGTGTGACCTAAAGGGAGGACGTAATTTGTGGCTGCAATATAAGATCAGTAAAATCTTACTGAAGTTTATTGATACTTGAACTCTGTTTGACCTTTGTAGACATGGCAATCATCTCAATATGCTGGGTACCATGTCCCAGAAAATCGCAATCCACGCCACCAGTGATGTTTTCGTGGCCACCAAACAGCGCATGAACCAAGCAATAGCTGACACTAACAGTGTGTGGTAAGTACACCAAACAGTAGCAGACACTAACAGTGTGTGGTAAGTACACCAAACAGTAGCCAACACTTACAGTGTGTGGTAAGTACACAAAACAGTAGCCAACACTAACAGTGTGTGGTAAGTACACCAAACAGTAGCTGACACGTGCACTTACAGTGTGTGGTAAGTACACCAAACAGTAGCCAACACTGACAGTGTGTGGTAAATACACCAAACAGTAGCCGACACAAACAGTGTGTGGTAAGTACACCAAACAGTAGCCGACACTTAGTGTGTGGTAAGTACACCAAACAGTAGCCGACACTAACAGTATGTGGTAAGTACACCAAACAGTAGCCGACACTTACAGTGTGTGGTAAGTACACCAAACAGTAGCCGACACTAACAGTGTGTGGTAAGTACACCAAACAGTAGCTGACACTGACAGTGTGTGGTAAGTACACCAAACAGTAGCCGACACTAACATTGTGTGGTAAGTACACCAAACAGTAGCCAGCACTGACAGTGTGTGGTAAGTACACCAAACAGTAGCTGACACTAACAGTGTGTGATAAGTACAGACTACAAAATTGTTAAAAATATAAAAATATCCTTTTTCCTTAACATTTTCTTTATGTTGGTTTAAGGATTGTAGAAAGATTCATGTAGCACAACCAGTGAGTCGTAATACGTGTCGTCCAGTTACTAATATTATGTGTACTCTATTACCTTCCTTAGATAATTGACCAGTGAAGTGTGTTACATATGGCCCATAGGTCATTTTTCTGATGAAGGTGACAAATTACTTATGGTATAAGTCATCAAAATGTCACACATGAACATATCACTGGTTGTTGAACATGAATCGTTCTTCCAATCAAGGGATTTCTTCTGAAAGGCTGAGAAGCAGTAGCTTTCGGGCATCGAGTGCTTCAAAGTTTGTGACCAGAAATTATCTTTACCAATATACAAGTTTGCAAATGTCAAATTTGTATAAGCGCAACCCACTATATGAACATTACTAGCAGAAATGCATTTAATTTGAGTATGAAAGCAAAAACTATCGTGACGTAACACGTGGTTTACTTATGACGACATATATTAACCTTGTTCAATGAGAGTCTTGATGCTGTGCCAATTTTAGTTAAATAGGGCTATTCCGCCAATGTCGTTTAAAGGACGACGCATATACAAAACGCAGTAAATAAACAAATTATTTAAGAACAAATAAACAAAATTGAACAACTGTTCTATAGTAAAATTGTAGATACATAGATTGAACAGCGTTTTTGAAATTTTCATGCCAACTGAACACTCACACAACTGATCAGCTACAAGGCCTACTCGTGAGACTTGGACCATTAGTCTGCCGGCATGACTTACTACAAGGATTGCAAGCATAAGTTTTTATACCTTGACCAATATTCAAGGTCACAGGAGTCAAATTTATTGAAATCCTTGAACAATTTCTGAAGAACATGATTAAATTATGGCCTAGTGTCTTGATATATGGCTAGTAACTTACTGAAGTGTAGTGCTAAGATTTTTGTGTAAGTCCCTAACACCACTGAATGTCTTAGTTCTCATAGGCCTGTTGTTTATTTTTCATTCCAAATTTTGTCTGCAGGTGCATGTGGGAGACTTCAGATTACTCAAACTACTTTGACTAGTTCTAGTTTTGAAACAAAAATGACTTATTTCCTTGTCATCCATGATCACACAGTAAAACCATAGCTATGCTACCCCTCGTTTGATTGGCCCTGTCCTTTTCAAGAAATGTTTTTTTTTCTTATTAATTGAATTATACACTTCTCCCGATATATAATCTTTATAATGTCCAAACTTGGCTGGTCAGATGATGACAGTATAAAGAGGTTTTTATAAACCCCTTTTTACACCAAACCTAGTCACAGATTTACTATGTACGATGTTCTAACTTGAATAACAACTTTGCAAGTAAAAGAAATGGTCACAATGATTTACGATATATTACTGGAAAAAAATCCACGTTGTGTCTTGAAATAGGGAATTTTACTATAGGTCAAACCTTAAAAAACTACTTTTGTTTCTATTGTGTCGTGAAATTGGGAATTTTACTATAGGTCAAACCTTAAAAAACTACTTTTGTTTCTATTATGTCTTGAAATTGGGAATTTAGAAATTGGTGAAACCTTGACCTGCAGAGATAGCTAGGCTAGAAAAAGCCTTGAATCTTCAGTACATCATCCTATTCTGTGAAGTACGTTTATGTGTATGAGGTGTATGATAATTTAAGCCATATATTTATGAGTCATGCCTATTAATCATATTAATTTCTAAATTTGTTATACCGTGTTAACTGTGTGGTTTCTTTGCACACATCAGTTCTGCGCTAATGAATAGTCATTGTTTTGTCATCTAAATAAAATGTATGTGCTTTTTTTAAAATTGAATATGCATTGAAGTTTAGCAATTTTCATTTCAGTACGCAAGAAATCAAGCCAAGTGGACGCCACATTGGACGCAAAATCAAGAGAGTGAAAGTTGGTCTAGATCTAAGTTCCAAACCCACCCCCAGTTTAACAAAGCCAACAAAAACTGCTGTAGTGTCATCCTCTCATGTTGTTCCCCACGCCTCTTCTGTACGCCCCAGCTCCCTTCACACAGCATCCCACTCCATATCGCCCTACCAGGGTAGTCATGATTCTATGCCCAACTCTTCCAAGGTGACATCTTCGTCTGTATCGTCGTCATCGTCGTCTCCGTTGTCGCATCACCCGTCATCGTCATTGTCTTCGTCCACCCCGTCATCTGTACCAGCCAGCAACAAAGCCAAGCCTATCAACCCGGCCATTGTTGGAGTGCCTATACGGTGAGTTTGACATACACTGTGGGTTTTTTTATGGTTAATTGATAACTTGGTTTTTATTAATTAAACCCATACAGGTTCTGGGTAAATTAAACCCATACAGGTTCTGGGTAAATATGCCTGCTGTATCCCACTGCATGTTTGTAAGAGGTGACTTTTGTGGGGCCCCTGTAGAATCAGGGGGTTTCTGCTGTGTCTTCTATGAAGAGTATATGGGAGAAGAGCCAGATCGATTTGCTGCCCCCATTAAAACACTTGGAATCTTTTTTATTTCCTTCCTTTCCTATCTAATTTCTCTTTCTGGTGGTGTCTCCCTCGGTACCCATCCCCATATGTGACCCTTTGTGTTGCGAGAACATTAAACCCTTAAACAAACAAAGAAATATTTTATCAAATAAGTATGTGAACAGTCTAGGGAGAAAAAAGTTATAAAAAGTTTCGCAATTACGTTTATTGAGTCACTTTTTAACTGCTTCCTGTTTGGGGGCAACACTGGCCGAGTGGTTAAGGCGTCTGACTGTCTACAATCACGAGCTCTTCACCTACAAGGAGCAGTTGCAGGTACCAGCCACTGGTCGATTGATTTCTCAAAGTTCTTCATCTTTCCTCAACTACCAAAACCATGCTCGTTCTTAAATGACCATAGAGCTGTAAATAGGACATAAAGCACAAACGAAACCAGAGCATCTTGTTCTAAGTTACCAGGTATAATCTTATAAGTATGCCTGCCCTTCAAATGCAGGTAGTCACTACCAAATAAGTCAAATGTGAAATAGGATAGTGGACCTGTATGGGCTGATGATATCAGATTGTAGCTGTTTACAATGTATATCTGCCCTAGGAGTGCTGTTGGACTGTTGGATTGACTCATTCGACGGAGGGGATATAGAAGGGGATTATATAGATACACCCAATTTTATCACAAAAAATGTATTCCCTTCTGCGTGTGACATCTGGAATGGTCCCTCAACAAGTCAGAACTCCCCCTTCCTGTAATCTCCTGGTAAGGGGGTTTCATTACCCCTACATGATTTGTTACTTATGGCATGTGAGGTGATCACAAAATTTGACGGTGAGGCACTGAAGCCAGGACAGGTTGACCCTTTCTTATATGCAAATGTAGCACAATATGAAGTTTTAAACACATATAATCTTGTCCAAGTAGTAACTTTAGATTGTAAAAGCTTTGAAACTTGAAGTATACCTAGGCCTGCAACAAGCCAAGCAAGTGTGTAATGCACTGAAATTAGGTCACTGTGACCTTCAACCCAAGGTCAAGGATTTTTAATTGATATTTATAAAGACACTTTAACCATGAAGTCACACTCAAGTCTCGATTTGTATTTTTATTATTCTGTAAATTTAATACTGAAGAAATTTGGAGAAAAAAGCAGCCTGATCGTGCAGTTAACGATACAGCTGTTGATATCTGCCGTGTTTAATGTTATCACATGATCAGATAAAGGATCAGTACATGAACAGCTGTGTTGGTCCTTATCACAGACACATGTGTCAGTACTGCTCATACAGTGTACTAGGTACTAGTGCTAGGTGTACTGTGTGAAAAAACCCAATTTGCATTGATCACCATATAAAACCATGTTTATATATTTTTTTTCATGTTTTTTAAATAATGCAAATTACATTCATACATATATGGATATATGGATATAGGCATTTGAAATGAATTTGGTTTGGGGAGGGGGGAGTGAGAGGTTAATTAACATGTAGAAGTCATTTTCTTTGTATGTTTTGAACCGTGAGGCATGAAGCTTAGAGTAATTATATTTACCCTGTAGCTGGCTTGGGTGAGGAGTATTTTGTTCTAATAAATTACCTAGATCCACTTTCAAGGTCATAGAGGTCAATTCTTCAAGCAACTTCCTCTAATGAACCACAAGGCTTGAAGTCACAGAATCATTTTACCATGCTAATATGAAGGGCTTTCAAATTTATTAAAAGTAAATTACCTTTATTACCCCACTAATGTAGTGTATTATTTGTGTCACAATGATGATAGCCCTATGTGTTCTAATAGTTGTGTAATAGTTAACCCATGTGATCTGGGGTAAGGATATTTTGTATGTATCAGGTTGGAAGTCTTATCAAATGGAAGATATCCCCTTGACCCACACTTGATTCACTTTTGTTTCAGTTTTTAGGTCGCATGGCATTCTTGCTGTATAGAAATTGTTTTCACAATAATAATATTCAACATCTGATATAGAACCCTATCTAGCAAATATAAGCCACTCTTAAGTGCTTTACAGTACATAGATATACAATAAATACAATTAGCATATACATTTAATCAATACAATTTTGAGGAATTCGCAGGAGCTGCCTAATCAGGTGCTAACTACTAGTCCTATGCCACCTGGCTAATATCTCCCTATGTGTGTATGTCTGCGTGTGTGCTGGAGATGTTATGGTAGCCCTATGTGTGTATGTCTGCGTGTGTGCTGGAGATGTTATGGTAGCCCTATGTGTGTATGTCTGCGTGTGTGCTGGAGATGTTATGGTAGCCCTATGTGTGTATGTCTGCGTGTGTGCTGGAGATGTTATGGTAGCCCTATGTGTGTATGTCTGCGTGTGTGCTGGAGATGTTATGGTAGCCCTATGTGTGTATGTCTGCGTGTGTGCTGGAGATGTTATGGTAGCCCTATGTGTGTATGTCTGCGTGTGTGCTGGAGATGTTATGGTAGCCCTATGTGTGTATGTCTGCGTGTGTGCTGGAGATGTTATGGTAGCCCTATGTGTGTATGTCTGCGTGTGTGCTGGAGATGTTATGGTAGCCCTATGTGTGTATGTCTGCGTGTGTGCTGGAGATGTTATGGTAGCCCTATGTGTGTATGTCTGCGTGTGTGCTGGAGATGTTATGGTAGCCCTATGTGTGTATGTCTGCGTGTGTGCTGGAGATGTTATGGTAGCCCTATGTGTGTATGTCTGCGTGTGTGCTGGAGATGTTATGGTAGCCCTATGTGTGTATGTCTGCGTGTGTGCTGGAGATGTTATGGTAGCCCTATGTGTGTATGTCTGCGTGTGTGCTGGAGATGTTATGGTAGCCCTATGTGTGTATGTCTGCGTGTGTGCTGGAGATGTTATGGTAGCCCTATGTGTGTATGCCAGCATGTGTGCTGGAGATGTTATGGTAGCCCTATGTGTTCTAATAGTTATGTTATATTGGTTACACAACAGAGACCGGATTATACACCTGCTGGCCTTACGCCCTTACAAGAAACCCGAGTTGCTGCTGAGGCTGAAAGCAGGTAGGTATCTTTCTACTTTCACTTCTAGTTTATGACAAACTTCAACGGGTTCAGGATTATGTCGTGTGCTGTGGCATGAAATGTTTTGAAGGTGGATAGCTATATAGGAAATCTGCTGATATAATTCAGCAGGTAGTTTGTTCCAATTGTGAAATCTCTGTGGAAGAATGATTCTGTCCACAGGGAGATGTTCTACAGGACATAGTTGAGACCCTTTCACTCCACCACTTATTTGTTTATAAAGATTGTTTTATAAAGGTGAAATGATTATGTACGGACATATGTTTGTCAGTATTGTCTTATAGAGTCTGTACTTATTTCTAAAGTAGACAGAAGACTAAGGCTGGTGTCTTTTACCTGTACTTTATTATATTTAGACCAACAATGGAAGTCTAGATATAAACCCTAAAAAAAAGGCTCTTATGAATAGTATACGTGTGTGTTATGTTTAAACATAAACTTGACTTATGGTACAACAATTATGAAACAAGTAACATAACTTATGTTAAATACTAATGTTGGCCCCGGCTGTTAGGATACAGGGGGTCTTACCTTACAATACCTTATCACATTTGATCAGAAAATCGAACCCGGCTGTCTTAGTGAAACACAAGTGTACTGTCCACTTTGTCACAGTACCAACCATTTATGTAGACAAGCAGTCCAAGTATAAACCCGAATAAGGGTCGTTATAAATATTGTATGTTGTGTTTTATCGTTATTTCTGTAGATGGAATCTTGGAAAAAGACAAAGACACCATTTCTCATGTACTACAACAAGTGGCCACATTTATCCCACGTGATAACAAATACTCGCTGGGCCGATCTGCTTTTTCCGATATACGAACAGACTGGAAGTTCTACACTGAGGCGGACAAGGAACTCGTGAAAAAGTAAGATCACCTGTCGTCAAGAAGTAATGTAGCCTGTAAAGAAATAAGTGTTTTTTGTAGGTCATCCGAAGAAGTTGATAAGGAAGTAGGTCATCTGTAGTCTAGTTCATTTTAAAGTCATTCATCTATGGTAAAACGCCAAAAAAAACCACTTTCATCTTCAGTGACAGATTTTATTTTGTTGTACGTATACTGCAACCACTTGTCCAGTGCGGTTTCGGTGTATCATGTGTGACAAATGAAACAAAGTGTCTGAAGTCATGATTTTACAGCACTGTAAAACCAGAAAATTTAACCAGTTTTATTTTCCGCCATTCCAACCTTTAACCAAAATCGAACACTAGCAAAATAGGATTTATGCTTAGTTTGCAGTACCAATATGTATACTATGTATTTGCTGAAAGGTTAAGATAAAGTTCGTGGAACATCAGGAAGGATTACACAGTATTGTGTCGTTTTTCTTACTGTTGTCACACTTTCTTAACCCTTTCACCACTGTAGACCATAATGGACACATCCATATCAATACATGGTAAAGTCTATTTTAGTTACATAGGGGTGAAACGATTAAGTTTGATTAAGCTACACATTGGTTGCTGGAAAATCCAGTCACACTGACCATTCTCTTTCATGTTTGAAATTAACAAAATTTACGAATTTAATAAATCAGCGTGAAAATATTCACATGGGACAAATATTGGCGAATATATTACAGCAAAATGCCAACGAGAACATAATCACGCCTTGAAGTGTTAAAAGAAAATTTCAGGTTGAGGTGTTTTTTTTATCTGACACTTACAATCCGGCTCCCTCGAAGTCTGTTTCAAACTGTTAGTACCAGACTTTTGTTTGTGTGTAGTGCACCCTGTGAAGTAGGTTCCTTTTGTAAGAAATAAAAGAATGGTAGTTGAATATGGTGGACAATTTCTAATATGCTCTATATTTGTCCTTCAGAAAATTGGACAACCTGTCACCAGCCTCGTCTCCTGCCTCAATTCAAAGATCCCCAGACAGTCTGAGCAACTCTCAGGTATGTGGTGTGTAAAGGGGAAGATACAGGGAGATAAATAAAATATTTAAGGGTTCATATCTTAATTAAACTGGAATGGACAAAACATACACAAATGTGTAAAATTTAATGTCGCCCTGGTAAAATACTAGCCGCTTCCTACTGACTCGGCTAGGGAGAATTCTCTTTAGCTCATTTGGTAGAACGTAAGACTAGTAAGCCAGAGGTCCCGGGTTCGACTCCTAGTGGACGCATTGAAAAATAATGACCTCAGTTACATTGGCATCCACGTAGGGACCCGGGAGATTTGACAAATATACTCGGTGATACTTTTACAAGAATCGCTATGACCCCTGGTAAACTTGGGACGAGTTGTTTCCTGCAGTGGGAAGTGTGTCACCCTGGTAAAATACTAGCCGCTTCCTACCGTCTCGGCTAGGGAGAATTTCTCTTTAGCTCATTCGGTAGAGTGTAAGACTAGTAAGCCAGAAGTCCCGGGTTCGACACCTAGCGGGGGCATTGAATGCCCTCTGTTTGCCCTCTGTTGCATTAACTATATTGTTGAAGGACCTAGTTAGCATAGCTTGAAGTGCTATGACATTTGTCCATCCATATTTTCTTCACTTTCAACTTCTGTTTGATTCTGTATTCCAGAAACGGTCCAGTGAATCTTTCCCAGATCTACTTCCATCCAAAAAACAGCGCATCTCCCACGCCACGGCCAAACCGAAGAAAGAAAACAAGCCTTTGATTGGTGAGGTCCTCAAACGTGACCAACACCTCACTGTCAACGGCCAAGACCACTCGCACAAGAAGGAAAATATTGATGGTACAGTATTTTGAGATACAAAAATTTTAAGTGCTAACTCATTAATTGGTTAGTATACTGTATATCCAAATCTCATTATTTCATGAGAAAAAAGCCAAAAGTCATTTCTGCTTGTCAACATCTCTTTAAAAGATTTTTCTTAATGAACAACTGGACAAATTGAATGTTGTGTTGAAGCCTCTTAAGCTATCATGAGATTAGGGGAAATTATGCTTGATGCTTCATTAAAGGCATAACTAGATGAGGGGCAGATAACCCTGAATTATATATAAAATTGTTATCTTGTTTACTTGAAAATGTTCGTGTTCTGTAATCCAAACAATGTTAAGTTTTTTTTATTACTTTGATCTAAAGACAGTTTGTTATTGTATAATTGCTGTTAACAAACCTCTTTTGTGAAGGAGTATTTCACTGTGGTATTCAATAAGGTAATATAACAGAATTCCATTGGTATACACTGTTCATGTGTGATATTTTATTTACAGAGCGAGTCCAAGTCGCCACATCCACCTCTGACAATCCTGATTATATGAAGTAAGATATTATCTCGGAAGAGTCATATTTCTGAAATTTGACCTGGTGATACACTATTATATGTAGATGTGCAATAGGGCTTTTGTCAATAAGGCACATTGTGGCGCCCTTGCTGACCTGTCGTTGTTCTAGTTGGCTGGTAAATTATATTTGGATTTCTTAAGCTTGCACCAACAGTTTCATCTCTCAATTATGATGATAACTACAGATGCCGACACAATTTATACTACATTTTGCCTACACATATAATTCATCTATGTTTTGCCTGTAGAAGTCATTAATTTTATTAAAATTCCTAAATTCATTGTTTTATTTGTTTGTCAGTACATACCACCCGATCTCCACTGCTGAGCAGCGTCAACGCTACAAACAGGAGTTTAATACCGAGTACGAGGAGTACAGAGGGTTACACATGAATGTAGAAAAAGTGTCGAAGAAGTTCATGGACTTCGAGGTCATGCTTAAAAAAGCAGAACCTGGATCAGATAATTATGAGGTAAGACTTTGGGACCATGTAGCATTACCAAGTCTGCAGTGTATGTTAGCGGAACTGGGGAAAAAAATGACACTCATTATACATTCCATGTGATATTCTTCTTTTCTTGCAAGATTCTGTAAATAAATATTAGAAACTAGATTAGGCTGGAGATGGGAGGGGAAAATTCTTTTAGAAATTATGCATAAATTATTCACATCCCTTCATTATACTGTACAGTGTTAAATAATTGCAACGTGAAAAAGGTTTCCGTTTTAGTATTTTCATGATAGGGTTCGGTTTAGAAATACTCAATATGTATCATCCACAAGATCACGCACCCTGAGCCTTCGATTTTGCCTTAACATATTCCAAGGGTGCAGAGAATATATGTGTATTACCTGAGGCTCAAATAATATTCTAAGCATATTTAGCCTGATGTTTGTTGTGTAACTTTTATTATATCTTTTCATATATCCATGCTTTTGCTTTTCAGAATTTGAAGAACAAGATTCGAAAGGAATACAAACTGCAAAAAAGTGATGTAAAATACATTGATCAAAAGAAGCGGTTTGACTATTTACACAAGAAACTTGGCTTCATAAAACAGCTGATCCTCGAGTACGATCGTCTGCAGACAAGTGGGGACTCCTAATGAAGGCTAAAACCTTCTAATATTGCTCAAATCTGGTCTCCGTACACTTTGGATTATGTGATCTCCATCTCTGAGATGGAAGACCTGGCTCGCCTCAGGACCTGGTAATTAGATCTGTGCAACAGCTGTCGATGTAAAGCTATGCTCGATTTCTGACTGAGAAAGAAAAAAAAATGCTTGCCTGGCAAACCGTTCTGTTAATGGTATTTTCTCACCATTAAGGAAGAGGACAAACAAGATAGAAGATTTCTCTAACTTGGTGTGGCGGGCATGTTTTCTGGATCATGTAACTGCCAAATCTTAATTTAGGTTGGCATAAAAACAAAACAAAAAGTCTTATGTGTTCATTTAACCTTGTACAGTATTTCTCAGTTTACCTCTGTCATTGAGTGCCTTGGATATCCCCGCTGGGGTGTTCAACCATGATAATTAGGAAAAAAATAACTTGGAATTTAACTTATGCTTAGTTGATATGCCATGCCCTACTTTCACAAAATAATTATCTACTCTTGTGTCAGTAATGTCGTAAAATATCAAAGTTTAATGCAATCACATAAAAATGGTGTCTCTTCGTTACTTGGTACTGGAATTAGAACTTATATTATGATGTGCCCTGATTTGGTTTTTTTGAAGATTTTTCTTAGTTAAAATGCAAAAAGGGCATGTAAATAAAACACTTAATTGTCTGCAGATGAAGATTTGTATTATTTGAAAATAATTTATTGAAAAGGTACAAAGTTTATAAAAATATTATTGATACTTGAAATTGCTTACATGTAGCAACTGTGTATATTATTTGAAAGTTTTACAAGAGAGTGAGAATGTGTCCTGTGGATTTCCATTTCATATTTATAATTAAGCTCAAAATACTTATATGCATATTAATTTATTGTTCAAAAAACTTATTTATTACAATATTAATATTTATACGGAATCCTTTAATGATGAGGTATATTGTTTCATTCTTATTAACTCATATGTCTTACTTCGACCAGTTGGCCTTATGCTTAGGTGCAACATTCGTCCTCTTAAAAGACTTCTTCTCAAGAACAGTTTAACAGATTTGAAGGTGGTATGGAGCATCCCTGGGTCGATAGGCAAGGCCTAATGGGGGAAGAGCGTAGATGTTTTAGTGTATTGCTTGTTAGTAGTCTAAGTTACAAAGTTCAGATTTTTATTAAATATAGAACATGGCATAACTGGTATGGGGAATCATTGTCAGAAAATGTAATTTTGTCAGATTTGAATCATATTTAATGTGTATTTGTCCCTATAAATTCTTTCTGTTATCTAACGCACACAAAAATGCATAACTCGTTCACCCCTGAAATTTCATAATGAACTATTCCAACCTTTGAATTGGACGAGTTCAAATATGTCTTCAGGGGTGAATGAGTTAATTTTTCACACAAGAACTAGTTAGTGTAGATTTGTCAATGTCGAATACAGTGTAAATTTGGCAATGTGGAACACTTTTATCACGAGGTGTATACATAGAAAACATCAACAGATTATTAAACATATCATAGTATGTAGTGTAAACATCCAGAAGGGGAGCTATGGAGACAGGTTGTGAGGATACTGATAGAATTAGTATAGAGGCATTACCAACTATATTTTTGTTAAATATAATGCCTTAATGTTGAATTCACCATGTAAACTTATCAACAATGTATACGTATTATATCAAAGATATCAACCAAGGAAATTTTTAAAAATATCAGGAATGTATGCTTGTGAAAATCATACACCATGTAAACTTGTGAAAGTCATACACCATGTAAACTTGTGTAAGTCATACACCATGTAAACTTGTGTAAGTCATACACCATGTAAACTTGTGAAAGTCAAACACCATGAAAACTTGTGAAAGTCATACACCATGAAAACTTGTGAAAGTCATACACCATGAAAACTTGTGTAAGTCATACACCATGTAAACTTGTGAAAGTCATAAACCATGTAAACTTGTAAACTGTCAAATACTACCAAAAACATCAACCATACAAGATTTTCCTGATCAGAGAGGCCAGTGCTACATGTACACACAGTGCTAATAGTGAATGTGTTCTGACTGAAAGTGTTGGATGGAAACTAATATAAGATGGATGTGGGGTGAGAGAAGTCTTACACACAGTTGCTACATGTGCAATTTAACTTTTTCTTGATCAAACAGGATGTTATATTTTTCAAGGTTTCATTAAGTTGACCTTTGTCTGCCAAAGGTAATTATAAAAAATGTTATTAATTGTTAAATTATTGTACTACACAAATATATGCTGATGTAGATGGCTGATCAGGAGGTATCATTGAATAGTTATTCCAAATTGTGAAACATTTGTGTTTTAATCAAGGGAGATAACTATTGACACCAATCCCTGGTACAACGTGTAAGATACCTTACAGCCTTAAGTGAAGACTATTCTGCCGGTGCTGTCTAGTTGTAATGGTAGGATCAACAATATTGATAACATTTTGTAATGTACTTAAGGACACATGCTACCTTTATATTCATCTTAACTCTTTCACCACTATAAACCATAATGGACTCATTCATATTGATGCATGGTAGAGTCTACTAAAGTTACATAGTGGTGAAAGGGTTAAAGAGTTCCATATGAAAGATTTATAAATGGAACTTTAGACTTGGTTGATATACTGAGATTGAAAACATGCAGCAGAGTCTGAGTGTAAATCTCAATAATACTCTACATATACAGCTTCTGATTTAGGCCTAACAAAATAATTTTCATGTTTCCACATTTGGCTTTTAAAAAAAATGTATGTAGGTAAACAAAACTTCTTATTTTAATAATATTTACAAAGGTAACATTGAGACAGCATTCCAAATTTTAACAGTGCTCATTGAAATTAGTAAAAATAATCTAGAGCAGGTTGTGAAATCTGGTGCAAATAGGGAAAGTGGAAGCAACTCTTCCTCTCTATTATTGCCTTATTAACTCATGATCATTCACCCATGTAGACACATTTGAACTCCTCCAATTCAAAGGCTGGAATAGCTCATTATGAAATTTCAGGGGTGAATGAGTTAAACAGTGTTTATTTACGAGAAAGAAAAGTACTCAAGTATGTAAGGTAGCATATATCCTTAATAAGGTCGTGTTCGTCAATTTGCAGACAAAATTTAAGTCTTAATTGTTTCATTACAGCTGTCGTTATAGATTACGGTCAGCCAGTTACAAAACTTGTTTATTTAAATATGTTGCTCTATCATTGTTTATTCTTTGTACACAACAGCTGTTGCACAGTTTCCTACAAATTGTTCAATTTCATATAATGAAATGTTTATGTATAATTAATTGCATAGCATTGTAATAGCCCTTCCACTTTAATTGAAAACTTTTTTTGTTTTAATTCGATGAAATGTCTCCTGGACAAATATGCTGGTATGTTGATCTGCGTGTGTGAATGTGTATGTACATGAATGGGGTGTGTTTATTGTAAAATCTTACAATTCGCATCATAATATCCTAAGTTGTATCTTATAATTACACATGATTATAACATATTTTCTTACAATGAAATTAAGTCTCTTCTACTTGGTTGAAGGTTGAGTCTATTTATAGAAATGTTTGTCGTGTCCGTGATGTAACTGTGATGTCGGTGATAATGTGTCCGGAGAGTCTGCCACGGATTTGGTATTCCATTAGCAGTGTTCAGAATAAAAATCAGAATTTAGTTTCCCCCAAATAACAGTCAACATAATTATGTGAACCATGTTTTATAGAAAATATGTACATGCATGTGTAATGTGTAAAACTAAAGTAATACAGTTAGCCTGTCAACTAACCTGAACTATCTTTCGTTTACAAAAACAATAATTTCAAGCCATACAGAACTTTTACGCATGGAAATTGATATACCTGGTAAATGTTTGCTAGGACAGACACTATAGAAGGGAGATAACTGAGTAGCTTACATATAATTCCAGGATGTGCTCACAAATCAAGATTTGCATGGAACCCCACATTAGTTCCTGCATTATTAGATAAACCTATCTGCTCACTGAGAAATAATTATGAGATAAACCTATCTGCTCACTGAGAAATAATTCTTAGATAAACCTATCTGCTCACTGAGAAATATATGTAACAGAGTCATTATTTTTCAAAACCTCCGCTAGGAGTCGAACCCGGGACCTCTGGTTTACTAGTCTTACGCTCGACCGAATGAGCTAAAGAGAAATTCTCCCAAGCCAATCGGTAGGAAGCATCTAGTATTTTACCAGGTTGACATATATTATTAAAGGGAGACAACTTGAACAGGCTTATATGAAATTCCATGGTCTGCTCTGTTCACAAATCAAACCTTAAATAGGAGACAAGACATTGAGTGCATTGTCATTTGGCCTTTTTTAATTTACTCCGGACCCTGTACATCAACCAGGAAGTGTCTTAGGCTACATTAGGGTATTATATTTATAATGCTTTGCGATTGTGGTGGATTTCATATAAGCAGCTAACTCATCCACCCCTCAAATTTCATAATGAACTATTCCAATCTTTGAATTGAAAGAGTTCAAATGTGTCTTCAGGGGTGAATGTGTTAATCTGGGAATTTTATCACAGTTGCTATAGTTTGCTAGACTATCGATAGTGTCAGTATATTTTGTTCATAAAAGTGACACTCTGCTTCTAAATTAGTATATCTGCTACACAGAATTGACACAAAATTTGGTTATCCAATGACCTGCCCAGAGCCCCAGTTTATTACAAAGGAAAACACAAGTACCACTTTGTCATGTTTTACAAAAAAACTTTCTTTCATACAAAACATATCCGACATATTCAAAGTGAAAATAAATACAAGATTAATCTTAAACTTTGATTTTTCAAGTGATAATAATTTTTCGCTATTTTCAAGGTGTATGTTTTTTCACATTTTTTTTTAGGTCAAATGAAAAGATATTTCATTTCTGAAAATATGTGAAAAAGCTCATTATTCTACAAAAAGAAAAACACTTATCCTGCAAATTAATTGTAAATTCATGGAATATTATTAAACCAATGATGAAATACTGTTCCCAAGTACCTGTTCACAGTACATGTTTTATGTAAATGATAAAGGAAAAATAAGGCTATTAATACAATGTATATGTAAATCATGTTTATTTCAGAACATGATTGCTGTCAATTATGTCTTTCATAGGGTACGTACATTTCCATCAATTTGCGAGGAGATTTAACCATGTAGACAGTCAATGTTGTATACAAAACAATATGTATTACAAAGAGCAGGGCATGTTATAAAAATGTCATCTTGTGTTAATGTGATATTTAACTTCTTCCACAAAGGTTCAAGTGTTTGATAATGTTTAAATATTTACGTAAGTAGTCTAAAATTTGTGCCATGTTCTTCAAAACCTGATAACCTTAATAAATTTTCATAACACCATTTATGAAAAATATCTCGCATTTCGCAATTTTTTTTATTTTTTTGTCATTGGACAATAATCTTGAATCTCTAAAGAATATAATTATTTTTAAATCTTTACATCTAATGAGAGATTTGCATTAGTTTTTAGTGAACTAGTTCAGAGTCGAACAACAGGGTCTGGAACTTACACCAAGCTACAATTTAATCTGCGAGATTTTCATAATTGTTGATGTGAAACTTCAACAGGTTTGTTCTTGAATTAAGAATTATCAGTATTAGATATTTGACACCATATAAATGTGTTGCTATATTTATGTTTGAACAGAAAAAAATCAGTAAAAAAAATCATTGAATTAAGTGTCATGGACGTTATGAATCGTGATACAACCTTTCATTTCTACAGTGTGTGTATATTCACCAAACTTGTCGAGGGGAAAAATTGACAGTGTTGTAATAGCCGCATAATTTTATTTTTGTTATGATCTAGTCTTGTCTGGCAGACAACTGATGCTAGTTTCTGCTTGTTTCATTTGTCTTTGTGGGAAAACTCATCGAGAGTAATAAAACTAATTATGACTTCTGTATTCTGTCAAATACTTAGTAATCGCCAAAAATGTGGAATATACAATGGGTGTCTTGTGGAATATACAATGGGTGTCTTGTGGAGAGTCACTGTTCTGTAAGTTTGCCTGTTTTTGCGTTATTGCTAGCCAAACCATGGTATAGTGATGTTATTGTGTTCATTCAGCAACTCTTATTGTAAAAATGAAATACTTAAGGCTGTATGCTACCTAACTATGACAATTGCATTGTATCTCCACACGAAAGAGTTTGACAAATCTAAAATGTCCAAGGAATGGTAGTTACTGTTTGTATTTTTAGCAGATGAATGCACAAGAATGCACTGATTTTATTGATATAGTTAATCTCCTTTGTAAGGTAGCATACAACCTTAACATGTAAGGTGGCATACAGCCTTAATGTGTAAGGTAGCATACAGCCTTAATATGTAAGGCGACATACAACCTTACTATGTAAAGCAGCTTACAGCCTTAATGTGTAAGGTGACATACAACCTTAATATGTAGTGCCAGCACTGTAAAACCCTTGCTTCTCTAACCTGCTGTGTACTTTTAATAGATTTTCTTTTAAGGGGAACGTCTAAACAGCTTTGAAAAAATATGTGCATTTTTCCCCCCGCATGATGCATTAGGAAATTGAAGGGGGGAAATCCACAGTTTTAATGAAAGTTTTTATTGACGTGCTAACATGACAGTATTTGTCCAATCGCATGGAATCATGACAATGTTTGTCCAATCAAATGCCCAATATGTCGACTGACAGGAGGTCAAAGTTCAATCTGTGTTGGTAGTCTGTGTCTATGGTGGTGTTGTTTGAGTACATATAATGTACACTATTCTACTTGGTGTCACATCACATCTATTTTAGGCTAGATGATCTGTGGTCTGGACAGCAGAGTTCAGATATTGCATCTTTTTTGGAACACTCAAAAAAGTATTTTTATGCTGACAAACAAACTTCAATTTTACATTTGGGTATGTTTGGATTTATTTAAATAGTTTTAGAACTGACACTTATATTTCCTTTTCTTTTCTCTCTAATATTTGCAATTTTCTCCAAGTTGTAATAAAAATGGTGTTGGGTTACCTCCCTTGCCATGTTAAATCTGGGTATGAACAAGGCTTTTTTCCCAATATCTTAAAATAAATTGTGTGTTTCTGTATATATTTTTATCTTCTATGTTATTGTTTTTATTTTTGAAGAAGAAAGATTTATTTTTTTTGAATTTTTTTTAGTGAGTAATCCAAAAATGAATGCATTATCACAATTTTACTGTTCAGACTACTTAATGCCTAATGGTGCTCTGTTCAGGACCAGCTAATATGTAAAAAGGTGAAAGGTCATTTTTATGCATGTTTCAGATCCATTCCTTAGAGGTTATTAGTAGAATAGTCATTATTACTGAAAACAAGCATTCCAATGACAAAAAGTAATGGATTCTGACCAAGAGGTGTGTTGAGGAGAAACGTGAGCATGCAGCAGCGTACATTCATGATTATTTTAGGGAAAATGTGGACATTCAGAAGGATGGATAAATGTATGAAGACATGTTGGTAACAACTAGTATCAAAATGTTGGACTTAGTGTGCGTCCTGTATATAACACAGCGGAGGCAAGTCAGGTGTTTTGAGGTGAATGAGGTAAATGTGATGCGAGTTGGTGTGATGATTATACATAGTTTTGGTATATTCATGTGAAATTGTGTATTTTAAATTTACCATACAGTGTGCCAAGACAGGTTTTGTAAACTTGTGTTTGATTGGTCGCTGTTTGGATCACATGGTCTACCCACTTCCTGATGCCTTACGGATGCTACTGTATACCAGCAAATATTTGTTGTAATTTTTTCACCCTTCAATATTTGGCAAATTTCAAAAATCATGACATCAAATATGAGTAAACCATAAACTATACGTAACATTATTTTGAATTGTCAAAGTTCAAGCTTGGGGAATATGAACTTTACCAGTGGAGGGCTAGGCTGTAAATTTGACTACAATGAAAATTTGCCGGTATACAGTACGAGACTTGTACAGTGTCATGTAGCTTCCATGCAGTAATTACTATATATATATATACATGAATATATAAATTCAATAAATCAGCGTTGCAAAGCAGTAATGGACTTTCTTGTTTTGTCTGTATAATTGGAGTCTGTATAAACTTTGTAAGCATAAAAAAAATTGGCAATATAAACATGCATATTGCATTTTTTTTTATTATAGGAAAAAAGATCTTGTCTCTTGGCAAGAAATAATCTGATAAAGATAAGTCACTTTAATAATATCTTGTGGCCATAAGGATCAAGGGTACCCAGGGGTTGTTATAAACAAGTTTTACTGTAACAGGAAAAGAAAAATTCAGGGAGACTGGGCATTGAACCTCGGACCTCCAAGCTCCTCCAGACACTTGCATTTAGAGCTTCCTGACCAGGAGATTATGAAACAACCCAGACTTCAGTAAATATTTTATGGTGGTACCTTATTAGTCCCCACTGGTTCCAGGGGGGCTATAGGTTTGCACTTCGTCCTTCCGTCAGGAGAAGTTTGTCCGGGACATATCTTTACTATTTCACCTGAAGTAACCAGATTTGGTGTACAAGGACATCTTGGGATGGCAGAGTGCAACAATAAGGTCACTGTGACCTATGACTTGACCTTCACTTTTGAAAAAGATTGTCTTGGCATATATTCTGCAATGTTTCACCTGGAGTAACCATTTTTGGTGTACAACGACATCTTGGGATGGCAGAGTGCAAGAATTAGGTCACTGTGACCTTTGACCTTCTCTTGTGAAAATGGTTGTTCGAGGCATATCTTTACACAATGTATACTTTTTCACCTGGAGTAACCTGTTTTGGTGCAAAGGACATCTTGGGATGGTGGAATGCAATAAGTAGGTAACTATATGACCTCACTGTGACCTATGCTTCCTGACATAAGTGTACTGTTTGCTAAATATAGAAATCATTACCGGTGGGGGACTATGGATTGCCTTGTTTTTAGGTCACCTGCTTTCATAAGACTTATTTTGAAGATCCAAAAGGCAGTCATGATATTTGACAAGCTGGTTCCAAAGATGGATCCCAACAAAGCTTACCAAGAAAAAACTTTATACAGAACCAAAAGACCTCGAGTCACCTAGTAGCTTAATAGAATTGAGCCCGTTGATGTTTGCAAAACAAATGGCCATAACATACTTTTAGGGGCAATATGTTGAAATGTTTAAACCACTTATTAATAACAAAGAGACCAAAGGGTGATAATTGGGCAGTACCATTCTGTAATGAAGGGCTATCAAAATGTTGAAATAAATGACCTTGATCTACCCTCCAGGTCTCGTGGGTGAAATCATTTAAAACCTTTTAGCAACTTCTGAATAATCACGAGACCTGTATTGATATTTGACAATAATCATTCTTTCATGAAGGGCAATCAAATTTGTTTAAATAAATGACCTTGATCTGCTTTTAAGGTCACTGGGGTTAAATGAGTTCAAATTTAAACAATAGGCTTAGGGTCATATTTGGTCTGCAACATGGTTGATTAGAAATACGTATTAGGGCAAGTCTTTTCTCCAGTGAATGACTTCGACACATTTTTCGAGGTCACAGAGGTCAAATAAGTTGAAATGTTTAAAAGGCTATATATTATACAATTTATTGGAGAATGACGGACCCCATGGTACAGCGCGCCACGAGTCTTTTAACCAGTTGAGCTATATTGTTAGAACAGCAAGTCTGGTGTTATGCATTTCATATTGAGGACAACAGCTATATTTGTGAACAAAGAGAAAACACCTGTTTAACATATCATGTTTTTTTTACTTTCATAGAATATTTTTATAAGGCAAGCATAACATACCAAGATCACAGATTTTTGTGTTACAACAAATATCATTTCACTCAAAGCCCTGAGCAAGCATACGCTCTGGTGCAATAATACAATTCATATATATATATATTTAACAATTATAATTAGACACAGCAGAGATTCTTGAAATTGAAATGAGAAGTTTTAACAATAGAATATTTCTAGAACTTTAAAAGCAGAGCTAATAATCAAATAAGGGATTAATTAAAAGAGTAACATACTTAAAATGTAATGCTATAAAAGAGGTGGTCTCTCTGCTCCCAACCATTAATATACATTGATAATTTGTAGCCAGGTTTGTGCAGCTGGTGCTAGCTGATAAGAGCCAGATTACTACAGAAAAGAGGAGAACTAACCCCCAGAACACTAGACTGCATGAATATCGAGGTAACAGGACGACCGGACTGGGTAGCTTGATCAGTGGGATAGAATATTTCACCCTGACACACAACGACAACATCGGATGTGTTTTTGATCTTACAACATACATACTTTGATTCCAAGTATGATTTAAGATGGGAGAAACCAGATATCCAATCTGTAATGATTAAGATTATTCTCCGACAAAAGTCTAAAAACTGAAGCTTGAAGATTATATGTAAAAATTGACTCCAGTGGATGCAAAATGTACTCATTACAAACAGGAGAGCCCCTCTTTTTGTACAGTTTAACAGTTACAGCCAGCCAAATTAATATACAAATGTAATACAATTTACAATTGAAGCACAGGCTTGAATTGATAGCCTTAAATCTTCAAAAAATTATAAACAAGTCTTGTTCTTGAGCAAGGCTAGGAGATGATTGTAAATGGTATACCGATTGAAATACAACCTGCTTGAACTGACCCCCTCTCAAAACCGTGTTTGTTTTTGTTTTTTCTACTAAATAACAAGGCTAAGTTATTGTAAGGCAATCATTAGTCCCCCACTGGTAACAATTTCTATATTTACTTATCTGTACACCTATCTCAGGATATAGGTCACTGTGACACTTCTTGTACTTCACACTCCACCAGTCAAGACATACTTTCATTCCAAATCTGTTACTCCACACGAAATAGTGTAGAAGATGCACCCAAGACAAACTTCTTTAAAGGCTGAGGTCAAAGGTCAACCCATAAGTCACAGTGACCTACTTTTTTTGTACTTGACATTCACGATGTACTTAGCAAGGCTGCAGTGTACCTATACCTTGCACGATATTGAGAATTTCCTTTTGTTAATTAAGGGGTTAACAGGGATGGGGAATCAATTCAAGCACCTGCTAATTTGTGTATCAGTCTCTGTTGAACTTCTGAAAACACAACAAGCATAAGTTGCAATGTAATTTGCCACCACTTATTAATTTGTTCGGAATCGTATCGGAACAAGCTAAAGATTTTGACCCTAGTTGCAGGTAATTAATGTCTAGCTGTATCATTTACATTTCATAGAAACAATTGAGTATATATAAGCACAAAACAATCAAACAAGAAAACTATACTTTTAAATGTTATGGCAACAATATAACAACACTCTTTGAATCGTACAATAACCCCTCCTATTCAATCACTGGCAGTATAATTCCTATCCTCAATACTCCAGGGGTTACCCTCAACTTGCGATCACTTTACCCCTGGAATATGTCGTGACAAAATGGAGGCTCGGTGTGCGCCACCTTGTGGATGAGATGACTAGTTTGATCCTCTGATGTACATCAAAAGAATCTCTCTCAGCATAAAGGTAAAATTGACTGGCTTTGCAGTCAGGTGTTACTCCTATAATCTTCAAAGGACAGGTATCAGACTAGCAATTGGTCAGGTGTTTTTTTACTGAAGACCAATCGAAAAGCTAGCCACATGTCTTCAGTTTTGCTGCGACATATTCCATGGGTGCAGAGAGCGTAACTGATCGTAACCCCTGGAGAATCAGGATGTTTAACTCTTTAACAAGAAATATGCCCAATGGGCCAAACATTTTTCACCTGATTTAAATAATATTTTATTTAAACGTAAAACACATATCAAGTTCGATGGAACACATTTATTCGAATATGAATGTTTACAAAATGTTTTGGATGATGAAATAGGGATTTCTAAAAGTTTGCATAATGGTATACTAAACAGTGGACCTCATTTAAACAAATCTAATTGTCACACTCGACTGGGAGTTTTCATGTCTCTACGTACTTGTACTTTTAAACTTATATAATTATTTACTCATTAAATATCATTTGATCCACATCTAACCTGCTTTTCTCTAGTACTCTGTTGTTCCCATGAGCTTGTAAGCTGAGCATGCTCATTAGAACAACTATGTTAATTAGATCTACACCTTTGAATTTATTCAATCAAAAAAGTTAATTTTGTGAAAAGTTGATGCAGACAATTGGATTGCCATTAGCATTGAGAAAAACATTGACAATGACCTGTAAAAGTTGTTCTGGTCAATTCAAAATAATACAATATTACACACATATACCATAACTATCCAGCAAAAGCCCATGGCTGGTAATAATGCCAACTATGGGATTGCATTGTCCTGTAATAAGCCCACCTAACTACTTTGAGTGGGAGACGAGTGTTGGCACCATGGGCTTACTGCAGGATAAATACAGTAATTTCTACTGGAACAAAAGTACAATCATCTGGTAGAAAAACAATGGTGAAACATTTACCAGGTAATATTCTGTTTAAGGTATTAACAATACCATCAAGTTAACCCTTTCACCACTATAGGTAATTAAGACAGATTTAATTGATCAAGCTGGTGAGAATTAGTTCACAGCATAAATACCATAGTGTCTTCACTATGAGGGACAAAATTAACCACGGGGAACATGATATAACTGGTGTACATGGCATCACTGCATTGACAGAACCACTCCTATATAGCTAGTACACAATAATAAGTGAACATAGAATCTACACTGTTTAATTTCTCAGACTAACAAATACCATTTGACCTATATTTATTGCATATTATAATACAAGAGTTATTGAAATTTCTCCACAATATTTTTGTAATTTAGTTTTTTTGCATATTACCGGTATATATATTTATAGAAACATGTATCTCCCCTTAAAATTTAAACAGGCCTTCGTTCAATTAATTGCATAACACATGAAGTCGAGCAATATTATTACATATTTTTATATCTTCATAAATTGTAACCATTTGTTCATTTCAATGCATATTAAACAAGTACAACTTCCTTATTATTTCGATTGAATTATGACACTTATTGACATAGATTATAAATGTAAAGCATGTATACATATAATGAACCAATGTTAGCTAGTTTTAAGGAATGTTCATGTCATAGAAACCATATTATATTTGAAATAAAGAAACTGTATCATTAATTTAGAGACCACACAAGTTTTACTCAAGAATTATATCAAATCAAATAACATGTAATAGTTGAACTAAATAAACCTTAATAAATTGCATGAAAATCGAACAAAACTGTATTACAGCTGAACTAAAAAAAAAAAAACTCAAGAAACCTTCTTTAGTTGAACAGAAACCATATTTAGATTAAACTATAGGAATTAATTCCCAATCCATTTAATAGTTGAACTTAAGAAACCGTATCATAATTGAACAAGAGACCATATATTATAGTCAGACTAAAAAAAACATATTTTAAACATAGATATAGTTTACAGAAACCAAGGGATAAAAGGACAGAAGCTGTATTATTTTTGAACTAAATTATATTATATTACTTTTGTTAGCTGTAGCCCTTCTCATAAGCTTGGTCAGATGCAGGCGATATTATCAATATAGGAATGTAATATCTTCAATGATACATTTTCAGTCCCAGTTGAGAAAGTTTTATATGTGATAATATAACACCAGATTGTACAGCTGTTCTGATTGACTGTTGGTCCACATTCACCTCAGTCATTCCACCAATATCGTAAACAGTGATGCCGGTACGCAGACATCTTAAGGTCTGTAGTATGACTTCCCACTACCGTAGCCATACACAGAGCTAGTGGAATAGGAACTCGGGTTGTACCTGTTGTAGGATGTCGATCCTCCGTACGTAGCGCTCCCGTACTTTGCATACGATGAACTGTAGGTGCTGGTCGATGAACTAGCAGGTTTCGTAGTCTCAATCTGAGTACAGCTATCAACTTCACCGTAATTCTTTATTCGGGTTGACAGATATTTCTCGTCTCTATCATTGAATGAAAACTGAGTCTGAATACATGAATCAACATCCTCTATACCTATGGCTGGCATTTCTTTAACAGTTTTTGTCTCCTCTTGAGCCTTATACAGTTTGTCAACATTTTTCTCTGCTTTTGCAGACTGCAGTTCCTCACACTTTTCGTCAATAACTTTGCACCTGTCCTCAATTTCGACAATTTTTTCTTTCAACTTTTCTTTTTCAGTATTTACACTTAGTGCAGCCATTCCAAGTAGTTCTTTCTCTCTCTCCTCTAAAAGTTCTCTAAGTCGATTGAAAGACTCTCGTATATTTTCTGTCAACCCCTCCTCCGCCCGAGTCATTGTATCTATTGCCTTTTCCACAGTAACACGTTTCTCCTTCAATTCAGTGTTTTGTGACTGTAGCTCAGCCATGGCGTTGTCTAAGACCTGGACGTACTTATTTACCGCTGTATCAATATCTAAAACGATGTGACCATCACTCTCTTTATGATCGAGTATAGTACAATCCCGACACACTAAATAGCAGCAATGTTCACAGAAGAAGTTCAGGTGCTGATGCTGATGTTTTGTACAGTATTGTATAATTTGAACGTCAGTGTTCCTTACAAAGTCAATAAGCTGTATCACACGATGGTCGGTCGGAAGCTGGCGTAGCCCTTCTTCCTGCGAGATAAAGTGTTTCCGGCACGTTGGGCAGACAATACTGACGGCTACTGGAACAAACCCGTGTGTCTGTCCCTTATGATAGTCCACTTCCCCCTGATAAAGTTTCAAGGTACACTGTAGGCACAAGGAATGGTGGCAAGGCAAAATCTTCGGAGGTCGATCAGAAAGGTCATATAGTTCCCGACAGATCAGACACCTGAGAAATGTCTCCAGGAAACGCTCCTCCTCCAGGAAAATATTTCTCTTCTCTACACTACTGGTGGATCCCCCGAATGACTTCAGCAAATGAAACTGTTTTTCTAATTCTGAAATATAAAATATGCATGTAATTAGCAGTTTATAATTTCCAAAATTGGGAGTAACTCTCTAAAAAGGCTTGCAATGTCTCCATGATTCACTCATTATCATATCAAACTGAAGGAATGAAATTGCAGAGAACCCCAAAATGAAATAGGTATTTCATTTATTCACATATACCTATATCAATCTTACTTAATATCTAGACATGTATATTTATAGTTAAACCTTATGTGCTATACTACGAGTCTAAGTTGACCTTTATAAATACATTTTTTGTAATATACCAGCACAAATTTAAAATACCTTCAGCACTCCTGTGTAATGGCGACAGAACTTTGGTCGATTCCCCATCAGAATCTTCAACGGATGCCATAAGATGTCTTGTTCCTAGCCTGTTCTCTACAAAACCAGATAACACAAGTCAGGAGAAAGGTTGAAGTAAATAGTTTTTAGCACTAATAAGTGAAGTCTAACATTGCATTAAATTGGTACTGATCAGACCATTTGTATGCATGATGAGAATTTCAATACCTTAACCTGGCAATAACTGCATGAAAAATGAAAAATAATACATTAATGGGCCTGTGGTGGCGAGAGAAAAAAAAGATATACATGCATATCGTTTTAAACGAAACTTTCCCACAAAGTTTTTTTTCTTCTTCATTTCTCAAGCTTATCTAAGTATGTTTTATTTTATACAAATGATTCCGGAGGGGATCTTCAAATTTCTATAACTTGCAAACGGGAATAACTTGCATAGGGAATATCTCAATTAGCAATAAAATGGGTTATAGCCCTCCCATTTGAAAATATCATTCCATTACTTTTCTATATATAGTAATGAGATGGAAGAGAATTTACCTAGCCTGCTGCTTATACTGTTATTGGATATATATATATAATCAAACTTTGACCCCGAGTTGGCTGCTTCTACGTGTACACTACACCATGAATAACAGTGGCATGTGTCTGAAAATTACTTGAAGTGAAAGCAAGTGGCAAACTGAATTCCAGGTGGTTGGGACAAAGTTTTCACTTCCAAAATATATGGTCTGTCACTGATATCAAAATATCAAACATAAATCTAGTTGAAATCTGTCAAACAATTCTATAGGAGTAGTCATGTCAATTGTAAAACAATCAATTTGCCAAGCTCTGTTTAGTCTTAAACCTCTGCCCTCTGGAAGGTCATAGCCTTCTTTTAAACAAAATGTTTCCTTATTCCAGTGATTATGAATACTAAATATATTTTACATCTAGAAAACTTCTTTGAAACATACTAAATATATTTTACATCTAGAAAACTTCTTTGAAACATGAATTTTAAACTCACTTTCAACCCAGGCCAGCTGTCAAAGTTGACCTTTGATCTAAACACTGGTCTTTATGACATCACACTGTCTACACTTAAGGAAGTATTCAGAAAATGTTTGCATACGTATACGACCCCTGTGACCTTGCATATTGAATCAATGTCAAGGTGATTTGTTTGAACAACTTTGAAAGCCTTCCACCATAACCAAATACTGAACAAATATCATTATCATTAACCTTATAACTCTTTAAAAGTAAGTTGAATCAAAGTTAAAAGATTTTACCCCTTTGACCTTCAAAAAAGTCAAGGTCATTTACTGAAACAAATTTGCAATTGATAGCCCTCTGTCCCAGCTATTTTCTGGTAAAATATCATGACCCTAGGTCTTCTTTAGCTTTAGAAGAAATCCATTTTTGACCCCATGTGACCTTGAAAGAGGGTCAAGGTAATTAATTTCAATAATAGTGTCAACTGTGTAATAACAAAAACTACCTCAAAGTTTCTTTTTACAATTTAATATTGTTGAATGTTTGTACAGGGCATAAACATAACTGTCAGTAAATGTATTGATGTTCTTTAATATGGTGCACAAACACATCCATGGAAAGTATTTTAACGTTTTTAACCGACATTTAAGGGTGGCCATAAACCAATTGAAGTATTTAACGTTATGCTACCAAATTAGCTTTATGTATATTAACACAGCATACATCTATAATAGCCTGAGTTTCCTCTGGCCCTGACACCAGACTTTAGACATTTTGACAGACACCTTAGATGTCTGGTGTGGGCTAATTCTAGACCGTTCCTTGAAACCCAAGACTCGATGCTCGTTTTGGGAATTCAAAAAATATACCGTTAAGGTCTACCGAAACACCAAAGAGCAACAACAATTCGGCGGTGGGACATGTATTATTTCACTTGTATGTACATGTGTATGTATATATATGCTGTGTATGCAAAACTTGTCCTGTTGGTCGAGAGCCTCTCATTACCCAGAGGCCATAGAGCGAGATCATTGGTGGGCTATATTATGTTGACAATCACAATAAACCACCTTTTTCATACTTCGTAACATTTCTAAATGTCTGAATGTGACGCATTGGACCATATCACCAGGAGTTGATTATACGTCAGCATCGAAATTAGTTTATAACTCCTTAATGGCAAATATGTCCATGTACACCACTGTGTTTTAAAGCTACCGATGAGTATGGTTAGGTGAAAGTGAAAATTTAAGAGAAATCCCAAAAGGTGTTATTTTATACATATACACACACGGTATTGGGCCGTCTCTGGCCAACGACATTGCTTAGTATAAAGTCTACGCCGCCGCTGTGATTAATGTTCCGCCATTTGTCCAGTTGGTAACAAATGGTCACTTCAAAAGGTGATGTTACCTACCTGTGTAGCCAGGGGATAGGGTAGCGCTCACTATCCACGCAGGGCGGCAACCTTAGCACCGCAGTGATATAGTGGACCTGCCATGGAAAATGTCGTCTGCCCGTTGTTCATAATACGCTGCGCGCGACTATCGCCCATGACCCTGTTTCATCTCAACTGCGCATGGCCAAACTAGTATTTTAAAACTAGACGCTACGGTTGATCAACTTCAACACTCATTTAAAGCACAAGAAAAAAAGCTTTCGTCTGCTAAACAAAAGACGTGATTTTGTGTTGTTATTTGTCGAGAGGTTTAACAGCATTGTATGTACATGTGTATGGAAAATCACCCCGTGGCGACTTTCCGCACTATCGATAAATATACTAACAGATTTAGTTGCTTAGCTCAGCTTTAATTATACGCCAATCACCACTTCTCCTTTCAATAAAGATAGTGTCATCCTGTGAGTTAATATACTGTAATGTGTATAACATGAAGTTCAATCTCTTTATTAGGGATGTAATCGGCGAATGGGTATAGAAGTTAAATATCTTTATAAATGCGTAATGACAAGGGTGTTTAGTGCATGGTATAGTATGCGTGTGTGTCTATTAATAGTATATTTTTTTACTAAACGTTTTAGTTCTTTTATTATGTGTTTAAAGAATCAAACGAAGTAATAAAGGTAGAACGGGGTAAGTTCAGTCACGGAGATAGTTGATCTAGTGGTGATAACGACGTATTATAAGTTTTTGGCGCCAATTTCCGACCTTTTGGGGCCGTGTTTGAACTTTCGGCAACCAAACGTCAGACACAAATTTCACATCAATGACTTTCATATATCGTTTGTTTTTCATCTACAAGTTTTTTACATTACTTGTCTGCTGTTTCTTACAACCATGATTTTTTTTGCGCGCGCGAGGGCAATCCTTCTATCAACTATTCCCGCCAAAATATATTGCGTTCAGTAGCGTTCCCCCGTTTTGGTCCTTTGGTATTGGAGGTACCAATATTGATGTGGTCATTGCAATTTTTTGGATCTCTATTTTTCAATATATTTCTAAACTTGTTAACTTGGATACTCTGCAGAGTGCAGCGCAAGTGAGCGTAACGTCTAGAGTATCGAGGATGTATGCGTTTTGACCCAATAACGACATTTTGTTGCTGTGTGACGCTGTACGTATTAGGTGGCGGATCTGGAAAGCCTCTAGATGAGGATCTCATTTTTTGGCCCCCTTTACTGGACCACCGAGGACCATGCCGATCAATATACACACTGTGTACTCTAGTAAATGGGTGTGTGCACCGATGTAACCTAAATACACTTAGATGTGCATGTGTGTTATACCTATGTATACTGGACGTACGTAGACCCACTATTTATACCTAATTAGTTATGCATGAAGTCTTTTCATGCTTCTGTTGATTTCCAATTTCGTGGTTTGTGTTGACGCTGTGGTGTGTTTTGTCTCTGCGTGTTGAATTAAAGCCGTAGTACTACATTTGTTCATTGTGTGTTAGCCGTGATAATTATGATATATTTTAGCCTTTTGTGTCGACACCTTGGCGCATTTTGTCGCTGTGTGTTGACATTATGTTGAATTTTGTCGTTGTACGATGACATTATTATAAATTCTGTCGTGTTGACAGTATAGTATATTTTTGCCTTTTTGTATATTTTGCCCTTTCGTGTTGACGGTATCGTATATTTAGTTTTTCACTGATGAGTGAAACATTATGCATTGTCATTGGTCGGTACATGTGTGTGCTGTATTGTCTCTAGCCTATTTAAACCGCGCTTAGTTGCGGCCTTGATTAGGATCATACATAATAAATCATCATAACGTCGCTTTCTGATCTACCCAACTGTCTGAAAGACAGCATTATCATCAGCGCAACATCCACCGGGTTAGAAATTAGGAATATGACAATAATATTGCCGAATTCTGTCTAATTGCCAGTTTAAACATTATTTTGCGTCCTGTCGTCGCCAGTAAACCTACATTCGACTTGTCATTTGAGTGTCTGTTGGCTATGGTTATAAATTCAAGGACATTACACTGAAAATGTGCAACGAATACGTTCACATTTAGGTAGGAGTTTAAATTCAAGGTCCCGAGGCTACAAACATGTTTTTAGCATAAAATATAATTCTGACATCTTCTGGTCTTTTTATCAGACACACTTTTTTTGCAGACATAGATACTTGCGAAAGAGCATGATCCCGCTCTTAATTCAGAATATCAAATATCATCATGGCAAATGATATCTCGAGAATCCGTCTCGGTTCAAAGACTATTAACCTTACATCAAACAGACAGTATTTTGTCTGGAGTAACGGCCTATATGGTGGTCGGGCTATGTGACGTCACCAGATTGCAGTCATTGATGTTGATAGGGTGTTTACGGCTGATACACGAGCAAGTATAATGTTGTACACTTTCTGTAATGTTAAAGAGAGATGAAGAACAATCAGGGTGGCAAATTAAGAGAAAGGCTAATATTGTTTTTGTCTGGGATAAAAATTCGGCGACTCAACCCTCTGTTCTTAATGTATCGACTTTCACTTCGAATTTATCAGAAACAGAGCAGAATTCATGATCAACCCCCTCACAAGAATCTTGGAGTCTTCAGATCATAAAAGAATCGAAGGGCCAAGTTCAATTTTGAATCCTCTTAACTTATGCAGTTCTGCATCGTGTTATTCTATATACAGATGGTCAATATCGACGATTTCACCAAATATAGACTGCTTTTCAACAGAAATGGTCAGTTTATTAACATTTGCAATTTGGACTTCAAGGATGATACGTGCTACTTGTGCAAGATGTTCCTAAAGAGTAAGTGTTTTCACTGTGTGTCGACCACCATCATATCTACTCAGCCACGAACGACCCGAGACACTGAAATGGCTTTTTGAAAACTAAAATCTAATAGTAAGAAGTGTGAGAAAAAAATCCTGCATTGCCGTTATATTGAACAACATAATACAAAAGGACAATAACGGGAACTGAGGAGACACCAAAACAAAAGGGAAGACAACATGAACTGAGTAGTAACCAAAACAAAAGGAGAAGCAACAACAGGGATTGAGAAGACTCCAAAACAGAAGGAAAGACAACAGGAACTGAGGAGACACCAAAACAAAAGGAAAGACAACAGGAACTGAGGAGACACCAAAACAAAAGGAAAGACAACAGGAACTGAGGAGACACCGAAACAAAATATTGCGGCCATAACCGATCTTTTTTCATTGTCGTTTCAAGCGAGTCTGCTAGAAAGCATTAGCTTCAAAAATCATCGGTCAAATGGATATATCTACCAATGAAAATCCTTATGGAAGAAAAACTACAAATCATCCACAAAATGTGTTCTGTCTACAGCTACCGTGACAGTTGACCTTGACATAATATGCATATAACTTACCTTGTTTGCAACGAGAAAGAAGTAAAACAGACACAACATCAAAATCGTGTTATTATGTTTTAATGATAACATTCTGTACTAGTCAGATAAAGAGGCTACAACAAATTACTTTAATTATTTAATTATTTATAAACGATGTAATTATTTTTATAACAAAAATGTATTAAGAAACCACTTAGGACAGCTCCCCAGTTGACATCTACGTAAGCGTTTCAGCGACAATATACAATTGATGTTGATACCTTTCACATTATAACTTCAACAACCTATCACAATGATTATAAGATCAAATATATTTATATACGCAGAGTGTACGCTCTATTATAAGCGGTTTAGTAAAATGTTTATAAGAGACATATGCGCTGAAAACTGCATCATTTATCATCATTTCTATAACATTTATTTTTCTGTTTCTGAATTTTCCAAAGTATTGAATGTCTTTTTTCAAACACTTAAACCCAATTTTATCTATGGCAAACGATATTTAACGTTATATCAAAGTTTTACGCTATAGATATCGATATATAATGTAATCTTGCTTGTACCAAACATTTTCATTGGCTTAAAAAATATGTTATCAGCACATAACGTAAAAAAATTACGTCGCCGTTTGTAACGTCGCTTTTGATTGGTTGATAAAGCGTCGTAACAATTTGTAAGAGAAAAGAGTCCATCAATAAAAGTGGATTTCCACAGGGATTGTGTATAGTAGATTAAATTATAAGGACTGACTTGAATATATTTTTCATGTTATGGAGCTATAACACGCAAAAAAACGGAGTGTACTCACATCATAAACCGGTTTTTTTGTGTGTTATATCTCCATAACATGGAAAATGTAATCAAGTTAATCCTTAAATAAGGTTATATCAAAGTTTTAAGATATATATCTGCACTTTTCTTGCATTCAATATATGGTTCTTTATACTTTAGACTTGGATTTTTATTTGACCTCAAGTTCTGTCGATGGGTTGAAAATGTACGAAAGGGTCATACGACACAGTAAAAGGTTAACTTTGTTTGGTTTTTCTGCGCCTCCTTACTCCGTATTTCAAGTACTTATATAAAATGATATCCAAGCTATTATATAGCAGTGAAATAATAGTAAGACTTGCTACAGTCTCTTTATTTTTTCTCGTGTCTGTAGCTAGCATATATATATAGTCGAGGCTAAGCAGGAACGTATCGAGTAAATAAGTCGCCGAGAGGCGTTAATCATTGAGGTATCGGACATCCTATTCGTAACGATAAAGGCTAATTTAGCTTGTTCGAATTACGGAACACGCAAACTCTAAGTGGCTGTCTCTTTGGTGAAATGTTGTTTCGAGTTAAACATTCCAGTTTAAGGAATTCTATTGTTTACTATTGACTCAGAACATGTGATCTGCAGTGGTAGTTCGTAATTTCAGTTATCAACATAGCATGTCGTTTTCAAAGGTAACAGGTAGGTGGTATATGGAAAGTAAAGTGTATAGTTACAAAATGTAGTCCTTTATTTAAATATCACGTTAAGGTGGGTCTAGTATGTAGGTGGTATGTCGATAGTGAAAAGCATACGATTTATTGAAATATCACAGTAGTGAGCGTGTTGTATAAAAGTTGAATGTAAATAAAACAGTATTTGATTCATTTTTTTTTAAATATAACGATGATGTGCGTCTAGTTTGTAGGTGGTATATGATTGACTCTTCTGTAAATTAGTAAGAAAACATGTTCAAAAACAACGAATTAGTCTGTCCAATAAACAGGCAGTATGTTTGTGTCGAATGGGTATATACTTTTTAGCTTAGTTTAAACATGCATGTTATTTTGGAGAGATTCGAAAACAAGCTTAATTTCTTATAGGCACATGTAGTATAACGTCAGATACACGTGTGTAATAAAAGGTAGGATGTATGTATCATATTGGTACTAGTTAGGTACATTAAGTTATCAATACGTCTGTGACAGGTGTGCCCACCACGCAGGTAGTATGTAGGTGGTACGGGTATAGGAAACTAAACAACCCTACATAGACATGTGTACCTATGTGTATATAATAACATCCAGATTTTAATGGTAAGATCTCCATGATCTTAAATTTTAGACGAAATTTATACTTATATGAGATGTAAACCGCTCTGAGGTATTTGTATGTTTATATATAATTATGTTAATAAGGAGACACTAGAAAGTACGCAGGTAAACTTGTCATTATGTTCGACTATCCAGAATAGTTTCGTCGACTACTTGTATGTATGCGATGAAATTGACATCATGGAGGAGTCGTGTATTAAATGTAACATTGGTTTGTCGTATGTTTTTATGTAGGTAATACTTTCTCATCTCAGTTGCTTTGCATAGGAATGTGAAGTACATTTATATTCAATAATAATATTTTACATATAATGTGTAATATATCAGGTTATAATTTTGTAAACAAAGATAAATAACGTTACAATAAACACATGCTATTCAGAAATGTGATTTTTTTCTCAGAAGACTTTCATGGAAAGTCGATAAGAAATTTGTTCAATACGTGTATTGCCACCGGATTTCTGATTTCACGAAAACGCCATTTCTTAAGTATGTACAATATCATCGAAAAACATAAAAATCAATCCATTTCCAGAAGTGATAGATAATCTCATGTGTACATGTATTTCTAGGAATCTACCAAAATCGAAACGAACATTCACTTAAACGTTATCCATTCCACTCAACAGTGCATAAACAATTGTCAACACTAATATGAAAGACACTTAGTTTTCTTCGAAAATGCACATCCACAGATAAATGCCAGCAGTTCTAATATCCAAAGTGTCATTGACTTATGACATTTTGAAAGATACATCTCCAAGTCCAGCTATACTGGCCTTTATGACGTTTTCCTGTCGACTATTAAACTGAAAGCTGACAGCGAAGTCTTTGGATGAAGGCGACGGACCGGGGATATGAACCTTTTTCTCCAGCGTCTCGCGCGCCGTCTGGTGGGTACTGAACATGGCACTGATGTTTTTATCCTCCCGCGCACCATTTAGTCTATCTTTCTCTGCCGTAACCGACTCCTCTCGGCTTTGAACGATTTGCAATTGTTCATCTATTTCCCCTCGTTTTCGGTCAATTTCAGATTCGGACATTTTGAACAACTCCCTCTCCCGTTCATCTATGGCGTCCCGCAGACGGTCGAATGTTTGACGAATCTGAACAGCTAATTCGCGCTGTATTTGTTCAATGTTGTCGGCCGATTTCTCCAGCGACTGTCGTTTATCCAACAAAGTTTGCTCGGCACTCTGCAGATCTGCCAGAGTCTCGTCTATAACTGGAGTGTACTTGTCTAAAGCCTCCTCAACATTCATCACTCGGTGGCCATTTTTCTCCTTGTGATCAATGACTGTACAGTCACAGCACACTGGTAAAATGCATGGCTCACAAAAAAAGTTCAGTGGCTGCATTTTGTGTTTTGTGCAGTACTGTACATCCTTTTTCCCTGTGGACCTGACAAAGGACAGTAGCTCAAGGACAGTGTGGTCGTTTGGCAAGCGGACAATCTCCGCATCTGACAAAATCAGTGCTTCTCGACATGACGGACAGCAAATTTTTACCGCCATGGGCATGGCACGAAACGCGGATGATAAATTTTGACGAAATTCTCCTTCTACTCGGAACATCTGTCGCAAACAGTCAAGGCAGAATGTGTGGTGGCAAGGCAGCATTTTAGGAGCTTTCTCGGTGTCATCAAAGTTCTCACGACATATTAGACATTTAAGGAATGTGTCCTCAAATCTCTCCTCGTCGAACACAAGATTTCTTTTCCTGTCACCAACGTCCTTTGGTTTAACCAACTCTTCAATGTTATTAGAGGTACCTGAAATGTTAAAAGAAAGATGGAATAAAAAACATCACACTGTACAGTTCAAGATAACAATACTTTGTCCACACCTGGACAATTTATACACATTTACTTAGTATTCATCGTCAATAAACAATGACAAAATAGTTACAATACAGAGGAACAAATCTCTAACTAGAAGTCGATGAGAAAAACATCACGTCCGCTTTACAAATGAGTAGTTTGATTATCCAGCAAACGATTACCAGCAACTATGGAGACGAACGAAGATATCACTTATATAAAGAAGTTCACAAAGAGAGCCTATCTGATTTCATACCCTGACTACCACAGGGAATTTCTTTCGTGAATTAAAATATATGTAATAATTTTATAGAATAACCGCGTGAATAAGTTTTCCAAACATCACACATTAACAGCATGAATATCTCTTTATTACCGTAATTCTGTACACACCTGAAAAAATCCGATCAATCCAATACCGCAAAAACATTATAACCAGAACAATTAGTGATAACATCCTGTCTTCTGGAAAGATGCGTATCCGCTCCACAGTGTATTATATCACATTTAATCAATAATATCAAATTATCTTCAAGTTAATTTCCACCTCCATGTACTCCGATACTTATCCTGTGTCAGGAAATTAATGACCGTTTTTGATGTCTGTAGCATAGCTTACTATACAGAACGCACGTACAAAGCCTCACGTCTCCTTGAAGATGAACTCTTTGGTGTGAGAGGTAACGTTAATCACTGACGTCCCCCCTGGGTTTCACCTTTCCTACCTGTATTTAAAGATAATTCACGCCCCTCCCCCTCCTCCCTCAGGGGGTTATTTACCTATATTTAAGGTTTCCTCTTCCAGTTGCCTCCTCTTCTCCTCTGCTTTCCTTTGCTCTTCGTCCATTTCGTCCTCTGGCGATGGGAACAACTCTCTTTTTACTGGAAGCGCCTGGAAACCAAATTTGACACAATTATTTAATGATAATTAGTTATTACTTTAAATGCTATTGTTTGAGCGCATCAATATTGTAGCATATTTGCAATTGCTTTAAAGTGACAGGAATCGTGGTTTTGAGAGAAAAGTTTTCTCAAAATAATATGTTTTTGATTGTGGTGATTATGAGTTCGTTCCGGTACCAGCAGTTATCTCATTTCTCAGACTGCTAACGTAAATGGTCTAATCTCAATGTTGATTAAATATTGAAAAATTCCTTTCAACAAATACATTAGTCAGCATCAGACTCACAGGGGTGGTACTTATTCAGTCCAAATATGAATATTTCGTTTTAATTTTAAAGAAAAAATAAGATTAGGCTTCAAGAGTGTAGACGATTCCTGCGCTGTGTGTGGGACCATTTTAATTTTTAATCAACCTTAAGGAAGGCTAGTTATTGTACAATTTTACAACTTTATACTCCTAGCCAATTTTAAATATACTAGAATATACCTAGTTGTACATAAACTTATCAGAAACTTATGGACATTTCCCATTTGCTATCATATTCAGAATTCTATTTATTTAGAATGTTCGCCACAATTGTGCTATGCACATGACAGCAAATCAGATCTTGCCCCGATGATGTTCTGTACATAACAATGAGTCAATGTTGACCCCGATGGTGCTCTGTCCATTACAACGAGTAAATTTTGAACCCGATGGTGCTCTGTACATTACACCGAGTCGATGTTTGCACCGATGATGCTCTGTACATTACAAAGAGACACCGTTTGCCACGATGGTGCTCTGCAGATTACAAAGAGTCAACGTTTGCCCCGGTGGTGCTCTGTACATAACAACCAGTCAACAATTTCCACGATGGTGCTCTGTACATTACAACGAGTGAATGCTAATACAACGAGTCAATGTTTGCCAAGATGATGCTCTGCACGTTACGACAAGTCTATTGGCGCAACATTACATAGAGTATCACCCATTCAACGCCCCACGACCACCCCGTGTCAGAGAATATGAAATGAGCTCTGTCGCCGGGAAATCAATGGAGTTATGCAAGACCACATTTAAAACTACTTCCTCTGCATAACAGTTGGGAATGTTCATTTATAACATCAATACAAACGATCCTCAGACAAGCTACTGATATCATACAGACACAAGTGTAATACAGCCCGGCCACCGACAACAAAGCACATTCCACTCGACAACCCAAGTCTACCCTACTTCATCTCGTGTATCAATATTTGTGATTACAAGCTGGGAAATGATGGATCGCCAGCACCAAGGATTCCGTTACGTCAGACTTGTTTAGTTTACGGCCAACCGTTCTACTTGATTGACTTTACACGTTTCGGATGGCTGGGCCAACCGTTCTACTTGATTGAGTTGAGATGTTTCGGAAGGCTAGGCCAACCGTTCTGCTTGATTGAATTGTCATGTTTCGGACGGCTAGGCCAACCGTTCTACTTGATTAAAATTGACATGTTGCGGACGGCTTGGCCAACCGTTCTACTTGATTGAGGTGACATGTTTCGGACGGCTAGACCAACCGTTCTACTTGAATGAATTGACATGGTTCAGACGGCTAGACCAACCGATCTACTTGAATGAATTGACAGGCTTCAGACGGCTAGACCAACCGATCTACTTGAATGAATTGACATGTTTCGGACGGCTAGACCAACCAATCTACTTGATTGAATTGACATGTTTCGGATGGCTGGGCCAACCGTTCTACTTGATTGGGTTGAGATGTTTCGGAAGGCTAGGCCAACCGTTCTACTTGATTGAGTTGACATGTTTCGGACGGCTAGACCTACCGATCTACTTGATTGAATTGACATGTTTCGGCCGGATAGACCAACCGATCTACTTGATTGAGTTGAGATGTTTCGGAAGGCTAGACCAACCGATCTACTTGATTGACTCGACATGTTTCGGACGGCTAGGCCAACCGTTCTCCTTGATTGAATTGACATGTTTCGGACGGCTAGACCAACCGTTCTACTTGAATGAATTGACATGGTTCAGACGGCTAGACCAACCGATCTACTTGAATGAATTGACATGTTTCAGAAGGCTAGACCAACCGATCTACTTGATTGACTCGACATGTTTCGGACGGCTAGGCCAACCGATCTACTTGATTGAATCGACATGTTTCGGACGGCTAGGCCAACCGATCTACTTGATTGAATCTACATGTTTCGGACGGCTTGGCCAACCGTTCTACTTGATTGAGGTGACATGTTTCGGACGGCTAGACCAACCGTTCTACTTGAATGAATTGACATGTTTCAGACGGCTAGACCAACCGATCTACTTGATTGAGTTGAGATGTTTCGGAAGGCTAGACCAACCGATCTACTTGATTGAATTGACATGTTTCGGACGGCTAGACCAACCGATCTACTTGATTGAGTTGACATGTTTCGGACGGCTGGGCCAACCGCTCTACTTACTTGATTGAGTTGACATGTTTCGGACGGCTAGACCAACCGATCTACTTGATTAAAATCGACATGTTTCGGATGGCTGGGCCAACCGTTCTACTTACTTGATTGAGTTGACATGTTTCGGACGGCTAGACCAACCGATCTACTTGATTGAATCGTCATGTTTCGGACGGCTAGGCCAACCGTTCTACTTGTTTGAGGTGACATGTTTCGGACGGCTAGGCCAACCGTTCTACTAGATTGAGGTGACATGTTTCGGATGACTAGGCCAACCATCATAATAAATGTTGGCCTATTCATACGAACCATGTCAAATCAATACAATCAACCTAATTGTATCCCTGGTTGACGCTCCATCACTTACCTGCTTGTAACTGCAATATCTACATTAGATTCTTAAAACAGCACTACGACAGACCAACACATACAGAAGTTCTCCCTACACAATAACTGTGTTGGTTTATCAATTATGTTTTTATTGTTCTCTTCTTATTACGTTAGTTTGCAAACGCAATTTCCAACGAATTTTCTCAACCCTAACCTCATTTAACCTCAACAGCTTTTTCAAACGGAACTTTCAAGGACAACATCAAGAAACAGGTTTAAAGCAAATATGAAAACATTTCCCTGTTAAACGCTGCTTAAACCCAGGATAAAACGCATTGTTATCAAACGTTATTATTTTCATATTTTTCTTGTCGTAAACAGTGAACATTTTCAGATAATATTCATAAATAGTTTGCTTTGTATTTTTCTTTGAACGATTCGGCATGTAAAATAATGTCATAATTTTGAAAATGGCTCGCATACTTCTCTTCTGTAAGATCAGCTTGTTTACCATTTCCAAAACTGTGAAATATTAATCAGGAAAGCTTTAGACTGCACATCACATTACAAATACGTATTATTATGACCCTGACCTTGAACACTGCCTTGATGTAAAAACCTTAATGTAGAATTACTATTACATCTTCATCTTTTTATGTTTTTTACAACAAATATCATTAACATCCCCAGAGCTAGGCATGCAGAAACAGTTAATACCCTACATTGGGTAATACCAGCAAGTCATCCTCTAAATTCCAGGGGTCACTCTCAATAATGTTCTCTGTACAATACGTAAGTGAGCTAGCCCCTAGAATTTCGGGGATTCTGTCAAGTATTACCACGCAGGCAAAGACAATATTTCATTAGCATCAAATGTAACCAAGGTTTCTGTAACAGAAAGAGACCATATTAGATAACTTTTAAGTTTAACCAGGGTTTCGGGAACAAGAATGGTCTATATTAGATTTATATCAAATTCAAGTAAGGTTTTGGACTGGAAAAGACCATATTTTATTACCAGCAAGGGGGCTTTTTTGTCCGAAATATATTAATATTACTACATCACCATTAAGTTTCACCAAGATTATGGGACGAGAAAAGACCCTTTTTCATTATCAGTATGGTTGTATTGTCATAAAAACACTATATTACATCACCATCAAGGTAAACCAAGATTGTGGGACGAGAAAAGACCCTTTTTCATTATCAGTATGGTTTTATTGTCATAAATACACTTTATTACATCACCATCAAGGCTAAACAAGATTGTGGGACGAGAAAAGACCCTTTTTCATTATCAGTATGGTTTTATTGTCATAAATACAATATATTACATCACCATCAAGTTTAATAAAGATTGTTGGACGAGAAAAGACCCTTTTTCATTATCAGTATAGTTTTATTGTCATAAATACAATATATTACATCACCAACAATGTAAACCAAGGTTTTGGGGCAGGACTGGACACTTATGGATTACAATCAAATTTAGCACCAAACCCTATGTACATCAATCGAACATTTTCATTGCAGTCGCATCTGAGATGTAAAATTAAGTCATCTGACTCTGCTTTAAGTGCAATATTCTCCATGAAGAGCTCTTACTCGAATGTCATTGACGCAATTGTTATATTTACTATTGAGTACAGTGTCATTGCAAGTCGGCTTCCCTAAAATAATAGCCGAATATAGCAGTCGCCATTGGAAGTCTTGGGGAGTTTTTACTAAAGTGGTTACATTGGTATGTTCAGTCTTGTATTGATATGTTCAGTCTTGTTGGTGGAAATCAAAATCACTTAATATATCGCACATAAAGACAAAACGTGATATCAACCAGGGGTATAATAATTTAACCAACTTTAATCAACTTACAGATATCTACAGCGTATTTTTCTTACCGTTTTGTTGGTTTTTTTTGGAGCAGTTAACACTGTCAGGATCTTTTAGATTTTATCTTGCCAAGTCGCTGTGCCTTATTCTAGTCACTCACATCCTGCAAATACAGAAAGACAAACTGTCAATAATAAAATCAAAAACTCATGTGGTCCATAACAAACTACGGGATATTTTGCATTTTGCGAGTTATTATTTTCGAGAAATAGTTTATACTAAAATTCTGGAATTTAATTACTTCGCAAATGTTTGTTCAGACACAAGTAAGAAAGATACACTGGCCATTGATCCTTTCCAAGTCAAATAAAACAGGTGGTCCGTTTAAAGAACAATCGGGAACATATATATACGCGAAATTTAAATGATTTTAAGTATGCATAGTTCAGCAAAATTGTGTGAAGATGTATGTGTTTCAATGTAGTGTATGTCGTAGCGTAGAAGAAACTTGTAACACTTTCTAAATGTTAACTTCGGTGATACATAATTATGTACTTCAGTGGGACAATTCAAAGGTTTAAAAATAGTCATCACGAATAATAATAATAATATTTTTATCCTGATTTAACAGAATCTTCTCCGGATTTCCCATTACTGCATGAAAACATTCAGAGTTTTTTTTAGTTCTTTAGGGGTACGAAATGGCTCATCCTATGCAAATAGTAGGTAGCCGCCGTCGCCGCTACCGTCAAAAAACAGATATCGTGGTTTTAAAGGGATTGAAGGGTACACAGGAAATCTAGACAATCAACTGTTTTGTTCTAAAACATACATGCAGGTGTCCAATTACTACAAAGCAAATGTTATTGAAATCATGTTACCTTGTCTATTGGAGAGAGACGAATGACAAAATGTGTCTTGACAATGTGTAAATGGTAAAAGATTCTCAGATAACGAACATGTTGTTTGTGTCGTGCTTATCTGTGACAAGGCATCAAAATGGCCGAGTCTCCTTGGTCATTGAAAAGCACAAGACAAGCAAACAGTGTCATAACAATGACAAGTGTACTCAAACTCGATACGAACTTACAACAACCGAGGAGACACCAAAATAAAGACATTAACAGGAAATAAAAAATAAAAGGAAAGGCAATACCAGGAATAACAGACACTACAATTAGAGGAAAGACACACCAGGAACTCGGGAAACACCAAAATAAAAGGAAAGGCAATAACAGGAATAACAGACACTACAATTAGAGGAAAGACACACCAGGAACTCGGGAAACACCAAAATAAAAGGAAAGACGCACCAGGAACTCGAGAAAACACCAAAATAAAAGGAAAGACACACCAGGAACTTGGGGAACACCGAAATAAAAAGGGAAAGACAACACCAGTAACTCGGTAAAACTCCAAAATAAAAGGAAAGACACACCAGGAACCGCGGACACACCCAAAATATATACAACAGAACAAAAGGAAAGAGATCATCAGAAAAACTCGGAGGGAGAAGTAGGTGTTCTGGAATGGTAAACGGTCACTTTACCACAGTTGGCAACCATCATGTTGTCGTCCATTCGACCATGAACGTATGTTGGTCGCCGTCGACCTCACCATTGAGATACTGTACTCATGGCAGACAATGAACTCTCCTTGTTGAGTTAATGACGTTTGTAAAATATTTGTTTCAATGTTGATTTAATACTAAACAATAGCTAATTATTTGTCAAATTTTAAAAAAAACTGACACTTCTAACTCGTCCTCGAGTAGCGATTCATCTGTGAAATGCACGTTAAGTCCATTAGCAAGGAGGACAGGTATTACTATAGAAAAATGGTTAATGACCGTGCAATCAAATTCAGCCGGAAATACTTAACAGGACATTCGGGTAGTTTTATGAAATATTTTGCCTGTCCGGTTGTCCGATGGAGTTTGGAACACACTGAAAGCCGTCATGTGTTTGTCCTAAAATGGTCAGCGAGTTATACATTGTCATTGCTGTCTTGAGTTTTTCTGTAATAAAAAGATTGACTCGGTTTCTACGGCGTGTACTAGTAGCGTTTAGCATTTACTGACTATATACGTAATAATGACTGCGTGTTGCTTGGATGCTTTCCTTAGGGGCCTTTCATTGTTAGGAAGACACCACACTATATGATCACGTGTTTACGTATCACAACGTATGGGTTAGTTTACATACATTATTTACAATAAGAACAACAGGGAATACCAGTATTACTTTATTACCCCCGGCGAACACCATAACGTTGGTAATTCAGTTATTTCAGTCTTTGTCATATTTCCAATATCCATATGTACATACATAGGTCTCTAGTTTCTATGACAGTTAGGTCTTGATCCATTCCATGTAAAGATGTACCATTTTACAGCTTCCTTTTATATTCATATCTGGCGATTCCCCAAACCAATGGGTATAATTTCCTTTAAGGATTGCAGTGGTTAAGACGTCTGACTGTCGACGATCACTTGTCTACCGCCACATGATCGTGGGTTCGAGACCTATTTGGGGCAGTCGCCAGGTACTTGCCGAAGGTCGGTGTTTTTTCTAGGTGCTTACCTCAACACCAAAACCCGGTACGTCTTTTAATGATCGTACAAACAGATCTGGTTCCTCCCATATTTGATGCACGTATGTACCACTGTAACTCAGAGATCTCTGAAGTCCTTTAGGTTGGCTGACCTCGTGCATTTGAAGCACATTATTGAAGCATCGTTTCTCTAGGATAGTTGCCGAACACCGATATTTTACTTACTTTGTGTTCAAATGAGATTCCAAAAGAGCCGTTGTGTACTTATGTTCATGTTTACAGTTAAATGTGTGAGGTTGTTTCTTCCAATTCACATAATGTATATCACACGTTAGAACTCAATAGCCTTTGTTCTACGAATTCTTTGTCTTATCGAGTACAATGATGTTTACAGGGGACAGACTTTAACGTATATTGTGCACTTAGTGCTTGTCACAACCTATCTACCAACTCTGGAGAGAAAGTAAAGCCTTGTTGAATTTACCAAACCGTCTATCAACCCGCCAGACAGCCTTGCTGAAGGTACCAAACCGTCTGCCAACCAGCCAGACAATGAAGCCCCTGTACAAAATTTGGAAGAAGGACAAAAGGAAAATCAACAACCATTTTGTGGAAAAATCTTTCATCGGCTAACACATTCATTGCTTAAAAAGCGCCCAACGGGTTTTTTTCTCGGATAATGAACGGTCCTAAAAAAAAAAAAAAAAAACAATTATATAAACTACGGTTATAAAACTGAAAATAAACAAGGGTTTGTTTGGTGCAGCCGAATGACCTAATGCGGACAATCTCAACATTCCAGACCATGCGTATAAAACAGAACACAGATTGTAGTTATATACCGCACAAAGTACCTGTATGGAGCATGGGCCGAGTGTGATAACAAAGAATGGGGTGTTGAATTCCGGCGTGGTGAGATATTACTCTATTTATTGGCGGGGGCGGCATATTTTAGACATAAATGCTAACGTATTCCGGTGTAAATTATACGTACAGGGTCTACACTACGTCATACGAGAGCCGTGAAACTAGACAAGCCTGTTTAGACCCAAGCTTAATCCTACCTGTGTTCCCCCTCCCTACAAAGCACATAACTCATCGATGCGCCGTCTTTTTATGACATGCTTTTAAGAGAGTGATATCAGCCTGTTTGTTGTTGCCTTACGCAGGCGTTATAGGTGTGTTGTATGCATATGCAAGGTAAACGTCCAAATTAATAACAGATCGTATTCCCAAACAGACTAGGACTTTCAGTAGTGAAATTTATTGGCTGTTATATATCTCATTAAGGAGAGCTGATCGTGTTTGTCAAGTTTATATTGTGTGTCGCAATCTGCACCAACCGTTAAATGGACCTTAAACTACTTTATGAGATATAATTTCAAACTACATGATGTGTCATCTGTACGTTTGTTTTACTTGTAAATAGTTAAAAACGTCCATCGCCTTTTTAAGATAACAAACACATGTGCAGAGAGGAAAACTCCGAAGGGGAAATATGTTTAATCTTAAGGCATACCATCAATTCTTGGCATATTTGTACTTTTATTATGTAAATAAAAATACCCGCTAGAGATTTACAAATCGACTAAATAAATATCGTTTTAACCTAGTAAATTTCAAAAAGTTGTTTCGCTCATTTTGAGCTTCACGAATGTCTTCACGTGTCGTGACGTCACATCGAAAATCACAGACGCAACATCAAAACAACTACGCTGAAGCTTGGCAATGGTTAGAGAAAACAACCGTGTTGGGGTTTTCTTTGCTCCTGGTAAAATACATTTGTTTCAATTTTCCAAATATCAATTGACCAATATTGAAACTTGTACGGATTTCTCATTATTCTCACAAGAAATGCTAATCCATGCATCCAAAATGATATAGATAAAAAATAATATTGATAAACTGATGAAGATAATGAAAAGAAACATTCAATTTATTTTACAACATACGTTTTTTTTTAACTCTACTGTTTATGGGTAAAAACAAAATGTGAGTCATTTTTATATGTTTTCTCGTTTACAATCAAGAAATAACGCATCTTATTAGAAGGATGCTATTAATGTGATTAGTTGACTTTCGTGATCTAAGGGGTTACTAAGACTTCCTTCACTGACAGAAGAGTTCCACTAGAGCGTGTTATCAAGTGCAGCTGCACGCAATCTCAGTGGACCTAGGCGGAGATTGAAACATTGGCCACGGTCCAGGTGAAACGGTCATCCCTGAGGAACATATATGATCTAATCACCCTAGCATTCTTCCTGTCTCCTCTGTGTTTCATTCCCATTTTTTAACGATGACACTGTGTAGCACGTGCTTGGCGGGCTTCCATTATGACGTACACAAGCTATCATTTGTGTATGCATTGCTGCATTAAACGTCTGTAGGCCATGGAAGTCACGTGCTCATTCGTCATTGTGGAGATTAGATTTGAAAGTAAACGACGACGAAGCAATTTATTAATGTGTCGCACCTAGGGGCTTTAAGCTAAGCCAATATTTTGATTCAAATTTGCCCGGGTTTTTTAAATTTCAAATAACGGACACTATCCGCCAAAACATTTCGAAATATATGGGGCATGCTATTTTCATTTCCCTAACGTGTGATAGC